GGGTAAATATAATTTAGCCAAAATTTTCAAAATTTTCCATTATTAGCCAAAACTTTCAAAATACAAAATATTAACTTCTCGTTAGCGGTTTTGTTAGTAATATTGATTTCACAACATGATACTGATTAGGAAGAGACACATGGTGGTTAACATTCTAAAATTTTAGTATTTTAACTAAGAAAATAGTTACAAAATTAATAATGGTAACATGCAAATGACTAATATTTTGATGTTTTACAAAAATTTGGCTAATATTTTATATCTCAAAAGGTTCGGCTAATAATTTGAAAAGTTTAGCTAATAAATTGTATTTACCCTTTTTTATTGATATGAATCGAATCGGATTATATGTCGTCGACTTGAAGTCACAGAAGTCTTGATGGTCTGTAACCTTATTCTTTACCAGATTGGATTAGCGTTAAGCCGTTTGCCCCTCTTGATTCAAGTAGAAGGCAATTGCATTAACAACCTTAATTCATGTGACACTTTCAAAGCATATATTATGATTTCTTGATAGAGGACCTTCTATAAGTTACTCGTCAAATATCCCTTCTATTACGAATACCGCCTGGTCGCAAAGCTAAAGACAGTTTCTTTCATTTTTGTATTGTTCCTTTCATTGGGTACACTGAACACGAACATAATCCCGGTTCAATTAAAACGGTGAGCATCACAGACATGGTAATTCAGTAGTATGTTTAAAAGTAAATTTTTTCATATGGAGGGAGCCTCGACCAACTGTTCGAGACTATCCTAAGTCCTACAAATACTCGACGAATTCATTGAATTGAGTGATTCCGACGTACAACCTATGTCCAAGGTTACCACATACTTTGTTCTCTTTATGAAAAAACTGCGGCTGCGTGCACATGACCAAGCACCAACTTCCCTTGATGTATGGGGCTAAAGAATTTTCTTTGGTTGTCCTTACTCCAAGATGGGGGCATCTTTGAAGAAGAAGGGTCAATTTCTGGTCTGGTTTGGTGAAGAAAAGAACTATATACATATAAGATAGGACAAGGAGAAGTCAATTTCTGTGTTTCCACCAATACTTCATTTTTCCTTGTATCTCACATCATTCCACATTTCTCACGAGAGACTCTTAATTAGGGCAAGAATTTCATCACAACAAACCCTGAGAGGTTAAGGCAAAAGAGAAAGAGATAGGGTGCCTTTCACTTTCTTGAGTTACAATTCAATTAGGGGTTTCCATACTTGACTAATGGGGCATGCAAAAGACCGTCAAAGCAAATTAGGGCTAGTTAGTTTGTTTGGTTGACAAAACCCAAAACTGTCACCTTCTTGATAACTTGTTTCTTTGTAAAAGGGGTACTTGTTTCTTTAATTCTACACCTTAAGAAAATGTAAGTTGTTATAATCTAAAAGACTGAAAATACAAGGCAAGAAAGGGTATGTACTTGGTTTCGATCGAATTGTAGGGGTCGTTTGGATGTGGAAATGTAATGCAGTAATTGGATCCAATTACCACATAAAGCAGTAATTGGGTTAAAAACTCATGTTTGGGAGAGCAAAAATGGTATAGAAATTGGACCGTGGAAATTGGCTTCAATTACCACATTCATGGTAATTGAGAATACTACACCCCCCTAGTAATTTGACATTATCACGTTTTCTTACTTCTTTTTCCAAATTCCACACCATCAATTCCCACAAAACTAAACCCTATCCAAACGTGAATTTTTTTTCAATTTCCACAAGTCAATTCCTTGGTTTTGTACAACATGGAAATTCAGACAAATTTCAACGTCTTAAAATTTCCACATCCAAACGATCCTGTAGTGTCATTGTACTAACTACAAAAATATGCATTATCATATACTACAACACAAAGCGCATTACTTTCAATGCAAAGACATGTTAATAATAAGAGAGATTCTGCTCCTGATGGAAGTGAACCAGAGCTATGTTGACACATATATAGTGTCCCAACATCATTATCATTTTGATAAGGTTGCTTTTAATCACATTCTTTCAAATCCCATATACCTTTTGTCCCCCTTATTTCACAATAGCCTAGGAAACATCAAGGGAACCCCTTCCCCAACATGCACAATATCCATTTCACATCTCTACTAGAGTGTTCATGATATATAATCCAATAGTTGTTGCCCCACATACAAGTACAAATTTTAAGATGATGAACCTATCTGTCGAATTGGAGACAACTTTTGCTTGTACAAAGTACTCAATCGTGGAATCTTTGTGTGTAGTAGATCTGAGACATACAGGTTGGGCGATGGTTCTCGTTGAATTTCGCATGATGATATCGCATATATAACAAATGATCATCCCGTACATTGATGGAGTTACATGTTCACAATATTAATTTTGCTTATACAACTACTCGAATAAATATTTTTGAACAATTTATCTAGGACATGATTTAGCTCAGGGTGATTGTTGATCGTGAAATATTAGCTCCTCCTCACGAGGATGATCATATGTACGTAATGAATTGGGGATCAAATATGAGAAACCAAAGTTCATATAGCAAATGTGACAGTTAGTAACCTAAATATAATACGTTTTAATGTTGTGTTATCGATGAGTATTTTACAAGAAAAAAAGTACACTTCAAGAATAAGTAAAAGGAAAGAAGACCCAGCTTTACATATTTCATATTACACTTGGTTGATTAGATGATCAAACCATTAGAATTGGGTTTCTATCTTTCAATTTGGCCACTTTCTTTTTCTCTTGTGATTCTTTCTTTCTCCAAATGACAACACAATTGTTTAAGGTAGTTATATATAATTCTCATACACACACATTGGAGTCTTTCCTACTCTTACCATCATCTCTCTTTGGAAGGCCTCCCAACTAATTAAGAAGAAAACAATTGCTAAATTACCAATCAACCCCACTTGATTATGTCTGGACCATTAAGTTTTCATATATTTGTTTCTATATGTGTTTTATTCTTTAAGCCTAACGATTACTCTACCTTTTTTTCATACAAATTATACAATTCAATTCATTATCTTCAATTACACGTGTGGCGGCAGCTAGAGAGAGAAAGGAGGAGAGAGAGAGGGTATATGGCCATGGATTATGTGAAATGTAAGCAAGTGTCAACTTTGGCTTGGCTATGAAACAACCCTACTAGCTCTTCTCTCTTCAATTCAATTTTTCTCCCCTTTTGTTTCCCTTTATGTGTGTGTTGTTATAGTCTCTCTACAATAGAGTAAATGATGAATTACCTTGAGAGTGAAGAATAGGGAAAAGACAAGCTGATCATGGAGTCAAAGACAAGACGACCACCCCCCATATATATATACAATATATATTATCCTCGTCATCATTTATCTTTAGATATATACACGTATCAATAACTTATTTGAGGGGTTGGAATAGTTATATTTTGTATTTAGATTTGTGGTATTTAAATTACTTATAAATATGAGATCAAGAATCACATATAAGATACGTTGTGCATTCAAATCTTGATATAATCTCAATAATCAATCTGTTTATATAACTCGAATTACCATAGGGAGAGATTAAGAAATTGTTTTCATATAATTTATGTACATTATAGACTTATAATTAATTATGTGCATCTAAATTATTAATATTTTCTAATAAATCTATCACATACATATGATAATGGTATAATACTTAGTGTTTCATATATCAATAAGTCGATTTTTTTTCTTCTGAGTTGGTTCTTGACATGATATGAGAACCTTATTGATTCTAATACATTGTGTCAAGTTCCTAGTAACTAACTATCATATATTTGGGTTTTCTAAATAGCTCGACTTATTAGAACAAACTAGCTAATTTACGACTTGGTATTAGAGTTTTTGACAACAAAGCCTCTTCTTTGAATGTTGATTGTTGATCAAGACCTCAACTTTAAAGTTTAATTGAATGTCAATAACCAGTTGATCCCAATAATGTGATTGGTTGGGAGATGTTTAACTATTGATATTATATCGTATACAAACACATCACTTCAGACGAAAGCCAACTCATACGAGTTTTAAGTTTGCACAAATCCGAATATCATGTGCATGACAAATGAGGATCGTCGAGATTCAAACCCAAGACCTTCTGATCATCAAAGACTCTGATACTATATAAAAAAACCATGGTCCATGAAACCGTACCGGGAAAGTCAGCGGTAGGGTATTTTATGGTAAAACCGTGGTTTAACCGTAGTTCAACCGTTATACCGGTAAATACTGCCTATCGGTTTAGCCTCCAATACTGGTATTTCGTGGTTTAACCGCCGGTACGGTATGATTTCATGGACACTGAAAAAAACCAATATTGATTCCAATAGCTAGAGTCCACCACCAACATAACATATCTAATAACATACTAGTATGAAAAACGAACAAGGGCTTGATCTAATGGTAATACCACTAGCCTAGAACCTACAGGTTCCATAGTCGAATCTTTTCATTTCTACCTTAATAACAACAAAATAAAAGATATATCACCCTTATATAATAATAAAAAAATACCAGTATGAAATATCCACCACCTCCCAAGGTTTTCTAATAAAAAACAGTATCCATCCACAAACCAGCATAATCTTTTTTCCCCCTATATTATTTGATTTCATCTATCTTTCACTTTAAGTCCCTCTCCAAACCGTTTTGCTATCTCGACCCATCAACCAACTTCCCTCACTCTTCTCTCTCTCTCTCTCTCTCTCTTCCCTATATTCTAAGCAAACCCCACAACCAATCTCCATCATCACGATCATCATTCCCACTCTATCAAGCCTCCTCCATCTCCTCTCCTCTCTCTCATTTGCTCTTTGCCTCCCCTTCTCATTTCTCTCACTCTCATCATCTTCTTCTCACCCAATTCTATATAACTAATTCCCACATCAAACCCAGTTGGGATAGAGAGAGGGATAGTCTCACACTTCCTTTTCTTTCCACCCTTTGCCAAAAGGGTCCTTCTCCTCCTCCTCCCCCTTCTTCATAGAAAGACAAGTGAGTGAGAAAGAGAGATTCCAGAAAATGAGGAAGCCTGAGGCTACTCCAGGAAAGAACAACAGCAGCAACAACAATAAGCTTAGGAAGGGGCTTTGGTCGCCTGAGGAAGATGACAAGCTGATGAACTACATGATGAACAATGGCCAAGGCTGCTGGAGTGATGTTGCCAGAAATGCTGGCCTGCAGAGGTGCGGGAAGAGCTGCCGCCTCAGGTGGATCAATTACCTTAGACCTGACCTCAAGAGGGGTGCATTCTCTCCCCAGGAAGAAGAGCTCATTATCCATTTGCATTCCCTTCTTGGAAACAGGTACTTTCATTAATTTCTCCACATTCTACTTTTATAGTACTCTTCTCTTCTCTTCTCTTTCCTTGCTTAAATCATCTGTTAACATTGGACGGAATTCAACTACTTGTTTGTAACAGTACGTTCACCTTTTACACTCAACATTTTTTCGTCGATAATGTATGCCAACTGTGCACATGCTTTGATATGCTCACTATGTCGATGAATGATGCGAGAGGTCGGTGAAATCGAAACCGAATATGCGCCGTTAAATAGGAACACAAGTCATGTCAGGTTTTTCAACAACAACAACAACAACGTTAGTTAGAAGTCAGTAATAATATGTACATTGGGTATCTGTTGATATGCTTGCCAGCTCTATTTCAGACAGGGAGAGTAAAAAAACGTCACTCACAAAGTAAATTTGTACCGCACTAATGAGTCATTAAAAATCTCAAGTTAAAGATGATAGTGTCAACTCAAGAAAATTTCTAACCAGTTTCAAATCCCCAAACTTCTCTTTCTACACCTTGAAGTTACCCAGCTGATTTGAAGTGTGATGATCATGATATTAATGATTCCATTTAAGTCAACTTTATCCAACAGTGACAACATCTTTTGATTAATAATAGTCCTTAATGACTTTGTTTTTTCAGACAGTTATCATGGTAATTTGCCCACAAACTCCCCACCTATAAGATTGACATAACGTGATTATAAAGAAATTATTTATAAAAAAAAACAATCTTCATTTCCATGCCTTTAACACCTTCATTATTATTCACCAAAAGAACAGAAAATTAAACCCACTACCTGTTTTTTTCTCCACGTGAAAATTAAACCTTCTATTATTATTAATATCAACATAATAAAATAGTCTATGAACAATTTAAAATCTAGCTGAAAACCGACTTGTCTTTGTCTGAAAGGGTGCTGAAAGTTTATGTCTACGTGTACACACCATGATGTGTACAGTCAGCTTTTATATTTTTGCTGACTAGTCCCCAAATATATGGTTGGTATAGGCTTAGAGTTGAAGTCACTCCATGCATTAATACGACCAATTAAACTACGATCCCTACAATATACGTAAAACCAGTTCATGGTTTGGGATTTAAGAAACATGACACGTATTACAAGACCAATCCAGCTGGATCAATCATTGTTTTGCTTAGCTGGCTCCTGATGATTCATCTTTACTTCAGTTCTCTTTTAAGTTGGTTATACGTATACCGAAAAAAAATACAACAACTCAACTAGTAGTGTAGCATAAGACAAAGGAATGAGTGAAAGGAACAAAAAAGGGTCTTCTCCATGCAAAATCATGCAACAATGATAGGAAAGTATACAAGGCAAGTTTGTTATTTGCTTTCTATAGCTACAATTGTAATACATGTCTAATGTTGATTAATTTGTATTCCTATCTTTATGATTTTATAGGTGGTCACAGATAGCGGCTCGTCTGCCAGGGAGGACGGACAACGAGATTAAGAACTTTTGGAACTCGACCATCAAGAAGAGAATAAAGAACATGTCCTCCTCGGCCACGACGTCGCCCAACACGAGCGACTCGTCGTCCGAGCTGCCGAGCAAAGACAGTGGAGGGCTGGTGGGCGCGGGCGGTTTCATGTCGCCAATGTTCATGGACGTGGTCGTGCCATCCCTGACGTCGACAAACTCATCCACCTCGTCATCGTCCATGGCTCTGAACGCTGGCAACCACATGATCGACTCGTTGCAGATCCACATCGACCACCACCATCAGGGTCTGATGAACATGTATGGTGGTGCGAACGGGTACTTTGGTGGTGTTGGTCAGAATGAGATGCCTGCTCTCAGTTTCAGAGGGGATCGGATGATCGGTTCGTATGGGTTAGGGCAAGGGGGGATGTTTGCAGGAGGAGGACTTGGTAGTGGGATGGATAAGGAGCTTCAAGTCCCACCATTGGAGAGCATAAGCATGGAGGAGAATAATGGTCCCAATAACAACATAGTCATAAGTAGCAACTTGAACAATAAGTACCCTTTTGTGAATAGTAACAACATTAAGGGGGAGAGTAACCACCACAACAACAATAATCATCATCATAGTAACAACTTGGGAGGAGGAGGGGTGGATAACACTAATAATCTTGGCAACTTTTGGCAAGGAGAAGACCAACTCAAAGTTGGGGAGTGGGATTTCGAGGAGCTCATGAAAGATGTTTCCTCCTTCCCCTTTCTTGACTTCCAAGTCGAATAGTACATCAAAATAAGCAAGAAGAACAAGAAGAAGAAGACAAAGACCAGCTTAAGGTTGGGTGGGGCGGCTTGTAGAGTATCCACGTACAATTCCTTTCGAATCACAATTGTTTTTTTTTCTTCTTCTCTCGATGTATACATATATTCTTAATCGTCTCTTGTCTTTCTCTAGAAATATAGGAAAAGAGGCAAAGTTTTCTTTCTTTCTTTCTTGTGTATAGTTGAGTCGTCAGAAGATGAAAGTAAGTACTTGATACCAAACTTTTGTTAAGGTTGTAATAATGATGGCGATGGAGGTAGCACAATGTTGTTGGTGACATGGTACATAATCTTCAACGTTTGTGTTGTTGGTAGAAGAATCTTGGATGGAGATTTGTGAAGACTTCCTGGGGGAGAGAATAATTAGGTTGGTTATTGTTAGGTTCATATAAAGATGTATCATGTGGAAAATCATATGTACAAAACGTGACAATTTTACTATATTGTCACGTTGTATACTATTGCATTTCGATATTCTTTAGTTTTGTGTTTGGATTGTATGGTTTTAGCGATTCGAATGAATCTTAAATTATAACACAAGAAGCTAACAAAATTTTGCTTCTGATGTGCTAACATTGACAAAGATAAGATCATTATGGATAAGCTTATATTGATGCAAGCAGATAACCAACCCGTAACAACATAACTAATATAATAAGTATATATAATTCGGGTATAGACTATAGTTCGAAAGAGCATAACAAAAACCTCAAGAGAATAATAAAAAAAATATCTTATTACCTATCACATAGCCAACAAAACACCTTCAAAGTATCATAGCTATAGCTATTGTACCTCAAAGGTGAAAAACACGGAATTTGTCTAGTAGTATTATTGCCGATTTACAATTTTGGGGTCCTAGTAATATTCAGGAAGTGTTAATTCCTTTTTACTGAGGTAAACATTGAATCAAATGACCATTTGATGAGGTGAAATGAGGGTGAAAAGATGTGGCCACTTGAGGGACAACACGCAAGTCATCCATAATTAGTCATTGCGCATTTTTGTCACCTTGCTTTAATTGCAAATAATTAGTGCATCCCCTTCTCACTCATTCTCTCTCCATGCAATGTTCATTATGTTAATTAATGGTCTTTAATTACTTTCGTCAGTTAGTTAGGGTAGCTAAAATGTCTACAAATGATGATCATGATTACGATTATTAGTTATAACCATCTCTTCATTCATAGCTACACCCTTTCATTCTTTTGACTTTTTACTTGCTATAACTATATCTAAACGTATAATAGTTTAAAGTCAAGTTGAGTGAGAGCAGGGATAGGAATGAAGGCAGGATTCCGAATGAGCACGGTCTACAAAAAAAAACCCACATACATCAACTTTCGAGAATTGAAGAGAAGGTATCAAATAGTTGGGTGATCAAAAGAAGCTGGGAGAGAGAAGAGTGGGAAGCAAGGTTGTCAACTAGCGGGACGACTCTCGGGTCGACGCACTTTGACTCTGACCCGATGAGAAAAACGGGTCGCACGCACCCGTCGGGTCGACCGTTATAAGGTATCGGGTTGTATGTCAAATTGTGTCATTTTTTTTGGTTTGCGAAATGCGCCTGTTTTTCGATTTTTCTTTTCACCTAACTCAATCTTTGGAATCCTTAGTTGAACATTTGAATATTGATGTTGTATAAGTGTGTGTGAATTTTTACTATATGTTGGATCTAAGTACGACATGTTACTTTGGTGTGATGTTATATGTTATTACTTATATGTTAGATGAGATTTGATATAATTTATCAGGATAAGTGCAATATAATGACTCTTTTCATATTTCCGGACTGAAATGAGCCAAAACGGGTGACCCATTAACCCTTAACCCACTAGCTCGATCGGGTCCGAGTCAACCCGCGGGTTGACAACCTTGGTGGGAAGTAAAAGTGAAGCAAACAAAAAGCTTCTTTCAAGCAGCGGCAGCCCCCTTCTATCCCTCCTTTATTCATCAGGGTGGAAAAAAGATGTGAAGAAGTGTGACATAAGAGAGAAATATGAGGAAAAGGTTGTGTCCTTTTTTTTATAATTATTGTTGATTTCCAATCACTTTATATTGTACTTATTTATATTTTAATTGGAGCATATGAGACAATGAGAAGGGAAAGAAGGACCATATTAACTTTGAGTATTTTCCCTCTAAAAAATGGATATTTTCTCATTATTTAAAATGCAGTTTGTTATTGGATTTTAATGCATGCAAAGTCTTGATTAAATTATAATGAATTGATACACTTTTGTGATCATATATTATGGGGTCAACTGCATAAATTAGTGATCGGGTAACTGATCAACTAATTACTGAAATTTTATTTCTTAGGAATATGTTATTAATGACCTGGAATGACAAACATTACATTAATCATGTCCCAGTTGTTGATGTTTTGTCACAAAGATTTTCATTTTGTTATCATTTGAGTCCTTGGAAGCATTCGGCCAGTTCTACCTACTATTGGATTTGACTACATTCCAATTTGTATTTTTTTTAGATGGTCATCCGCTTTAAGACTCGAACTCACGCTATAACGAATGTAATAATCTCCATGTCACAACCAAACCAGTCATCTGATGTATTGCAATACTAGTATTGGTTGAAATCTATTTGCAAGTACTCTCCATCTTTCATTGTTCTCCATAAATGCCACTTTTAACACCCTCCAACACACACCTAGGGCTGTCAATTTGGATAACCAAAACCAAACCAAACCATTAGCATGAAAACCAAAAACCAATATAGGTATATTCACAAAAACCAAAACCTTTAAGAGGCTTATCGATTTTTGGATAATCATAAAACAATAAGCTCCTTAATCGTTTCGATAAACCAAAACCAAAAACATGATTGACTTCAAAAAAATCAGGGGTCCTTATCGATTTATTGGTTTTTTATTGAATTTTTTCTTTTAACCGAAACCAAAACCATTAATATGCTAAATAGTTTAAAACCAAAATCGTTAACCTTTTAATAGTTTGGTTTCGGTTAAAACCGAAAAACCAAAACTAAATTAACAGGCCTACACTCACCCTTTGTTATCCATTGACATTGGTGTAATGTGTTATTAAGCTACCCATGTGCTTTGAATTCCATACTAAACCACAAGTTTTCCCCCACCACTTTCAAAACATGGCTATAATTACACAACATGACGACAAGGAAACATCTTTTTGCATCAAAAGGAAAGGAGAGGAGGCTCTTACATTTTTCTTCAACTCCCAATTTGCCCACCAAAAAAACAGTTAATTTTCATTTGAGGTTACTACATGATCCAATCTGCAAAGGCAATCTTGTTAAGGGACATCCATTTTTTTTTTTTATGTCATCAGCATGATTCAATGAGGAGACTCTTCTGCAAGATAAGAAGGAAGGGCAATTTGATGGGACAAAGTCCAACAAATGAGTGCCTATTGTAAAAATTCCCCCTCTCCATCAGCACCACACAAAGTAATTATGGCAGGGCTTTCAACTAGTGAGAGCTAAAGCAGAAAACCAGAGTGGAAATAATGGTTAAGAACATGGATCAAAGAGGTGATTGAAGAGGAAATAAAGTTAAGGGACAAGAACACTTTATGGGTTTTGCAAATTAAGCAGAGCACTTGATGGGTTTTTGGGGGGAAATGCATATGACAAGAAAGGAACCAGCACCATACATTAGCCCCTTCTACCCCCTCTCCTCCATTATTCTCTTGCTTTTCTTATGCAAAATTAAGTGAAACAATCATCTCAAAAGATTTAAGTCAAATTGGCTAATCAATGCCCAATTAATCCAATGTTCTAGTGGCACTGGTATACATTTTGTACGGTTAGTACAATTGAGCTAAATGACACTTCCAAATACGTAAAACAATAGCGTCAACATCTACAAAAGTTTAAGACTATGAAGTTCCCCAATCTTCGCAATCTTCTGCAAGGTCTTTTACTGGTCTCATAGGGTTTAAAATAGGTACACAAAGTCCCAGTAAGGGCCAGACTATAAAGTTGCACTTCATTATACTTCATTCATATTTTTCAGTGTCAAACACGTTCACTATCGACTGCCATACTACAAGGTTGCACTTCATTATACTTCGATCATATTTTTCTAGCGTTAAAAGTGCTCACTATCGAACAATCAGACGGAAGAATGAGAATACCATTTTCCAAGTTGCACTTTGATATAGGGTTTGAGAACGAAGGTAGTTGCTTTAATGAATGAACATCCTAATTCCTGCTGTTAAGATCCTGTTCAAAGAATAAGGAACTAAGGAAGTTTGGATCTTTAACGAGCGCGAGAGTCTGCTTGTGAAAATGGACAAGGAGAGACTCCAGTTATCAGGCAGTCTAGGCGTCTATTCAAGAAATGCCCTATAAAACTTCATTCAACAAAAACATACAAGCCTGTTTATGGAAAGTACAACAACATTTCACAAATACAGCAACAACACACCACAAGAAGTACAACAAAGTTTCTCAGAGTCTCCTCTAATTCCCCAAAATTTCTCAGCATAAGAAGAAGAAAAAAACCTTAACCATGGTCAACATCAAGCCTCGGTTTCAAAGGCATCAACAAATGCTCGTTAACATAAAACATAATCCAAACCGTTACTGCAATAGAAAAAGAATCCAAACCCATGTCAGTCGGAGGGAACGATAAAATGACAGATGACTCAAACCAACCTTGTGCAGAACTAGTGCAACCGACAAACCTTGGATTGGTCATCGACGATCAGTCTTCCCAATGGAGCGTTTCCCAGAGAACAAGTGCTTGGGTCGAAGAGTCGGAATGACTCTATCCACCTCACCACGACGAGCATCCTTATTCCTCTTCTTACTAGCATTCCTCGCCATAGTAATAGCTTTCTTCTTCTTGATTGCTTGCAGCACTTCTCTCTCTTCTGGTGTCAAATCTTCACCATCCATCTCGAAATCTTCATCACCATCTTCCACTTCAGCTTGCCAAACTCCTTCTTCACGTTCCAACTCCTCGAGTCTGAGCAGGATATCAGGGTCGACAAAGTCATACACATTATGGCCGTCGAGGAACTCAGGCAATATGTCTTCCTTACATTCCTCATTTGCCAATATGTGGTGCTTCCTCAAGCTAGTCGAGTAAACACTGACACTACCATTCTCATTTTCAATATCCTTCTCGGTTTTTCTTCCCTCCATCTGAGCTGCCTCCAAATCTTTGGCTTCCAAAACTGCCTGGGGGATACAAACCGATCTTTCCTTTTGGTCACGTGGCTTTGGCATTGCAACATGGAAGCGATTCAAGCAGTCATTCATCTTCTTGGATTTCATTTCCTTTTCGACACACTGATCTAGCAGCCTTTCACAAGCTGCATTCTTCACAGCCATCACGCTTTCCTCGGTTAGAGTGCTCATGGTCAGAAGTAAACCATCATCAGCAGCAACTTCACATCCTTGACTCTTTAATGCTTCAGATTTCATCTCCATCACAAGCTTCTTGTCACCTTCATTCAACCCTTCGAGCGGCTGCAAATCAGTTTTGTTGCAGACAATGATCAAAGGCTTGTTTGAGAATAACTAGCTCCTTGATGCTGTGGAATAATGCCGCCTGTTGGGCAATGTTGTAGCCACATGAACCTGAGAGGTCCAAGAAAAACATGATAGCAGCTCGTAGATGAGCTAGAGCTGTAATGCTGCACATCTCGATGATGTTCTTATCCTCAAACGGCCTGTCCAAGATCCCAGGTGTATCAATCACCTGGTATCTCAAATACTTGTAGTCAGTATGACCCACAAAGAGCGACTTGGTGGTAAAAGCATATGCCTGAACATCCACATCAACCCTAGTTATCTTGTTCATGAATGAGCTCTTCCCGACATTAGGGTAGCCACAAATTAAGATCGTTCGGTTATTTGGGTCGATTGAAGGAAGCCTCTCCATATGCTGCCCGACCTATTGGAGGTAAGCCAAGCTCGACCCGATTCTCTTGATCACAGTGCACATGCGTCCAAGTACAACAACTTAGTCAATGACTTGCACCTGTAAAGTGAGTCGCCATATTTTCAAGAGCTTGACATAGTCCTGGCATATCTTGCTGATGAGGTTTTTGTCCGTGTTGACCTGGCCAAGGGCAAGCTTGTAGTGGTCCTTGTTGTAGAGGACATGGAGAAGGTCACCATAGAAAGGATGGATATCGCCCAACCGAGGGAAATCATTGATGATTTTTTGGAGCTTGTCATGGAAATTTGATTGGGTGTACTACACCTTGCGCATGTAGAACTGGAGAAGTCGGGAGATAGCATATTCCTTGTGGACAACCGTTGGGGTTGTCCGTTGTGTTTGAGACAGAATGATGTCGATAAAGTCCTTCTCATTTGGGACAACAGTTATCTTCTTGAAGTTGTATTCGACCATCTTAATAATTTATCTGCATCATGCCAACCGGTATTGTATCAGCAGATTTTCCAGACAACTCGTCAACATACTCCTACAACTGTGGTACAAAATGTAAGAACATTATGAAAACAAGACACCGAGAGCAAATCAGAAAGCATGAGCATCCAATACAAACTCACATGATTCAAACAAACCTAACATTCTAGAAAGCAACGCAAGCTACTTCATTTCAACACCCCCGTTAATCTGACTTCAACCAGCAAGATGGAAATGAAGTTGAACACATCAAATCGACCATCTTAGTTTCGACCCCCTAAAATCCAGAGTCTTGCCTAATTCATTGGCAGCCAACATAAATTCATCAACCGCAGGACGAAAGTGATAGATGACGAGGCAAAGCTCACTAGAATCGAAACCGAAAGATGGAAGCCTTGAAGAGTAAGGGGGCTCACCTTTGAACCCAGCGGCCGGCTGTGGAGAAAGAACTATCGAAGAAGGCTCCTAACGACTAACGACAGCCATTTCCTCCAGGGTTTAAGAGAACGAGAGCAGAAATGAGGAGCTAGTTTATAGGGTTTGCTACTTTGTCTTTGTTGATTCTCTAAAATTACTAGAATGCCCCTCGCGTATTTCCTGGTTTTGAGTTTTGACTAACTGATCGAGTTAGTTAGGGATTCGTTCCTCTGTCTACTCTAGGATTGCCGCCGTTTCCCGGGCGCGAACGTCCACCGTCGTCAATTGTAGGAGCTAGCTCCGCTTCTTTTCCTCTGTTCGTCCTCCTCCTTTCTGTAAGTATCGTTATCATATAGCTTCAATTTCTCCTCGCTCTCTGCCTTCTTCTGTTCCTTCGCCCCTGACGGAGAGAGAGTTCGGTAATGCCTGCTGGTTATGGCTTCTGTACTATTTCGACATTCAAGTCGCTGCAGAGGAAAAGTTCTCAACGTTGTAGAGGAGGAGAGAATCTATTAGAATTAGCATCTCACATGGAGCTTCTTCTTTTGTATTTCCTTTTTACAGTGTGCTGATTGAAGAAAGAATCTGGTAGTTTTGAGTTAGTCAAAAGCAGCTGGAAATAGTTCAGGTATGTGTGTTTAATAACTGAATTTCAAGAAAAATCTATGTCGGAAACAAAGTTTTGATCTTTTTAGGCTAGAAGCTATTTGGGGAAGATTGATTTTGGAAATATTTTATTTCTCGTACTTATAAGATGCCTGCCTTACCACGATTTGCTTACTTCTCCTCCTTCCTTATCTCAGCAGCCCAATCGTGGGAAACTGCCGTCGGCTACCTCATCCACCGCAGATGTTGAAGCTACTGGCTGGCCGGACAATGGTCTCTATGACTTTTGTGCTTCCATCTCTCTTACCTCCAAAACCTTTTTCACGACTTTCAACAATTCTGTTTCCCTCCACTTCTTGGTCCCTCTCGTCTCCTTCTTCCTCCAGACCTCCACGGTTCTACTCCTCAGTTTCACAGATTTCTCATCTAAGGCGCCTTTGTGATGGAGCCAACTCTCATCTAGTTATCTCGCTGTATGCCTGAAAAGCGCCTCAGAGTTGCTGTTCTGCTAAGTGGTGGAGTGGATAGTAGCGTTGCCCTTCGGCTGCTCCATGCTGCCGGCCATGAATGTAACGCCTTTTACCTGAAAATCTGGTTCCAGGTACAATGTTGCTGACTTTCGTTTTCATATTCGGAACTTTTGCTTCGTCTTGCTCTGGTTCTTATGTTGGTGAATTTTTTTGTGTAGGAAGACTTTGAGAACTTTTGGTCAGAGTGACCATGGGACGAGGATTTGAAGTATGCTAGAGCTGTTTGCAATCAGGTTACCCTCTTCAAGTTGTTTCTGCTGATAGTTGCTTTCCATTCTGGTTCAAGAATGTAGTATGCTTCTAAGCAGTATGATGTGATGTCCTCATATGTATGTTTTTGAATTGTAGTCTTTGGGCTTGAGGGTTCATATATTGTATGTGTATGATCCCTTAGTCATCTCCGGTTTATTCTTCGATTTTGGTTCCAGGTTGATGTGCCATTAGAAGTTGTGCATTTGACTGATGAATATTGGAAGAATGTGGTATGCATCTTTGTCCTTCTTACCTTGAGTGGTCTGAGCTGATGGAGCTATGGGGGAATGTTTTCGATTTTGAAAATGACTGAGAGGCGACATGATTTGTTCAGGTGTCTTACATTATCAAGGAGTACCAATGTGGTCTTACTCCCAACCCGGATGTACTATGCAATACACGAATTAAATTTGGTATGTTTCGTTTCAGCTTTGTGGCAATCTGTTCTTCATTCAGAGGTTGATTCAATGTTTGATCCCTCGTCTCTCATACTCACATTGGTGTTTATTAACAAAACTCAGGTGCTTTCTTGGAAGCGGTGAATGACATGGGATTTAACTATATTGCTTCAGGGCATTATGCTAGTTTGATCCACCCATCTTCAAATGAATTGAATAAGGCTTCTGTTTTGGAGCTCTCAAAAGACTTGGTAACCTAGGAGATAAACATTACCAAAAACCTTCTATCTTTTCTTCCTCTTGAGTTCTTGCTCCATTGCTTGTCCGTTCCAACTTGGATTTTATTTTGGGAAGATTGGTTTATTGCTAGTCACAAACAACTTTCATTCAACATTTTCAGGTGAAGGATCAAATTTATTTCCTTTCGCATTTATCACAAGCTCAACTAAAGCGCCTGATTTTCCCACTAGGCTGCATTGCAAAGGTTAGCAAGGGACTCTTGTCTAGTGCCTTATTTTTTGTTAGCGATTTTTTTTAATTAAGATCATTTGCAGGAAGAGGTTCGCAAACTTGCTACAACATTTGACCTGCCTAAAAAGGACAGAAAGGATTCAAAAGGAATTTGTTTCTTAGGAAAGGTAAGGTTTATACAGAGAACTTTTATGTGTTTACTTATCTTCATCTTCACCAGTTATAGTTGCAAAGTGCAGAAGTGTTGGATTCGGTTTAGCTGCATATGTAGTTGTGTCTGGAAATTTGGATTCCTTAAATTGATGACTGTTGTGTCTATCTATTAAGCTGTGACTTTCTCTCGCGCCCTCTGCTTTAAACTTTAATACTTCTCTTATGCAGTTGTTCACAACTACATTCACCTCGCACCAGTTTGGTGTGTTTGCAGATAAAATTGAGTGAGTTCGTTGCGAGACAGATCGGGGAGAGAGAAGGTATCATACTAGAAGCTGAGACGGGCGATTTCCTTGGTATGCATAGAGGATTTTGGTTCGACACCATTGGTCAGCGACAAGGCATTCGCCTTCCTGGTGGTTCCTGGTACCTTCTCATCCCTTTTATCTATAGTGGGTTTGTTTATTCGTTACCTGTGCCTAAAGCCTTCTTCCATGTGATGATTCCTCTTGTCTAGGTATGTTGTCGACAAGGATGTGAATAACAATGTTGTGTTTGTCTCCAGAAACTACTTCTCCATCGACAAGAAAAGGCGATCATTTCGTGTTGGCTCGCTGAAATGGCTTAGTGATAGACCTCCTGAGGAAAAGTGGCAGATTCAGTGCAAGGTCCGGCATGGTCCAGGGATTTACAATTGCAATGTGACTATAGAGCATAGTGAAGATGAAAATGAGGAAGTTGCAGTTGTCCAATTGTCAGAAGATGATCAAGGTCAAGCTGCAGGGTAGTTTGCAGCCTTCTACAATGGAAGAATATGTATAGGCTCCAGCGTAATATTGGAATCATGGGATGATCAAGGGTTCCCTGTATGTGAAAGGGCCATGGAAATTGCTAAACTAGAAGACAAATCAAAGCTGGGGAAACCAGTTAAGATAAAAGTGAAGCCGTTCTTTTTGAACAGGTAATTCTTCATCGTATTTTTTTTATATGAAGTGATGCTGAAATTTTATTCATCTTAAAAGTGGAGGGTCCATAAGAAATGGACTAGCTCCTGATGATTACATAAAGAAAAATGTAAGAAGAACCAGAACAATTATAAAATAAACATTCAAGGAGGCCAGAGAGTTCTTTGAAGGACTCTGTTCAAAGAGATGGGACAGAAATAGAACTTGCAGTTGGCAGCTAAACAAATATCCAGAGCCGGAGTCTGAGGTATCCATTGCTCAACTAGACTGATGGTTCATGGAAGCCCTTTCAAGCATTATAGGTACGCTGCCCTTTCTAAGACTTTCATATCCTTCTTTTCTGAGGTGGGCCTCTGCTTCTGTAAAATAAGAATGGAGCTCATCCTGGGTTCTCGGAGTGTACAATGTCCAGTGAACATCATTGCCATTACGATATCTTAATTAACCATCTACAAGGGAATGAGAATAAATATTCAGTAGTTGTTCTTACATAGCTTGACGTCAGTTGCCTTTGTTGTTTTTTTTTTGCGCTGTAAGCTTTCACCTGCTGCTATTAACTTCTACCACCATCCTGTGTCTTTGGTCATCCTTCTTTTTTGATTGTCTTTCATCTTATCATTGGAAACACCGCCCAAATATGTTGCAAGATGTCGCGCAATTCCTAAAGAATCTGCTCCATATTCATGTATGTCCAATGGTCACAGATCAGAATTGGCTAAATCTTCAAACGCAAATACTATGAATGCAAAATGACAAGGGGAAAGAGGGAGGGAGATCAGAGATTGGCGAGGACATACTGTACAAGCTTGGATGTCTCTTCATCTTCCTCTTTTGTTACTTGTTCGTTTTCTTCATTGCCATAGGGAACTTCTTCCTCCTCTTTTTCCTCTTGTTCTTCTCTTTCGCTTGTCTCTTTCATACGACAAATGCCATTTTCCTGCATACATGAGTAGTTTATGTCTACATCTGGGATGTGACCAATGTTGGGCCAATCTTCAACAAAACATTTGTGTGCAGATTTTCCGTACTGCCTGATTATCAACGACTCCAACTCTGTGAGTTTGGGCATCCAATCTGGGAAACAGGTGACCTGGCAATACTTCATCCGTAACTCTCGCAAATTGGGTGCCATTTGCAGCCAGTCAGGAAGCGAAGCCATTGCTAGAATCGACTTGAGACGAATCTCAGTAAGGTTGTGAAGTGCGACCTGCTGCTGCTGTTGTAGCATAAGGGTGTCATTAGAATTGTCACACAAGTCCAATTTTGAGCAGCGTTCAATGTGAAGGCGCTGGAGGGAAGTGAAGTAGTTTGGCAGGGCGGGAGAGAGAGTCTTCAGCTCCGAACATCTCAAAATGGTGAGTGTCTGGAGGGAAGAGAGTCGCGGGAGGATCTCTTCCCCCATGCAGTCAAGATCAACGTGTTGTAGGAGTAGATGCTTAAAACAAGATTGCAGCGGAGCGGAAGAATGAGATGGTGGAACCCTGAGGATCTGATTCAACAATTCTTTGCTTCCGTCGAATAATGTGAGGCTTTCCAGGTGCAGTGAGGAACAAGGAATATATGTAATGTTGTAGCATTCTTTGATCTTGATGTGGGAGACGCAAGGGAACTGAGGCAACAGTTCCCCTGGCTTTGTCGACCACCCTTTTAGTTTGGGGCAGTCTACTAGCATTAGAGACTTGAGACATGGGAAAAATGGAGACCTTGAAGATGATGTCTCTATGTACTCCAAGGACTCACACTCAGAAACCTCAAGTGTCGCAAGGAAAGGCAGTTGATCCACTGGCGGGAGGCTCTTCCAATTCCGACACCTTTTGATCTTAATCTTCTCCAAGTTGATTAGAGTAGGAAGCCAAATGGGACATTTCGATCCGGCATTGATGCTCAAATCGAACACCTTCAAACCACGAGGAGGACGCAGTGCTTCGAGTAACGTCCCTTCTCCATTAACATCACCTTCACCGTCTCTCCACGTCCCCCACGACAACTCCAAATGCTCTAGATTTTGCTTGTCCAGTAAGCTAGCCGCTTCCGCAGCTTCAGATGGGTTCTTCACAAGCTCCAGATTCTTGATCAACAGTTTTCCTCTGATATTGTTCAGTCGGCGCAATTCCTCAATCCCAGCTCCTCCGCCTCCTTCAGCGACTACGAAAAGGGACAACTCTCTCAAATGATACAATCGTCCTATCCCGAGTGGCATGCATTCCAATCTGGGACACCCTTTGAGACCTAGATGAGCAAGGCTTGACAGCTTTCCAGTGTCATTGGGCAGCCGCTCGAGTTTCCTACAATCGTACAATTGGAGCACTTCCAAGTTCACCAGCTCTGTGACCTCCTCTGGCAGCACATCCATGGAGTTATGAGAAAGATCAAGGTACTTGAGATGCTTCAGGTTACGAATGCTACGAGGCAGTTGGAAGATGCTGAGATTACTGAAGTCCACTACCCTCAAATTTGTCATGTTGGACAAGATGGTTTCATCACATCCTTCCCCTAACATCACGTCGGGCATGGACCAACTCCGATTCACGCAAATAAGTGTTCGCCATTTCTCCGAGTCAGCTGCGGAAGTTGGAACCCGCCATGAATGTCTGCTAGCAAACACACGCTCGAAGTCCAGAGAGACATGTCGTCGAACCCTTTCTGGCTTGACGTTGTTCTCTTGGGCATGGCTATCTGGTGGGTTCGACGACATGTCGAAGGTAAAACTCCCTTGTCCTGCTGCCTCTACAGCTAAATCATGCATAAGATCATGCATCTTGCAGTACCGAACATTTCCCCTATCATCCTTCTCTACCTCTTGATAAAACGACCTCCACAACAGTTCATTGACATAGTTAATCCCGACGTCAAACCGAGTTAACAAATCGGATGAATGAACATAGCCCTGCGCAATCCACAGTTGTATCAGCCTTTTCACGTCGATTTTGTGATCCTTGGGAAACAAGCTACAATAAGCAAAGCAATGCTTCAAATGCGTAGGCAAGTTGTCGTAACTCAACTTCAGAGTCGGCATGATATCATCCTCATTCTGCTCCACTCCCCACATCCCTTTGCTCCGAACCATAGCCCACTCAGACTCGCTTTCCCTGAAAGACAACGCACCAGCAATCGTCTTGATAGCCAGAGGAACCCCCTTGCACTTCTCGAGTATCTCCCTTCCGATCGCCTCGTGTTTGGCGCTCGTCGCTTCCCCTCCCCGAAACGCGATCTCTCTGAACAAACCCCAACCCTCTCCCTCACTCAAACCCTTCAGCTCGTACGGTCGCATCCTGGCATCCAGCTTCGCGACCTTCAGTAGCCGCGTGGTCAGCACCACGCGGCTACCTTTCGCGCCACACATCAACAAGCTCATCAGCCGGCTCCATTTCTCCCTATTCTCGTTCCACACATCGTCCAACACGATCAGATACTTATTACCCTCGATACCTTCACGGAGAAGTTTCTTCAGAGTTTCCATTTCGAGATCTGCGTCTGGCTTATAATCAGTGCAGCACTCTATGATCTTCCTCACGATCAGCTTGACGTCAAAATTCTCTGAAATGCACACCCAAACTTTGACCTCGAAATGCGAGTCGACTCGCTCGTCATTGTAAGCTAGTTGAGCCAAAGTAGTCTTCCCCAAACCTCCGATCCCAACAATGGGAACTACAGAGACCCTGTTATGATCATCACACGACAGCAAAAGCTCGACGATTCGCTCTTTGTCAGCTTCTCGCCCGACGACCACCTCCGGGACATCGGAATGGGTTTGTTCTCTTCCTTTGCGCTTGGCGTCGGCGTCGGCGGCTGAACGTTCTTCCAATTGGAACAGATTCCTTCTCTCACAGATCCCATCCAGCTTTTCCCTAAGGTCTAGGATCCCATGGCAGATTCTGGAGCGGTAAGCGAGCTGGTTGGAGCTGGAAAAGAAATCGAGTACCTCTTTGGAGATTCGGTCGCCGGCGTTGACAATTCCCTGTCGCCGGAGAACATCGGTGGAGAAATCGTCGAGCAAGTCCTCAGCGTCGTAAGCGGCTTCCCGGAGCTCCCTTAGCCAGAGGCGGAGCTGGTGACTTTTGGGGGAGTAGGATTTCTCCTCGGCATCGAGCAGAACGGATTTGATGGCGGAGACTGTGTCGGTGAGCTTCTTGATGTCGTCTCCGATTTTCCATTGCAGTGCGATCTCTTCCAACGCTTTGGAGCCGAGATATTTGAGGATTCCTTGGGCCACATTGAACAGAACCGCTTCCGCCATTGGATTGATTGATTGAATTGAACTCTTTTCTGGGTTTGCTCAAGAGTCAAGAGGAGGCAGAGTAAGTAGACTGTAAAACATTGACTTTGCTTAATAACCCGAAATTGAATGGACCAATGCATATAATCAGATCCACCATTGGCGGAATGGGTCAGAATTAGCGTGGACTTCTGAGGTGCAGGAAGACGTGGAAAAGAGGAGAGATCAGTGTCTAATGTGAAACATATTGACAAGCTCAGTGACCAAATTGGTATTTGACCTTCAGTCCTCTGCCTTTTCCAATCGTCGCGTTTCAAAGTGGATAAAGATAAACCTCCCTTGGCGATAAACCTCTGAAAAAACTTCCGACCACCGGCGGTAGTAGTAATGTCCACTGTCACTGCAACGGCTGCCTTGTTCGCTGCAAAACCCTTCTCCATTTCTGCGTCGTTTCCTTCCCTCTGCAAGTTTTCGATTTCCCATGCGTTTCTCTCCTCCGCTAAAGCTTCGTTCTTTCCCCTGCAACCCCCTCGCTCTTCATCTCCACTTCCCGGGTTAATTACGTGCAAATCCACCATAGACGATGACCAAGATGAAATAGCTGAACCAGACACTGAGTTGGATCAGGAATTTGATGAGTCTGACGGAGAGGATTACGAGTTTGACGTCGATGAGCTCGAACAGGAAGCTAAAGTTGCAGTCAGGGAGTACTCATCGTCCTTGTCCCGTGAATTGATAATCGGTGGGTTCTTTAATGGGTTTCTGATTCAGGTTTTGGGAAATATTATGAATTTTGCTCATTGTTATGTCGTTGATTTTTGTTTGCAGACGATGAGGCTGATACCAGAAAAGAATCTAGGAAGCAGAGGAGGAAGAAGCTCACAGTTAAAGAGGTTCAGTTCTTCATTTTGGCCTTTTCTCACTTCCTGCTTGCTGGGGTTTGATACCTCAATCTCAATTGTTTTATGTTGAAAAGTTTGGGTCTTTGGGCGTCGTAGAGGTTGTAGACAGGCATAGATTGTGGAATCGTGTTGTTTGGATGAGTGATTTTGAGTCTGAATTGTTGATAGCATTGTTTAATTCATCAATCCATTAATCTGCAGATTCCAGATCATCTTCTCTCAAAGGTAGCCATTGTTGGAAGACCTAATGTTGGGAAATCAGCATTGTTTAACCGCCTTGTTGGGGTAAGTAGAAAAAAAGGTTCAAAATTTGCTGCTAGCATGTTAATCCTAGTTTTCATTTCCTGAATGAAAAGATTTTGCTTCTTGAATGATTGAAGGAGAACAAGGCTATTGTGGTGGATGAACCAGGAGTTACTCGTGATCGTCTCTACGGAAGATCCTTTTGGGGTGATCATGAGTTCATGGTGGTGGATACCGGAGGGGTAATCACTGTGTCGAAATCAAAAAATGAAGTTATGGAGGAACTTGCTATCACAACGACCATTGGCATGGAAGGGATTCCGCTTGCCTCTAGGGAAGCTGCAGTTGCTAGGATGCCCTCAATGATCGAGAGACAAGCTACTGCTGCTGTGGAGGAATCCTCTACCATTATATTCCTTGTTGATGGACAGGTAAATAAACACCTCACCCCTTCTCTTTTGAGAATGAGACCTTTTTGGGAGTGTGATATCTAAGCCTACTGAACAGGCAGGCCTAACAGCAGCTGATGTGGAGATAGCGGATTGGCTAAGAAAGCATTACTCCCACAAGTTTGTGATTCTTGCCGTCAATAAGTGTGAATCTCCGAAGAAAGGGATCATGCAAGTTTCAGACTTTTGGACATTGGGGTAAAAGATTGGTTTGCACCATCCTTCCTATGTCATTGATGAAACTTGGTTATGCATGTAGATGCGAGCTTTCTTTGAGATGGATAAACTGATGCCGCTTGATATCCGTTCTTTTGCTGACCAACCTAGGTTCTCACCGCTCCCTATATCAGCTTTATCTGGAACTGGAACTGGGGAGCTCCTTGACCTTGTGTGTTCAGGACTAGCTAAACCAGAGGTTAAACATTCTAGAGTTTCCATAAAATCCTTCTCCCAGTGCTAAGTACTAATGGACTACCATTCAAGCATTGCACCAAAACTCATTTCCTGTCTTTGTTTACTTTATATGATGAAACCATTTTTAGGTTTCCGAAGATCTCCATGAAGAACTAGAAGAAGATTACATTCCAGCAATTTCAATTGTTGGCCGGCCAAATGTTGGGAAAAGCAGCATTCTAAATGCATTGGTTGGTGAGGATAGAACTATAGTTAGCCCCATCAGTGGAACTACGCGTGATGCCATTGATACTGAATTTACAGGACCAGATGGCCAGGTTTGTTTATCATAACATGCTTTGTTAGGGAAGCAGACGATAGGAACAATGATAACTTCCATTCTACCTTGTGCTCTTCTTTGTGTTTCAGTACAAGACATGGGGGATTTGACCTCCCTAAGTTGACTGTTTTTGCAGAAGTTCCGACTCATCGATACAGCTGGAATCAGGAAAAGGGCCGCCGTGGCTTCTTCAGGTAGCACCACAGAGGCATTATCAGTGAACCGAGCATTTCGAGCCATTCGGCTTTCTGATGTTGTTGCTCTGGTCATTGAGGCCATGGCATGCATCACAGAGCAGGTAACTTGTTCTTTGCTTCACATCATTTGTTACACATCTCTTTTCCATGTCCATATCCCAATTCTGGCTCCATTCTGTGACGGATTCAGGATTTTAAAATAGCTGAAAGAATTGAGAAGGAAGGTAAAGGCTGCCTGATAGTTGTCAATAAATGGGACACCATACCAAACAAAAACCAGCAGTCTGCAGTGTACTACGAACAAGACGTGCGAGAGAAGCTCCGTATACTTCAATGGGCTCCCATAGTTTACGCCACTGCGATTTCTGGCCACAGCGTTGACAGGTAATATCCACTGCCATAATCAGGCATTATGAAAATCCAGGTACTGATTTGATTGTTTCAAATCTCAGGGTGATTGTTGCGGCTAGCGAAGTCGAAAAGGAGAGGTCGAGGAGGCTAAGTACAGCCACATTGAATCAAGTGGTACAGGAAGCACTGGCCTTTAAGTCGCCTCCAAGGACTCGAGGTGGTAAGAGAGGTCGTATCTATTACTGCACTCAGGTACTCTTCCTTAAACTCTTACCACAAAGATGTTTATGTCAAAATGGTGTACTAGAGCATTCATCCTGATCTCTTTACAAATATCGAGTTTTCAGGCTGCAATCAGGCCGCCCACATTCGTGTTCTTCGTAAACGAAGCAAACCTCTTCCCTGAGACTTATCGAAGGTACATGGAGAAGCAACTCCGCAAGGATGCAGGATTTCCAGGCACTCCAATACGGTTACTGTGGCGCAACAGAAGGAAAATGGGGAAAATGGATGGTGCTGGTGGTGAGCATCTCAATTACTCCCCTATCTTTTTCAAACCTTTTTCCTATTCCTAGTATTCACATTTACTAAGTTGGGCTTTGGACATGCAGGCAAAGGGCCAGGAGGAAGAGCACAACCGAGCCTGAAATCTCGTGGCAGAAAGTTGGCACTGACTTCATGAAAAAAGAGGTACAGACCCTTTCAGACCATTAAAACCAAACGCCCGTTTAGCCAAAGCTAGCTTCTTTTTGGTACACTGCCGACAGTAGAGCATGGAGATTTCCACAGTGAATTTGCAGTTTGTGGGTCAGCCTGCAGAAGAAATTTTGGCTGCCTTAGTAGTGCCGGTGGGAGACCTGCTGTAAATTGCAATATGTTGTACAAGGCACAGATAAGTTGGGAAGCTGCTAGATAATGATAATGATAATGATCATAATTATAATTTGTTGTTCATGTCTAATGATTGTTTTTCATTAATGACTGTGATTAATGGTGGTTGCATATTCATTAATTGGTTGGTATGAATTATGAGCTCGTAATCTTATGGAGGTTTCAGAGATTATGTTGTTCTTGGGTGAAAATGTGGGCGCAAGAGGGTGTTCTGATCTTTATTTTTCTATCAAATGGGTTCGAGCGATTCCCGCATTGTGGGTAAGGAACCAATTCGAATACCGACTTATAAACAAATCAATTTATATCTTATAAGTTGGATTACGATAATTCTATGAATTATCTTATTATGATCTCATATTAATACCTGTGGCCTGTTCCCAATTAAATATCGGCTCATTTGCAGCCAATATGACAAGTAGTGGATAGGTTGTCATTTTCCTTACTGACTGGAATGAGTTCAATTCTGCATGGGGACAGGCCTTGAGACCACAACTGGGATCTCTACCAAGAATCAATAAATGTGACAACTGTCGTAGACCTAGTTGGGAGGCCTTAAATGAGATCACTTTCCCATGTTTAATACCAGTAATATGGATCATTCTCTTGTTATTTTTAACCACATTAAGGGGGTTGTTTGGGTATATGAATGAGTGGTGGTGTTCGGGCAAATCATGTATCTCAGGGGATCGGTTAGCTTGACTACCCCTAAAGGGGTAGTGATTTTTGACACCCCCTTTATGATTGGCCAATTTTATTTCCAACCATTGGCAAGTATTAATTAAACTGGTTTTTTATTTTTTTTAATCTTGTAATTTGGGGTCTCTCACCACATTGGAAAAGAGAAAGAATCTGGGGAAAAACGAAATCACCCCCATTAATTATATAATTAATTTCTCTCACTGGTACATTAATTACACGTACCACTCTACTGGTACACGTACCACTCCACTGGTACACGTACCAGTGGAGTGGTACGTGTACCAGTGGAGTGGTACGTGTACCAGTGGAGTGGTATTTGTATCATTGAAGTGGTACTGCATTGTTGCTCCGTTATTGTTTATCATTGTTATGAAAAATATCATTGCACTGGTATTGTTCTCACTCTAACCTACCTTGTGGATTGCTCGCACCAGTGGAGTGGTACGTGTACCAGTGGAGTGGTACGTGTACCAGTGGAGTGGTACGTGTAATTAATGTACCAGTGAGAGAAATTAATTATGTAATTAATGGGGGTGATTTCGTTTTTCCCCAGATTCTTTCTCTTTTCCAATGTGGTGAGAGACCCCAAATTACAAGATTAAAAAAAATAAAAAACCAGTTTAATTAATACTTGCCAATGATTGGAAATAAAATTGGCCAATCATAAAGGGGGTGTCAAAAATCACTACCCCTTTAGGAGTTAGCATAGTATCCTACCAGACAGATGCAGTTTCAGAACACACACAGCTTCATTTATTCACTACCGTATCAGTATCTACCGGAGAGCCACCATGCTCCCAACCGTTACCCACCATGGATGGGTTTTGAGCAATAAATTCTCTACCATACTTCTTCTACAACCTTCCTTGGGCCTGTCAGTCTGCCACGTTTTATACTTCCTTCCACAGACTGAACAGTCTGCATGTCGGTATAGCAGAAAAAGGAAGAAACTTTAGTATTCAGTATTTAGCAGAGACTTTCTAGATTCTGGTCTCTGCATCTTTTTTCACAACATAGTCATGGCGAGGTATGATGTGAAAACTCTGGGGAGTGATTTGGAGGACATGAGGGATTACTTCAGAAGTGGGAAGACTAAAGATTGGGAATGGAGGAATGCTCAGCTTAAAGGGTTGCTCTCATTTCTCAAGCAAAATGAGGCACAGATCTTCCAGGCACTTAAGGATGACCTGGGGAAGCCTCAAGTTGAGGCTTATAGGGATGAGGTGTGTTGTTATGAATTTGGGGGTTGATTTTACCTTGTTTGTGCTATTTTCTGATGTGGGTTTGGTTCCATTTTTTATTGGCAGATTGGGACATTAGTAAAGTCTGTGAGGTTTGCTGTGAAAGAACTTAAAGGGTGGATGTCAAGTAAGGGGGTAAGTGTAACCAAAGAGAAGTGATAATAATCTTCTGTGTGTTTGATGAATTTCCCCAATGAATATTTTAAATGGGGTTTTCTCAGGCAAAGATGCCAAAGGTTGCTCTGCTTACTTCTGGAGAGGTGGTTCCAGAACCACTTGGACTTGTCCTCATTATTTCATCTTGGAATTTCCCATTTGGTTAGTGCATACCGGTTTAAAATTGTTTCCTACTTATTGAAAGATAATATCTTTACTGGGAAGTTTTTGTGTCAGGAGTGTCATTGGAGCCATTAATAGGTGCAATAGCAGCAGGGAACACAATGGTTTTGAAGCCTTCTGAACTTGCTCCTGCATGTGCTTCTGTTCTGGCTAATGTACTTCCTACTTACCTTGACAAAAAAGGTGTCAGGATCATTCAAGGAGGACCAGAAGTTGGTGAAAAATTACTGCAGCAAAAATGGGACAAAATCTTCTTTACTGGTACAAGATGCTGTTATCATCCGTTTCTAAATTCTGTTTTTGTCCTTCTAATATTGAGAAATTGCTCATCCCAAACATTTCGATCCATTATGAGAGTTTCAGGATTGGGTTTTCATATATGTTTCTTGCTCTTCAAAGTTACCATATTCTTGTTTTAATCAAGAAACTAACAGCAGCAAAAATGGCACATAAGTCTTGTTTCCTGTTACAAAAAAGCTTCTGATTTTAATGATATCCAGAATCAGTTTATCCAATAATTCGAGTTCATATTCTCGACAAATTTATGGTAATTTGTACTTAATTCAATTGTTAGTGTTGGAGTTACTCAGATTTCATCTACAAGACACTTTCGATCACCATAGAATCAAATCACGCAATATAGTTACCCACCAAAAACTCAAAATGTGAGGAAGACTAAAGGATGAATTCTGTAACATTCTATAATACTTACAAACTATTGTGTGTCACTATGTAGGAAGTGTAAGAGTGGGCAAGCTTGTAATGGCTGCTGCAGTGGAACATTTAACACCAGTTGTTCTTGAGTTGGGAGGAAAGTGCCCTGCAGTTCTTGATTCCTTGGCGCCATGGCCAATGAAGGTAAAAAAAAAAAAAAAAAAAATTCATTCAAGAAACTCAAAACCACTTTCGCTTTGGCTCTACTAGTCCAGTTATCGTTTCCATCCTCCATTGATTGTATCAGGTGGCCATAAATCGAATACTCGTCTCCAAGTTTGGCACTTGTGGAGGTCAAGCCTGCATAGCAGTTGACTATGTTCTTGTGGAGAAAAGATTAGCTTCCTCCTTGGTAATGAATCGTTGAACATTCCTAGAACAAATTTCATTTCTTCTTACCAGCGACTATGATTCGACTTAGTCACATTCCTTCCAGGTGGAGTTGATCAAGGTGTTGGTCAAGGACATGTTTGGAGAAAAACCAAGAGAGTCAAATTCTCTTACCAGGATTATCAGCAAGCAACACTTCTCAAGATTGAAGAGTCTTCTCAATGATCCAGAAGTCAAAGCCTCAGTTGTCTATGGTGGCTCTATGGACGAAGAACATCTGTAAGACAAAAAGAACAATGATTCTTCCCTTAAGCTCTGCCATATTTTCGCCCCATATTCCCACTATGAACCATATCCCATAACTTTTCTTTACAGATTCATCGAGCCAACCATAATTCTAGACCCTCCACTTAACTCCCAGATCATGACAGAAGAAGTCTTTGGCCCATTGCTTCCCATCATTACAGTAAGCAGCCAAAAAAATTTTCTTTCGGATTTTTTCTCCAAAACGGATGCAAAGTTGTGAGCTTTTCATTAGATGAATTAAAAACCCTTTTGCTTATAATTGGTGATTTTTCCAACAGTTGGAGAAGATTGAAGACAGCATCAACTTCATAAATGCAAGGCCAAAGCCGCTAGCTTTATATGCCTTCACAAAAAACCAGTCCTTTAGTAAAAGAATCCTTTCTGAGACATCATCTGGAAGTGTGGTTTTCAATGATGCTAACATCCAGGTATATTTTAATCGAACTTCGTGTTCTTTATAAATAATTTCGAAGTGATTCGCTCTATCTTATTTGTGCTTCGGGGGGGTTTACAGTATTGTGCAGATACCTTGCCGTTTGGAGGTATTGGAGAGAGTGGGATAGGGAGCTACCATGGGAAGTACTCGTTTGACACTTTTAGCCATTACAAGGCAATTCTGAGGAGAAGCTACTTCACTGATTTTTGGTACAGATTTCCTCCATGGAACTATCGCAAGTTGCTGCTGTTTGAAGCCACTTACCACTTTGATTACATAACGCTGCTTTTGGTCATTTTGGGCCTCAAGAGGTCCAGATATAGATGCTAGCTTAGCCCAAATCCCATCACACTATCAAATATCAATACAACTACTTTAGTACTTTATAATAATCTTTCGAAATTTCGTCCGCAATATTTGTAATATATTAATTACTGTTGTACCGCAGTTTAATCTTGTTAGGTAAATGTGTATCTGATGATTGAAGGCGTTATATAAAATTTATCGTTTTTCTGCTTCTTATGATTATGTACATACGTAAAATACATCAATTGTAACAATCGTAAATACTAGACTGAGCACTTAAAGAGACATGTTTTGATTACTTTGGAGCATGGGAACGGTGGTAACAAATATGGGTAATCCCGTGATCCAAGTTGGCCCGAGTAAGGTAAGCCCATTAATAGCGGAATGAATTGGGCCCAACCCATTAAACAACGTGATCTCTGCAAAAAGCGAGGGAAATGTTTCCCGCCATTTCCATTCCTTCCTCCTTTCTTCCTCAGCGAAACCCTCACACTACTCTACTGCCCCTTTTTCTTCTGGTTTCCTTTTTTTGTCTGCAGTTTCCGCAAAGCACATCCCTAAAACCTGATCTCCGCAACTAAACACGGACCCAAATACCCCGGTGCTTCAATGGCGGAAACTCGAACACCCAATAAGCGCTCAGCAAAAACGTTCAAGTCTCCGAAACAATCGTCTCCTCTCCCTCCGACGCCGAGCTTACTCACCCCGCAGACTCCGCAGACCGCCGACCCACCCCGCCGATCCTCCCGTCGTCTATCCCTCAAGTTTGATTTCACCCCCGAGAAGCCAGTTCCGCAATCGGCAAGGAAGGAGAGGAGCTCGAGGAGAAAGGAATTAGTAAAACCCCCAAAATCGAGTTCTAAAACTGTGGATGCGGCGGAGTTGGCTTTCTCCCCGGCGTCTCCGGACCAATCGGAAGCTAGAAAGAGGAAAAGGGCCGATGGGAAGCAGCAAAGGACGGTGGCGAAGAGGGTTTATTACAGGAAAGTGGTGTACGACGAGGGAGAATTTGGGGTTGGGGATGATGTGTATGTGAAGCGGAGGGAGGACGCGAGCTCAGACGAGGAGATCCCTGAATCGGAGGAATGCAGAATGTGCTTCAAGGCGGGGAAAGCTGTCATGATTGAATGTGATGATTGCTTGGGTGGATTTCATTTGAAATGCTTGCAGCCTCCGTTGAAAGATGTTCCGGATGGGGATTGGATTTGTGGGTTCTGCGAGGCGAAGCGATCTGGGAAGGTGGTTGAGAGGCCTAGGCCTCCCGCAGGGAAGAGGAGAGTTAGAACTTTGAGGGAGAAGCTTCTTTCCAGTGACCTATGGGCTGCACGCATTGAAAGGTTTTGAGTTTTGTTAGTTTGTTTGGTTAGTGAGTTCTAAGTTCTTTTCAGCAGTGGTGAAATCATTGTGAATCGATATTTTGCAGCTTGTGGAAGGAAACGGATGGAAGCTATTGGTTTAAGGGTCAATGGTATATTATACCAGAAGAAACTGCAACTGGAAGGCAAGCTCATAACTTGAAGAGAGAGCTTTACAGGACAAATGATTTTGCTGATATTGAGGTGAAGTTTAATTTAAGCCATGGCCAAAGATTATGTTAAGTTTTGAACAAGAATATTCACTTGAGAGTTAGTTGCTGAGTTGTGAAGGGGGAGTCTGAAAATTGTGCCTTTGTTGGATCTTTGGATGCTGCAGATGGAGTCAGTCATAAGGCATTGCTCGGTCATGACTCCCAAAGAGTACGCAAAGGAAAACGAAGGAGATGATGTTTTCATGTGTGAATATGAGTATGACGTACGGTGGAATTCATTCAAACGCATAGCTGAAATCGATAATGAGGGAGAGGTAAAGAAAGAGGATACATGAATTGCCTTTATTCTGCTTTGGGATCACTTTCAGATTTGCACGAAGTTTTCTTTGAATGACTATTTTCTTATTTGATAGGAAGGTGAAGATGCTGAGAGTGATGAAGATTGGAATTCATCCAAAGGCGTAGTTTCTGATTCTGAAGATGAAATGGAGTATGAAGCTGAAGCTGATAAACATTTGCCACACAGAACCTCTTCAACACATCCATTGGCTGCAGTATGTACAATTTTGTTATTGCAGCCATTCTTGGATTTAGGCTCATTGTCTGGCTTTTCTAATCTGTTTATGTGGCTGTTACAGAACTCAAAGAAAGGGCACTTTTACGGCCTTCAGAAGATAGGAACCAAGAAGATACCAGAACACGTAAGGTGTCACAAACAAACTGATCTAGAAAGAGCAAAAGCAACACTGTTGTTGGCGACATTGCCCAAATCTCTTCCTTGCAGGAATAAGTATGAGAACCTAAAAGTATTCATTTCTTCCTGGCTTCTATCTGAGAAAAATGTTCTAAATTATAGATCAATTTGATGCAGAGAAATGGATGAGATTACTACATTTATAAAAGGTGCCATCTGTGACGATCAATGTCTAGGCCGTTGCCTCTACATCCATGGTGTTCCCGGAACTGGGAAGGTAAACCTTCCTCTCGAATCCAAATTCCCAAACTGTCCAAGTTTGTGTACTTTGCAAATAACTTGAAATTGGACTCTTTGTTGATATGAAAAATTGCAGACAATGAGTGTGCTATCCGTAATGAGGAACTTGAGGTCTGAAGTTGATGCAGGAACAATAAAACCATACTCGTTCGTTGAGGTTAATGGTCTAAAGTTGGCATCACCAGAGAATATTTATAGGGTAAAAGAAGGATCCTTGTGAAACTGCTCTATTAATCACTTTGTTGAATCATTCATTAGTCATCAATTGTCTGTTTCTTGTTTTAGGTTATTTATGAGGCTCTGAGTGGTCACAGGGTTGGCTGGAAAAAGGCTCTCCATTTGTTGAATGAGAGATTCTCAAATGGGAAGAGCATTGGCGACAAGCCATGTATTCTACTTATTGATGAGCTTGATCTACTCGTGACAAGAAACCAGTCGGTACTTGATACGGGTCTTTTCAGTCATTAGTTTGTTTAAGATTGTTGCATATGGATTAGCATTGGCTATATTTCAGCTCTGAATCGCCTTATCTCCACAGGTTATATACAATATTCTTGATTGGCCAAATAAGCCGCATTCTAAGTTAATCGTGATAGGTAGGTACTACTTAACGCAATTCTGCAAGTAGTCTAAACATTCAGTTTTGGATGATATTGATTGATTGCTCTGTTGTACACTATCAGGAATAGCAAATACAATGGACCTTCCAGAAAAGCTGCTCCCTCGCATTTCTAGCCGCTTGGGTATCCAGAGGCTTTGCTTTGGCCCCTATAACTATCAGCAGCTACAAGAGATCATTTCAAGTCGCCTTAAAGGGATCGACGTGTTTGACAAGCAAGCTGTAGAATTTGCTTCAAGGAAGGTCGGGCCATGTGATCTCTTCCTCTGTAATTTGAATCACACCACCCCTGCCATTAATGAAATTATACCACTCCACTTATTGCTATTTTTTATGTCCAATACATGAATACACCCTAGGTTGCAGCCATATCTGGAGATGCACGTCGTGCTCTAGAGATATGCAGGCGCGCAGCTGAAATTGCCGATTATCGTATCAAAATGTTGAGGGAAACTCCCACAGGTACATATATATAGTCGTGAGTGAAGAGAAAAGCATTCACTTCAAACTTCCCGTAAACAGCCAGTTCCTCATTGAATGAATGTATATTCCACCAATTTTCCAGGGAAAGCGATGGTTGCAATGTCAGACGTTGAAGCAGCCATTCAGGAAATGTTCCAAGCACCACATATCCAAGTAAGCAAGAACTGGTTTTTCTTACTGCCCAAGAAATGAACTTTACCTCACTCCATGTATCTTCTTCTCAAGACTAACCGATCGTTCCTGCTTCCCCCTGCCCCATTGCTTTTATCTCCAGATGATGAGAAGTTGCTCCAAACTCGGTAAAATATTCTTGACAGCCATGGTATATGAGCTTTACAAAACAGGGATGGGAGAGACAACATTTGAGCAGGTCCCAATTCTCTGTAGCTTTCATTTCTGTAAGAGGGAAAATAATGAACCTTCCAGTCCCATTAAAATGTTGTTGTGTTCTTGAAGTTGGCGACGACTGTTTCATGTCTCTGTGCGGGCAATAGAGAAGCCTTTCCTGGCTGGGACACTCTCATGCGAGTTGGGTAAGTTGTTACATTATTTCAATCCAAATTTCGATCCTACATTTGGTTGAACTCTCCTAATGAGAAATCTTGCATGTTTTTTTTTTTTTTTGGATTGCGGGCAGCTGTTTGTTGGGTGAAAGCAGAATAATTGTATGTGAACCAGGAGCTAGGCACAGGCTGCAGAAACTGCAGCTAAACTTTCCAAGGTTCGCTTGCTGCTCCCTTGACCTTAAAGCAACCAACTTTACTCTTGGGTAACAGTTATGATTGGGGTTCTTAGCAGGCATTTGCTTGTTTTAATACTGTGCAGCGATGACGTGACTTTCGCCCTGAAAGACAGCAAGGACCTGCCATGGCTGGCCAAGTTTTTATGCCATGGCTAAGCCGACTGTATCATTTACCTTATTACCTATATCCAGCAAATTTTGGGTTCCCTTTTGAACGTTTTTCATCAGCTTTTATTTATTCAGAACCATACAAACTGTGGTTCAGAAGCTATTAGCTACCAACATGGGCGGCTGGAGAACTAGAATTTGTACTTTGTTGAGACTTTCCTGCGTTGGTTTCAACAGTTGTATCCCTTGAGAGAGTCAATCGCATAAACTCTTTAAAAGCTTCAGTTTTACGGGATAACTTTTCTTCTTCACCCAGCGAAACCCTCATGTGAAAAGAAAAGCCAGATACTTGAAGGAACCTGTTGGCAATGGCAGCAGAGGTGGCCCACCGTCGTCGCAGTCTCGCAGACGTCGCCTCCTTCGTTCTGGTGGTGAGAAACGAAACGGCGACGGAAGTTGGGATTGCGGACGGATTTGCACCGGACGGCAGACCTAACGTTCGGCATATATATTGACGACATTTGATGGTCGAGCGCTAATCGTTGTTGGTGAACTCCAAACCAAAAAGCTTTACCCAGATGGACATTATATTATAGGCGAATAATCATTCTCGTATCGTACTACAAACTAAGCACGCCGGCGATGGCAATTAAGAACAGGGGAAAGTAAAAGGAGTGAAGGACGGCGTGAATCCAGACGGCTCGCCGCCTAATCGCTTGGAATTTTTCCTAGAAACCAATCAAGCCAGCCAGAAGAACAAACACCCCCAAGTAAGAACCCAACTTAATCTCCCTCATCCTGTACCCACCACTAGTGCCATTGCCTGGAGCAGAAGCAGGAGCAGAGCCGCCGGGAGTGGAACCAGGAGCAGGGGAAGGCGCCGGAGCGGCGCCGCCGGCCAGCTGCAGCGTCTCCTTCGCAGCTAGGTTCGCCGGGCTAAACTCGTGCTTCGCGGGAACACCGTTGGTCACCGTCGCGCCGACCTGCCAGACGTGGTTCACCTGATCGGCGCCGGCCGGGAGCTTCGCCGAGGCGAAAATCGCGGTGGCCCCGCCGCTGAGGGACTCGGCGGCGAGGTCCCAGACGTCGAACGAGAGCTTCTCCTCCTTGATGCTGCCGTACGAGACGAGATTAAATGTCTTGACGACGAGGCCGCCGCCGCCGGCCTTGAGGGCAATGAGGGCCTGGGTGCCGGCCATTCCGGTGCCGTTCGGGTTGATCCCCCATCCGACCCATCCGTCGGCGGCGGGAGCGGCGGCGACGAAGGCGACGGAGAGGGAGGAATTGGCGGCGTTGAATGTGTAGTGCAGGGCGGCGGACAGCGCCGGGAGGGATGTGCAATTGGCGAAGATTTTGTTGTTCTTGAATTTCTGAGGCGGGCAGGTTGTAGTGGCAGAGCGAACAGAATCGGTGCAGAAGAGGAAGAGGAGGAGAGAGAGAGCTGCAAGGGAAGAGAGGGACGCCATTGTTATGGTGTGTACTGGAGCTTCTGGTAGAGAGAAAATGAGGAAAGGGAGTTAGGAAGGAAGGAGGAGAGTGGCATCCTATGTAATTATATATAGTGGGGGAAAATGGAGGATTGGGCCCTTTTCGGGCTCCTGACCCGGCCCGTAAAATTTTAATTATTAAAAAGGAGGTTATCTTTATTTAATTACCCAGCTGGTGGGCCGGGCCATTCACGTCTCCGAGGACACAGCGTGATTAATTATCGACAGAAAGATGATAGATTAATTAACATTTTTAACTGTGAAAGAACATGTCTTGTTTGCCACTTTCACGGAAGAAACAAAACAGAAGATCAAAGAGACCTAGTTATCTCTAATACCATATTGTCTGCTCCCTTCCACTCTCAGTAAGAATTTAACTTTGGACATTTGATTAAAAAAGTATGGTAATAATTGAGTTAGGTGAATACTTATGTGAAGGAAATTTCCTTTGTTTTGGTTTCTTTTGATTTGATGTTATGAATGGTTTGGTTTTAATAATTCGATTTTTCGATTAAAAGATTTATTATGTGGATCTATATCACTCTTGTACGCACGGCTCTCGTACAAATACATTGTTGTGAGCAGTTGGTTTCTTTTCCAGAAACTCAAGTTATTGTAAGCAGTTGGTTTTTGACATGATATCAGAGTTGTTCTCGCGATTCCTAATATTAATAGTTGGTTTAAAGCACATGATATGGTGGTCATATGCAAACTTCGAGTTTGTTAGCTTATTTTCGTTTAGTGGGGCGTGTAAAAAAGTTGGTTAAAATCTATACATGGGCATTGGCGGAGCTAGGTTAAGGGTTGTGGGGTCCATGGACCCCACTTGGAAAATAAATATACATTAAGAATTGTGGATTTTTAAGGTGGGGTTAGTAAATTTAGAACCACGAACCCCCTCTTTCCGAGACAATGATTTTACTATCGAGTCAAACTTCGTATTTGGTTATGTTTGGACCCCACTAAATTATATCTCTGGCTACGCCAATGACATGGGTCTTTATCAACAACTTGAGTTATTGAGACCAGCTGATTTATAACATGTTGTGCTACAATCAGCTGTTGATATTAAGGGTCGTGAAAATTTGAATACACGAGCACTCGAGCAAACCCAACTTCAATATCATCAACTTCGGATCTCGATAACTCGAATAGTTGTAAGAATGTTAATAGGCTAAAGAGGATTTTATCTCATCATGTATGTTTGTGAAAGTTTCTTATTGGGAATATTTATGAATTTTATATGTAGAGTTTGGATTTATGAAAATAGCTACCAATAGTATGCTTAGGTTTGACGCCATGTGTAAGGACCACTAGGTATATCCATATTTATTCTTCAAAGGGGGAAAAAAATAGGATTGCTGACTTTGAGAGATATTTCAATGGCAAAGCAATGAAGACAAGATTCCACAAAATAACTAGGAAGACATCTTGTTGGGTGTATTTGAAATGATGATATTTGCAAATACTATGCAAGTGACCAAATATATCGATTTATTTTGAGATTTTGATGCAACTAACCGCGATTTGAAATGCACATGCACTTTCAAAATATTTTTAGGGGGAGTGATATGAAATATTCACAATTACACCCTATAAAATCGAGATCTATACGACATTTTTCACATTTTTGTTATAATTTTATGTACAAAAATACACTTAACTGATTATAAAATTTTTGTATATACACCAGACTAAATGCACCGTAAAATATTTGTTGAGAGGTGAATCACAACTCTTCATTAATCAAGATAAAAATTGCACATATGCAGTTTGATGGGTAGAATCTAGAATGAATGAGTTAATTAGTTGATTGGCCAAAGATGGCAAAGAGCCACAAATTGGGTAAGTTGACCTTATTTTCCCCCAATCAAGTTACATCCCAACATATTCTGTAGCTGAATCCATATGGAATGCATGCATGTCCCTAACTTTGTACATCTCATGGTATTGGCATGCTCAGAGTCATTATTTCTTAATTAATGGGAGTAATGATTCCCTGGTTTAGGCTACTGTAAGCTCATTGAAACATATGGATATCGCGATGTTTAACGAGATCTCGCTATTTAAATTGTAAATGAACTAAAAATTCAAGTTTGTTATACTATAACCGAATTTTTAATGACTCTAAAATCAATTTAATAAAAAAAATTCAACGATTATGATTCGTTGAAATATATCTTAGTACATCCAACCTCTTTGTTTGCAGATGTATGCTGGCCTTTGTAATCTTACCCACCATTGATAAATAATTATTTAGCTCGTCACTCGTCAATGCTAATTGCACGAACCTCCCTGTTGGTAACGACTGGAGTTCTCGTGGATAGCCAGTAAAACTATAAACCTAGGGATAATTGCAATTATCAGGGTTGACTTCACATGAACATGTTTAGACTCAACTACACTTCGATTTCAAAGGTTTGAATGTGAGAGTTGACAGAAAATCAAACTAAGAATCTCCACTCTTCCTTTTCCCAAGGCCCTAGCGATTTACTTGATGTTCACCTCTATATATTTGGACAAATCACAATCGTCAATTATTAGTTTTTAAATAGAGAAAATGCTCGTATATAGAAAATCAAGATACAATATTTTACCCATTAGAAATTAATTACGATTTAATTACGATGATATGAATAACACACTCACTAGAAGTATCAGAATGCCACATTTCTGTATACTAGATTTTACTGTATATCCTGTTGACTTCAAGAAAGAGTACGACTTTCAACCAAAACAAACAAATAAATAAAAAGCAGGACTGGGTGATTATTGAATAAGAAGGCACAATCCACTAAGCACATGGGAAATCAGTAATTAGCAAATACAAGGGATCTTGCTCCCTCGCATTTCTAGCAGCTATATCAGCAGCTTCAAGAGATCACTTCAAATCGCCTTTAAAGGGATTGACTTGTTTGACAAGCAAGCTATAGAGTCTGCCTCAAGGAAGATCAGTTCAAGCTATAGAGTCTTCCTCTGCAAATTGAATCACAACACAACTGCCATTAAATGAGCTTCATCTGCAATGTCGAGTCAAACTCCCACAGGTACATGCATATAGTCTGATCAGTGAAGAGAACTTCAAAGTTTTCTTAAACAATCAGTTCCTGACTGAATGAAGCAGCCATTCAGGAAAAGTTTCAAGCATCAGATATCCAAGCAAGCAAGAACTGGCCTTTCTTTCTGCCCAAGAAATGAAATTGACATCACTTCATCCCGTCTTCTTCTCGAGACTAACTAATCGGTACATTTATGGAACGTCGACCAGGGACCACAAACAGTTACTCATCAATGTCTGGTATATCCTGCAGTGCCTGAAGAACATCGACCAATTGATCCTTGCTGATTTCCCTTTCATGCATCCGTAATACTCTTCTCATGGCAGAGCATTTTGCTTAGAACAACAACATTTCACCACATTCTGCTTCTTAACCGGATGACTGGACAGTGATGTTGATCTGCTGTTCTTCTTTGGTGGACTAATTAAGATTAGAAAGTACGCCACATGAAGAAAGTGAGTGAGAGTGTACACAGACAGAGACTATCATCTCTTTACATCCTAACATTGCCACAATAACTTCATTTCAGTTCAGTTTAGCGCATTCCTGAACCAATGGTAGCAACACAAGCAAAAGGGTAAAGGTAGATTCTTACAAGCAGAAGTGAACTTACCAGTTACTGGGGGGAGCTGATGATTTGCTGCTGCTCTGAACCAAACAACTGTAGGTTCCATCGCCAGGCCTCACAGTTTCTCATAGTTTGGAATTGGGTTAGCCGGTTAGGCCACCAAGTGAACCTAGGCTGGAGCACCTTCCTGAGAAAACAAGATTTTTCCCTAGTCTGAAGCTTTAGCTCCATGGGCCTCAAAATACATGAGAACATAAGACGTTTATGATCATTACATTCATGACTTCCTAATTCTAACAAGAAATTTCATGGTTGCTCAGATGTAGAGCAAGTACACCTCACAATCACATCTCCAGATCCCCATATTCTTCATGGCCAGATCTTAGTAACTGCTCCAAAGGCACTCCATATAGCATTGTCCATTGTCCACGGCTGTCTTCTCCCTCCCATCTCCAAACACTTAAGGAAATCCCTTGAAAGACCTTGTCTAAGATCACAGAAAACACAAATCATGTGCAAAACACCCTGTGAGACCCAAACTTGGGATGTGTTTCCCATCAATGAGAAGATTGGGATATCATCGATACAAGTTGGAGGTGTGTCTAGGCGGAAAGGATCCCACACAGCAACATGGCCATGTCAAGAGTCAGGCAATACAACTTGCCATCGCACCATTTCATGTTATGGCCTACTATCAGTCTTGAATGATGATCCATATCAATAATGTATGTCATCCATTCCCCAGAATCCGAACAGAACAAGTCTACTTCCAGAGCTTGAATCGATCCAGATAAAATACCAAGCGGAATAGAAACTTGGAAACAATCAATAAATCAAGTTACCCATGAGCACATGCAGCTAACGATAACTGAAAGTAGACTTGGACAGGTGCTGCATATTGTATCATCTGAGTAATTTGCCTTTGGTGGCATCATAATGCTGTTAATAACCATTGGTCTTCTTAGGTGTCGCTGCACTGATACGCATTGGGCTAGTCGAGCAATAAATGCCATTCATTTCCGATATAGCAAGGTTCCTCTCATTCTCATCATCAAATTTAACGAATCCATATCCCTTAGACCGCCCGGTTTTAGGATCAGTTAGAACCTTAGCTCCTCGAACAGACGGCCTCTGAGTCCTGAACGTCTCTTGCCAGAGATAATCTGTAATGTTGGGTGCAAAATCCCCCACGAATCATAGAATGCTCAGGCCCTGCCTCAGGACGCCTCTTTCTAATTCCAAATGAAGCCCAGTTCAGCCCCTGGCATCTGGGTTCCGTTATAGGATTGTAGAACCCTCTCGGCTGCCTGATGAGAAACAAAACAAACTCAACGAACCTATTCCAACACAAGCTCGCAACTTTGCCTTTTGAATTCATAGTAAAAGAACTGAGCAAAACTAATTGCAGAACCGCAGTAAAGCACTGCGTGTATGAGAGAGAGATACCTCGCCGGTTTGAGCGAAGCAGGAATTGAGGTCGTTCTCATCGACCCAGTACTGCAAATTGCCAATCCAAAGAGTTCTAACTTCTTCTCAGGTCGCCGGCTGATGACACACCATTGTAAGTGCTTTCTTAATTTATTCATAGACAATTTTTCGAATAAAACAATTACAAGCTCTAGCCGTCGACAATATTTATGAAAATTAACTACTCATTTCACACATATATCTCAAAGCTGGGTACTAAACTCCATCAAAAGATAGTCGTTAACTTCCAAGGTGAAAATTGATTAAATATGTACAATTGGGAGCAACTCCAGTGTTCATATACATGAACTACTTAATTAAGAAACATTTTTTTTTTGTTTTAAATCATTAAGCAACACTTACATTACAAACATGGATGAGAATATGAACAAAGCACACATTATATAGGTCAAAATTACATACAAAATGCATAATCAATAATCACCAAAACTCTACCGGCCAAAGGGCCGGGGCATGTGCTAGTATTCTGAGAAGTGAGAATACAATTCAATGAGAGAAAGCAGTTCACATATTGGAAACAAATAGGAAACGCTTTTCTTTGTCCTCTCTCTTTCTAGTTCTACCTAAGAAGCTGGCAATTTCATGAAACATAACACCAGCTTTTTTTCAGTATTTCCTCCTCCAGGAATGCCACTTTACTTTCATCTGGTACCACAACGGCGGCACGCCAAGGATCCCTCGCAACAACCTCGGATCAAACACATTAAACTCCACCTTCCTCAGAGTATCCAACAGAACTTGGGCAGGAACAGAAGGCAACAACACCGGACAAGCCTCAACAGGCACCGTTCCAGCCAACTGACGAGCCTTCTCCAGATGAGCATTCGCCACGGACGCCATCTCAAACACAGCATCGCTCAAACTTCCCTCCCGTGATTCCAATTGAACGTATGACCTCCCTCCTTCTTTAACCAACAACCCATGTTTCAACGCCACCTCGATTGGTATATACGAGCCCTGACGGCTCTTGCTTGCATGATACGGCAACGACCTGAGAAGCAAGAGTAGCCCACTCGCTTTACCAATGTGGGACGCAGCGTGGTCAGCTGCAGTAGACCTGATGCCACCGGATTGAAGGGTTGTGTACAGAAGGGTGGATACGGTGTCCTCAGCATATTTTTCCAGCTCGGATATGGAGTTTGGGATGTCATTGGGATCTCTCCTTGCGTCGTTGATCCTTGCCTCGACAGAACGTTTCAGCCATCCTTTGCTGATTTTGTGGTCGGAGATTACTGATGCGAGGGCTTGTGCGACTGGCTGCTCGATTGACTTGCTGGAATATATCTTGTCAATTGCTTCTTGCCACCATAGAAGGCGCATGAGACCAATTCTGGGATCTGATGCGACGTCCATGGCTTTGGAAGTTTCCACGTTGAAGGCACGGAGTGCAAAAGCTGCCTTTCGCATGTCGGGAGGAAGCTCGAGAAGGCAGAGGTAGTGGTGGTAGTCATAGGTTCGGACTTGTTGTACGCAGAAGGAGAATGCTGACCGCAAGGTAGTGGAAGCGCCTTTCATCAAAGCAGCAGTGTGCTTCCCCCCTGAAAATTTGTGTGGATAATTACGATTAGAAAAGCTGTCTCAAACAACAACGAAACTAAACTTTCTCATATTCATTTTGTCTGAACTCTAGAATCACATTTTCTAAAGAGAATCTTAACAACTAGCATCTTTGCTGAACTTCCAAATATGCATAAAAACGCCTAAATGATTCTTATTTCTTAATATATAGTAATAATATGAGCAGCAACTGACTATGCACGGAGAGAAAGGAGAATGTAAAATCACATAATTACCTTTATTTAGTCTCCTATTTTGTCTAACCCGTAGGCAACAACTCAAGCATCCTGGTTGAATGAATGTAATGCAGACCATTTGCAGTAAATATTAATATGCAGGTTATTGCTTCTTTATAGTTAAGGAAGACAGTTAAACAAAGTGCAGATGATACCCCAACCGTGATACCAAAAAGAACTGGAATCGACAAGGATCAAGAAATTGAAAATGAACATGGTTATTCTTTTTGGTAGTTTTATACACTGCAACCTTAACAGATTGACAGATTAAAATCAGATTGTTTGCAACCTTGAACAAAGTGCAGATGAACATGGTTCTTCTTTTTGGCAGTTTTATACACTGCAACCTTAAACAAATTGACAGATTAAGATCATATTGGCAGCAACATTATACAGTCAAACAGCCAGTCAGCCACCAATCATGTTCAATCACATTGGAATCATAATCCCTTCAAAAAACCCTTGCCTACAAGCTGAGATTGCTTAATCTAATAACTGTTCTCAACCTAGCAGCCCTCTCACAAACATCATCTTGTCTAATATGTCTTCAAAATGGTAGAACTTCATCAAGGACACGAAAATTGCAGTTTGAAGAACATATATATGTGCACTGTAGTATTGTTGCGGTATGAAAACTTAGGTTGGTAGAACTGTATTCACTACGGTTGAACCACTCACAACCAAGCTTACAAGGCCATGAAGGTTGCGGCAATTCTGCCAAGTAATCAACTTTCCTAATATGTTTGACTGGACAAAGTAAGTCATGAAAGCTTTAAAACCCTCAAAACACAAATCTATTTCTGCTCTCCTTCGCCAAACACCAACAAAGCAAGTCATAAAACCCAGAACCCAAAAGATTGCGATTGAGACGAAGGCATCATACCAAAACAAGACAAGGAGGAAGAACGGAGAAAATGGATTTCGCAAACTCACCTGCCGGAGAGTTTTGGCTGCTCGCTAATACTCTCCGGAGCCGAGTTTTTGCTGCAGCCTGCAAATTTCCTACCCTCCGAAGCTGAGTCGCCGCCGGTTAGCACTCCTCGACAGCAGCTGGTTTGTCTTTCCGCTCCTTCGTTTGGGTTGCAGTAAAACAGAACGAAGGGTTCTGCGAATGGATACAGAGACAGACAGTAATTGAAGGGGTAATAGAAAGAAGGGTTAAGTTGGAAACACGCCTAGAGGATCTGAAATCCACCACCACCTAACTACATGTATATCCCTCCCCGCCTAGAAAGAGTCTTAATATCAGAAGGCGGAATCCGAAAACTTTATGCACAACTCTAACTAACCTGTGGAAGAGTTTTTTATGCAGACCCTAATCGGTGGATCTCCGAAACTGACTCCCTACTCTCCTCGGCATCGGAATGGTGCTTGGTCGCCGCCGGTAGCCCTCAAAGGACGAGACAAGGGTTCGTCCAAAAAGAGTTTCGCGTCGTCGATTTGTTTGGGGAGAGTCTGGTCGACAGTAATGGAACTATGGAAGAACGGGTAAAGTTGATTTACATTAAAAAAAAATAATCGCTATTTGCCGCCCGTAGTTTTATTATTTGTCCCCTGTAGTCACAAAAAATATGACGATTTTGTCATTGCCTCATTTTAAAAATCCTAAACCTAACTACCCCAAGTCCCAACCCTTCACCTCCCACCCCTGCTGCTCAACCGCCGGCCGCCCCTCCCTTTGCCGAGCTCCGCCGCCCATTCCCTCTGCCGACCTCGGCCGCCACCGCCCAGGAGAAGCAGCCGCTGTTCCAATCGTCGCCGCCGATGTAATTTTTTTTTAATTCGTAGCGGACGCGGTCCGTCCGGTCTGGTCAGACCGGTTTGATTGGGTTTAAATGGTTCGGTTTAAATAAATATTTATTATATTTATTTTAAATACAATTGTTAGTATCTTAATTAGTTTAATATTGATAGTTGAATAATTAGTATATAATTGTCATTTGAATAATTAGTATATAATTGTTAATTATATAATGTGTTAGATGGTAGCTAGTGGACGTCGACGGTAGTTGTACCAACACGCAGAGTAGTGTCCCGGCAGCAACCACAGTCGCGAGACGATCATGTACTGGTTGACAGTGAAGAGTAGGCTATAGATGTGGCTGGAAACGAACGGGCCGGCCAGCAGCCGATCAGAAGCTTGAAGGAGGTAGGGAGAATATAATCCGTCGGAAAGAAGAGAGAGTTTGTGGGAGGGAGAAACGAACAGGCAGAAAATAAACCTAAAACCTCCTATTTAAGTTAAGTTTTTAAATTATTAAAATCTACTAATTGCCCTTAACTTACAAATAACTACTATTAACCATAAACTAATTATTAATTACCTAAAATCCTATCAGCCAATAGGAGAAGTTTTTTGGGCTTAGGCACAGGAGGAATTCAGGCCACTGCCATACGGCACCGTTTACGCTTACTCCCTTGACTATCAAATGCAAAACTGTTGCGTGTTGCCTTAACCGGGCTAAGCCCGTATTGACGGAGAAAGGCCCGAACCAGTGTCTTTCTTACTTCTCCCGCCGCCTTATCTCAGCAGCCTAAGCGCGGGAAACGGCCGCCGGCTGCCTCATCCACCGCAGATGTTGAAGCTATTGGCTGGCCGGACAATGGTCTCTGTGACTTCTGTGCTTCCATCTCTCTTCTCTCCAAAACCCTTTTCCTGCTTTACAACAATAAAACTGCTTCCGCCCAATTCTTTGTCCCTCGCGTCTCCTTCGTCTTCCAGACCACGGTTCTACTCCTTAGTTTCGCAAATTTCTAATAAAAGGGGAATTTGTGATGTAGCCAGCTTTGATCCATACTATTTATCTTGCTGTATGCCTGAGAAGCGCCTCAGAGTTGCTGTTCTGCTCAGTGGTGGAGTGGATAGCAGTGTCGCCCTTCGGCTTCTCCATGCTGCCGGCCACGAATGTACTGCCTTTTACCTCAAAATATGGTTCCAGGTACGATTTTGTCGACTTTAGACCTCTCAAATTCGGAAATCCGGCCTCTTTTTGGGCTGGTTCTTATGTTGGGTGGATTTTTTTTTGTGTAGGAAGACTTTGAGAACTTTTGGTCAGAGTGCCCTTGGGACGAGGATTTGAAGTATGCAACAGCTGTTTGCAATCAGGTTACCCACTCGAATACAGTAGTCAATTCTACTGATAGTTCCTTTCCATACTGGTTCCAACATGAACTATGCTTTCAAGGAGATGATATGATCTGTCCTGATCTGTATGTTTGTGAATTGTAGTCTTTGTTTTCCAAAAAGAATTGTAGTCGTTGGATTTTAGGGGGATTCATAAATTGTATGTGTTTGATCGTTTAGTGATCTTGTGGCATGTTTGGATTTTGTTTTTCCAGGTTGATGTACCATTAGAAGTTGTGCATTTGACTGATGAATACTGGAAGAATGTGGTATGCATCTTTGTCCTTCTTACCTTTTGAATGGTCTGAGTTGATGGAGCTATGATGGAGTTTTTTTTGTGTGTATCCAAACTGAATGAGAGTGGACATGATTGTTTCAGGTGTCTTACATTATTAAGGAGTACCAATGTGGTCGTACTCCTAATCCAGATGTGCTATGCAATACACGAATTAAATTTGGTATATTTCTGTTCAGCTCTGTGGCAATCCTTTTTCATTCAGTGATTGATTCAATGTTTGAACTTTAGTCTCTTGGGCTCATGTTGGTGTTTCTTAATAAAATTCAGGTGCTTTCATGGATGCTGTGAATGGTATGGGATTTGATTATATTGCTTCTGGGCATTATGCCAGTGTCGTTCACCCATCTTCAGATGAAATGAATAAGCCTTCTGTTCTGGAGCTATCAAAAGACATGGTAACTTGAAAAGATTCCCAATTCCAAAAACATTCCATCTTCTCTCTGCCTTGAGTTCTAGCTCCAGTGCTGGTTCTTTCGATCTTGGATTTGGTTTGGGGAACATTCGTTTACTCCTAGTTACAATAAACTTCCATTCAACATTTTCAGGTGAAGGATCAAACTTATTTCCTTTCGCATTTGTCACAAGCTCAACTAAAGCGCCTGATTTTCCCACTAGGCTGCATTCCAAAGGTTAGCGAGGAACTCTTGTCTAGTGTCTTATTTTTCCGCAAATTGTTTCTTAATTCAGATCATTTGTAGGAAGAGGTTCGCAAACTTGCTACAACATTTGATCTGCCTAACAAGGACAGGAAGGATTCACAAGGAATATGTTTCTTAGGAAAGGTAAGGTTTATTCAGAGAAAAATGGTTTCTGTTTTCTCATTTTTATCTACACAAGTTATAGTTGCAGAGTGCAGAAATGTTAGATTTGGTTTAGCTGCATATGTAGTTGTGCCTGGAAATGTGGATTCCTTATATAATGTCTGTTGCTTTGAACTTTAGACTTCGGTTCTGCAGTTTTCCACAGCTATATTCATCTCATATCCGTTTGGTGTGTTTGCAGATCAAATTTAGTGAGTTCGTTGCGAGACAGATCGGGGAGAGAGAAGGTATCATACTAGAAGCTGAGACGGGCGATTTCCTTGGTATGCATAGAGGATTTTGGTTCTACACAATTGGTCAGCGACAGGGTCTTCGACTTCCTGGTGGTCCCTGGTACCTTCTCATCCCTTTTTATCTATAAGAGTGGTTTATTTGTTCACTTATGCCCGAATGTTTCTTCCATATGACGATTCATCTTGTCCAGGTATGTTGTTGAGAAGGATGTGAATAACAATGTAGTGTTTGTCTCAAGAAACTACTTCTCCATTGACAAGAACAGGCGATCATTTCGTGTTGGCTCACTGAAATGGCTTAGTGCTAGACCTCGTCAGGAAACATGGCAGCTTCAGTGCAAGGTCCGGCATGGACCACGGTTCTACAATTGCAATGTGACTATAGAGCAGAGTGAAGATGAGGAAGTTGCAGTTGTCCAGTTGTCGGAAGATGATCAAGGTCTAGCTGCAGGGCAGTTTGCAGCCTTCTACAATGGAAGAATATGTATAGGCTCCGGCGTGATATTGGAATCATGGGATGATCAAGGGTTCCCTGTATGTGAAAGGGCCATGGAAATAGCTAAACTAGAAGACAAATCAAAGCTGGGGAAACCAGTTAAGATAAAAGTGAAGCCAGAGAGTCCTTTAAAGGAGGAATCTGTTCCAAAAGACGGGGCAGAAATAGAACTTGTAGTTGGCAGCTAAGCAAATATCCAGCGCCAGAGTCTGATAAATTTCGGGTCAACATAACAGAAATAGGAATATGGAAACTTTCGATATTGTTGCCCAATGTCAAAATGGCTTCGTGGGCTGAACCCGGACACACACTTGTGCATGTTCCAATGTCAAAACAACGCAATGGATCTATTTCTGTTACTAACATCCATCTTCGTGCCAAAAGTACCTTTGAATATAGAGCTTTACCAGACAGTTAAACAGAGTTACAACATGAGCAAATGCAGCTAACGATAACCGGAGCAATTACAGTACTGTTCTTTCAAGTCTTTACACTGATTGAACTACACCTAAGCTTGTGAAATTGAGGAGGTTCTCATCCATAACGGTCGACCTAATATAGCTTTACCGTGAACAGAAAGGTAAGCTGAATTTAACCTGCAGGAAAAAAAGAATCCAAGAGAGAACAGTTAGTGGTGAAAAATAGAATCCTCGCAAGTTTTCCAACTCTGGGAAATTATGTTATGTAACTGTAACTTACTTATCGACATCAGGAGCTGCCAAGGGATCATACACTTCTTCCTTCTGTTCCACCATAGGGACAGCACCGGTCATGTCCTGAGCACCTTCCACCTGAAACCAAACCCACATGGGATACACGATGTAAGATTCATGCAAGAACCGCCAAAACAAAATCCAGAGAGTTATCGCAATAAGCCCTTCATGAGATATTCATATATTGATAGGCTGCACCACTGAAGAGTTTACTGTAACATAGTGGAAGGCTTGAACTGGACTTAAAAAGTCAGGAAAGAAGCCATTGTATCAATGATAATACAACATAATTGAAACAGATATTGAAGAATCTGGAAACCTTCGAAACCAGTCTTTTTGGGTCAGAAAATGTTATTCTTGGATCATATCAGAGTATTTGAGCTAAGTTAAGAAACCCTACCTGCTGAGGATACTGAGCATAACCAGCATATCCACTGTATGCATATAGTGATGGATCCTGGGTAGCTGCATAGCCATATGCGTCATAGCCTTGTCCATAACCATAATAAGCACTCCACTGATCTGCTTGTTGGCCCCACGTAGCGGTAAGGTCCTAGCAAACGATAAAAAATGTCATCAAAGACTCTCAGAGACTGAACAACCAACATAACAAAGTTAAGGAGCTTAGTCTCTCTCTTTCCAGTTGAACTTTTAATTAAAGGCAGCATATATAACTTAAATGATAAAAAAAAATGTCTGCATTGAAGACGCTTTTCATCATCTGAGCAAAAGTAGTACGGTAGTACCTGCTTCTTGCCCCAAGATATACGAACTGATTGCTGACCAATGATATGACCCTGCATCCTTTGTATGGCTTCTTCTGCAGACGGTCTATAGGATAAAAAAATGGTAGCATGTCAAAAGCTGTTTAACCAAAGAAGTGAAGTGACAATGTAAACCCTATCCACAAATGATGATCAACTGGCGAAAAGCAACGACTCATGTTTCTACAAAAGTCACTAACCGAGCTGCAAATTGCACAAAGCCACATCCTCTGCCAACAGGAATTTTGACACACACTATCTCCCCAAGCTGCGAAAACGTTTGCTTCAGTTCATCTTCCGTGACAGCAGGATCCAAGTTACCAACAAATATCTGCATAATTATACTACATTAGTGGTTAATTAACTCAATTACTTTCCCCAACAGGTGACTATGTTCAAGTGGTTCAGGTCTGATTCAAAACCAAGAGATCAAGAACATAAACAAAGGAAAAGAAAAAAGTTATCTTACTGTGGTATTCGTGAGGTCAGTATCAGGTGCTGCTGCAACTGCCTGGACAGGTGCTGCATATGTGGGAGCTTGATACACAGCTGCACAAGATTAGCCACACTTAGTGCAAATCACTAGACCAGTCGATTCAGCTTATTCACTTGGGCTTGAAAACAATGCATATAAATGAGATGGAAAACATGAAACATGTAGAAGAAACACAAACTGCCCAAATGTTCCAATCATGTAGAAGCATTCATCATGAACTTATTATGGAAGCAAAGTAATTAATCAAAAAGCAATTTACCTTTGGTGGCAGCATACTGCTGTTGATAACCACTGGTCTTCTTAGGTGTTGCTGCACTGATACGCATTGGCCTAGTCGAGCAGTAAATACCGTTCATTTCCGACATAGCACGATTCCTCTCATTCTCATCTCCAAATTTAACGAATCCATATCCCTTAGACCGCCCGGTATTTGGATCAGTCACAACCTTAGCTCCTCGAACAGACATATACTGAGTCCTAAAAGTCTCTTGCAAGAGATAATCTGTGACGTCGGGTGCTAAATCCCCGACGAAGATAGAATGCTCGGGCCCTGCCTCGGGGCGCCTCTCTCCGATCCCGAATGAAGCCCAGTTCAGCCTGAAAGTTAGTTCAGTCCCTGGCATTTGCGTTCCGTTAAAGGATTGCAGAACCCTTTCAGCTGCCTGATGAGAAACGAACTCCACAAACCCGTAGCCCTCTGGCTGGCCAGTCAACTTGTTACGGATGATTTTGACCGAAATCACCTGTGCCATATTCGCAAGCAATTAGCTAAAAATTAAAAAAAAACCGCAATTATACAGAAACTCTAATTCCATAGCCTCGCAACTCACAACATACACAAGCTCACAACTTTGCCTTTTCAATTACTAGTATAAGAACCGAGCTAAACTAATTGCAGAAGCACAGTAATACGACGCTCGTGTAAAAGAGAGATACCTCGCCGGTGTGAGCGAAGCAAGAATTGAGGTAGTTCTCATCGACCCAGTACTGCAAGTCGCCAATCCAGAGAGTTCTAACTTCTTCTAGGGTCGCAGGCTGATGGTACCCGCCGCCGCCTCCGTGCATCGCCATTGGTGCTGCCATTAAAGCCTCCTACTAAGGGCTGCTTCTCCTTCTTCTCCGACCTCCGTCGTCCTTCCTTCTTTGATTCTTTCGGTTGCCGTCGCTTCTCTCTGCTTTTTCCTCCCGGAATTCTTATGGGCTTATACGCCTATGAAGCCCACAAGTTCAAGCCCGTTACCCCTAAAACCCATACATTAAATCTGTCGGCCCAGATCGTCCGGCCCAATTCTCAGGTCCAGCCAGGGTGTTTATCATACGGGGATATGGAGGCGTGAGCTGGCTGCGGCGCCATAATAGGGGAGAAACAAACGAACTTAACAACCGTTTTGCGCGCTTTCTTCTCGCTGGCATTGCAACCCACTGGCTAAACTCGCCGCCGTTGCTCTCAAATCAAATCGTTCTTCCAATTCTTCTTCTCCCCCGTGATTCGATCGATTGATTTGTGCTTAGTATGCTGGATTAAGCAAGTAGCCATTCTTTTCCTCAGTAGAAAAAATGGGGTTTCCGGCCTCTCTTGCTATTGTCCTAATCGGAATCGTCTTCTTCGCCTCCGGCCTCGTCGTCAATCTTGTGCAGGTAACCCGTCTGTTAAGCGATCTGTAGATCAAAGATTGAATCTTGAACTCCTTACTCGCTCGGTAATCAATGAGCAAGTCAATTAGAACTAGTGTTTTGCTGATTTCATCGCTGTTGCTAATTTGGATCTGGGTTGAAACTTGCTGCTAACTTAACTGTCGTGTTACATTATGATTCTTTCAGGCAGTTACATTTCTCCTTTTCCGTCCATTCTCCAAGGGATTGTATAGAAGGATTAACAAAGTGGTGGCGGAAATGTTGTGGTTGGAACTCATATGGCTGGTTGACTGGTGGGCTAATTTGAAGGTAAAGTGAAGTTCTTGCTTTTGCTCCACTTGGATTGGTGTTTGAGGGAAATGAGAGATCTGGGTTTAACTCGAAGATGCAAGATTTTGCTGTTTCTGTTCACTTTATGTTTGATCAAGATGCCTGTTGGGTGCTAACTAGAAACAATTGGGCTCAGGTTGAAGTATATGCAGATGATGAGACCTTTAACTTGCTGGGTAAGCAGAGAATGTTTGATGGTGAATTGGTGATGGGTTCCTTATATTCCTTTTGAATTGATATGAAATCTCAGTTGATTGGGTTCTCATTTTGTTAATCATACTTACTTTTGGGAAAAATTTCTGCAGGTAAAGAACGTGCCATGCTCCTTTCCAATCACAGGAGTGATGTTGACTGGCTAATTGGATGGGTCCTTGCTGAGGTGCTTATTATAAAATTCACGGGTTTGTCGAATGATAATGATATCTTTCTAATGATTTTTGTGAATGACCGACTGATCCACCGGTGATGTTCGTTCTTGTTTCTGATGGAATATTTTGATCTCTAAACAGCGCTCAGGTTGCCTTGGTAGTTCACTAGCCCTCATGAAGAGAGAAAATAAATGGCTTCCTGTAAGTCCTCCATTTAATGCAAGCTCATTGTTTCCTTATCTGGATCATGTTTTGATAGTTATCGAATTGGCTTACTACTGTTTGATGCATAGATAATAGGCTGGTCAATGTGGTTTTCGGATTATGTGTTTCTGACGAGAAGCTGGGACAAGGACGAAAGCACATTGAAGGTATCTCTACCAGGGAACAATACGAGAATTCATTTCGTTGCACCTTATTCCGTTTTTTATCCACACTGAAATCTTATGGGATTCAGGACTCCAGTCGGGTTTTGAAAGGCTGGTGGATTTTCCCATGCCTTTTTGGCTAGCTGTTTTTGCAGAAGGAACTCGGTTTACTCAGGCAAAGCTAGAAGCAGCTCAGGAATTCGCTGCTGCAAAGGGCTTACCAATTCCTAGAAATGTTCTGATTCCCCGTACCAAGGTAAAGTATCTTTTACAGAATCATTTGCTTTCATTTAACTCTCAAATTTAGATGTCTCTCTCATATGATCGATTCATGTGGATTTTTTCTAGGGTTTTGTATCAGCTGTAACTCATTTGAGGGCATTTGTTCCAGCAATTTATGATTGTACAGTTGCTGTCCCAAAAGATCAGCCCTACCCACTTTGCTAAGAATGTTTAGAAGACAGGATTCCGTGGTAAATTCTAATGACCTATTGATCAGTATTTGACATTCACTAACGAATGATCAAATGGTGCTTAAGCTTTTCTATCTGATCCCTAATCTGTTGGCACTCTCTTTGGCAGATAAATGTTAAAATTAAGCGACATCCAATGCACGAACTTCCTGAAACAGCAGATGGCATTTCTCAATGGTGCAAAGATCTCTTCATTGCCAAGGTATGACCGTTATTTGAAACCCAGAACAGTGGCTTCTGCTAATAGCATTATCAACGCTTGCTGTTATCCATCAAATGTAATGCTGAAAGTCTTTCTCCTGTGAACCTTCCAGGATGCTGCTCTGGATAAGTTTCTTGTCAAGGACACCTTCAGCGAACGAAAGCATGACATCGGGCGACCTAAGAAGTCACTATGTGTAAGAAAATGTCACCAACCGACGACGTTCTCTTAGCATTTCGTTTCTCTTGGTTCCTGATCTAGATTCCTCTGAATGTGCGCAGGTTGCTATTGTTTGGTCGACTCTTCTAGTCTGGGCCATTGCCAGTTTGTTCCAGTGGCTTTCGCACCTAGGCTCGTGGGTAGTCATTGCAATCTTGGTTACTTTACTCGTAATCATCATGATCGGAATGCACATTCTCATCCAGTCCTCGGAGTCGGAGCACTCTACACGCGCACGAAATGTGACAGTAGTCTGTGATGGAGTGCAGGATAGACTCATTCAGACGTGAAATAGCTCTGGGCAAGAAAAAGACTTCTGCTTTTTAGTAAATGTTGTCCATTGTAGTCTTGTTTCAGTCAAGTCATATGGTTAAATCTTGAACAGCTCAATGAAAATTCAGCTATGGGGTTGTGTAAAGTCTTGTTCTTTATCCATCAAAACCTTTCCAAGTCAGGTTTTGAAGTTACAACAAGAGGGTGGGCTCAGCGGATCTCTATCTTTACTTTCTGCCGTAATTTGGAATGGTTCTCGTCCATCGTCCCAGTTGCGTAATAAAAACAAAAAGGGGATAATATCATAATAATAATAATTTAATTTCCTAATATGAAAATACTGTGAGGAAGCCATGTGGTCACGAGATGGCTCAGTCGGTGTCAGGATCAGGAACGAAAGCTTTCTTTGAAGAATCAAATCTGTGCTTCCCTACCCGACTTTTCCTTTCTCGTACACTATTAATGCATCTCCCCAGTCCCCACTGTGGTCCGTAAAAAGTACAGCTCTTTGATTCAAAATCCTGCCTCTGGTTTCCGGGGTCGTCTCGGGTCAGTTTTTTTCCAACTATTTTCCATCATGGGTTCGCTGAAGAACGATGAGGAAATCGAGCAGATGGGCGATGGATCAGCGAAAGAGGCGATTCTCTACGTTAATGGAGTTCGAAAAGTTTTGCCTGATGGCTTGGCTCACTTGACCCTTCTCGAGTATCTCAGAGGTAAAATGATGTTCAACAAAGCTAAAAATAGATAGTCAACCAGCGAAGAACTCTGTTCGTTGATCCAAATGCTTCGTCTTCGAATACTACCCACTTGCTAATTTTGGACCTGGGATTAATTGGATTCGTTGTCTTTTGATTGTTGGGCTTTCTGGCAATCTCTGATTTAGACTTGGTTGAACTCTTGAACTTAGTTTGGAGCTTTACCAAATGGTTACGATTCTTCTGCTTGATCGATCTGCTTAGAACTTTTGGATGGATTTTGTGTAGACAGTGGGCTCACTGGGACGAAGCTGGGATGTGGTGAAGGTGGCTGTGGAGCTTGCACTGTTATGGTTTCTCAGTATGATAAAAGCACAAAGACATGTGTGTGAGTCTCTCAGTGTCATTTCTTCCAGCTGCAGTGATTTCTGCTTGAGTTCTACGGTATAATCAGCCTTTCTTTGCTCATATTATGCTGGAAATCATTTGTTTCAGGCACCGGGCTGTCAATGCGTGCTTAGCTCCTTTGTATTCGGTTGAAGGAATGCATGTGATTACTGTAGAGGGAGTCGGGAATCGAAGGATTGGATTACACCCGATTCAGGTAACAGTAATGTATTTGATATTCATATATAGTAACTTGATGAAAGTATTTGAAGAGAGTTAAAGACTTTATTTTCTTATCTCAACATGCATTTCCATGAATTTTCTGCAGGAATCGTTGGCACGTTCTCATGGCTCCCAATGTGGGTTCTGCACTCCTGGATTTATTATGTCAATGTATGCACTATTAAGGTCGAGTCGAGAACCCCCTGCCGAGGAGCAAATCGAAGAATGCCTTGCTGGAAATTTGTGTCGTTGTACTGGTTATAGACCAATCGTTGATGCATTTCGGGTTTTTGCTAAGACGGATGATGCATTGTACACTAACACTAATCCTAAAGAAGGTGAAGAGTTTGTGTGCCCTTCGACTGGTAAACCTTGTTCATGCAGATTGAAGGTGCCGGTGGATGACAAATGTGCTTCCGTTCATAATACAGCTTGTGGTGGTGAGAGGTATAATATATCGTCATATAGTGAAGTAGATGGGAGCAAGTACACAGAGAAAGAGCTGATTTTTCCTCCCGAGCTATTATTGAGGAAGCTGACTCCTTTGAGTTTGACTGGCTTCAACGGGCTTAAATGGTACCGGCCTGTAAGACTTCAGCACGTGCTGGACCTAAAAGCAAAGTATCCTGATGCGAAGTTGGTGATTGGTAATAGTGAAGTTGGGATAGAGATGAGGCTGAAGAGACTCCAGTATCAGACTTTGATCCATGTGGCTAATGTACCTGAACTTAATATCTTGAATGTCAAGGAAGACGGCATAGAGATAGGAGCTTCTGTAAAATTGAGTGATCTCCTGCAAGTGCTTAGAAAGGTTATAGATGAGCGTGCTGCTCATGAAACATCATCGTGTAAGGGCATTGTCGAACAACTGAAGTGGTTTGCTGGAACACAGATTAAAAATGTTGCCTCTGTTGGAGGCAATATTTGCACAGCTAGTCCAATATCTGATTTAAATCCTCTGTGGATGGCTGCTAAAGCAGAGTTTCGAATTGTGGACTCAAAGGGAGGCATTAGAGCAACACAGGCAGATAAGTTCTTCCTAGGTTACAGAAAGGTGGATCTTCAGAGTGGTGAGATTCTTCACTCGGTGTTCTTACCATGGACTGGACAGTTTGAGTATGTGAAAGAATTTAAGCAGGCTCATCGAAGGGAGGATGATATTGCAATTGTTAATGCTGGAATGCGTGTTTCTCTTGAAGAAAAGGGAAATCAATGGGTTGTTTCAGATGCATCAATTGCTTATGGTGGGGTGGCTCCTCTATCTTTGGCTGCTGTGAAAACTGGAAAGTTTCTTATTGGGAAGAGCTGGAATCAGGAGCTCTTCTTGGCTGCTCTGCAGGTTTTAGAAACAGATGTTCTGCTCAATGAAAACGCTCCTGGTGGTATGGTGGAATTTAGGAAATCTTTGACTTGCAGTTTCTTCTTCAAATTTTTCATGTGGGTTTCACATCAAATGGGAGGAGATAACTCTGCCAGTCTAAGTGTGCCATTGTCTCATTTGTCTGCTGTACAACCCTTCAGCCGTCCTTCAGTTATGGGAAGTCAAGATTATGAAATTCAGAAACTAGGGACCTCTGTGGGGTCGCCTGAGGTGCATCTATCAGCAAAACTCCAGGTATTTAATCTGAGGAGCAACTTATGAATTCAAATGAACTTAAGCATCTTGAAGAAGAAAGACTAGTCAATCATGCTTTATGTAGAGGTTATAATGTTTAAAACTGGTTTCCTCCTCAAACTTGCCAAAGTTCAAATGTCCGAGCTCCATTAGTTTTCAGTATCATTAGAATTAGAATATTCAATTTCATGAAGTAAATTGGACCTTTCTATCCATCTTCTAAGGTGGATCCTGTAATTTGAGTGCTTCCCTAAATACTTGCTATCATTTTGATTTGTGGATATTGTAACGTTTCTAAGTTACTTGGTTGTTATGTACATGTTTTTATAAATCTGCTTGCTCAAAATTAGATAGTTTCAGGTTGCTGTATGTTTGTTTTTTTTTTTTCCTTTCGGCATCTTTGGTTTGGGAATAAAAGGGCTGAATAACCAAATAATCGATATAGCTTTGTTTTTTTGTTGTTTTCCATTACATCACTGGAATAGGATGGAAACATTGTGTTATAAATGTGATTTTGATAAGGTTCTTCTTTGATGTTGTGAATGGACAGCTATACCAACCTGTATTACTCTGTAAACCTATTCTCTTTGCAATGTTTGAGACTTTGAGTACTTTGCTTATAACCTGAATTGCTCTGCTGTTCAATCAGAGCTTACTATTCAATAATCACATTCTTTATTGGAACGAAGAGAATAAGTTTAAAATAAACAAGAGGATTGTTCTTATCCCTATCAAATCAGACAAGAAGAGGATTCCTCGTATCCCAATACTACTTATAATTCATTCGACTTCATAACTACAATGTGTTCCTGGCTTTTTTATATTAATTCATCTTTAGGTCACAGGGGAGGCAGAATACGCAGATGATGCTCCCATGCCATCAAATGGTTTGCATGCTGCGCTTGTATTGAGCCAAAAGCCTCATGCTCGAATAGTTTCCATAGATGATTCGGAAGCCAAGTCTTCACCTGGATTTGCAGGCATTTTCTTATCCAAAGATGTACCAGGTGATAATCGCATTGGCGCTGTTGCAGAGGATGAGGAAACATTTGCTACAGAGTTTGTTACTTGTGTTGGTCAGGTGAGGCGCTTTCGAAATAATGTTCATTGGTGCTTTTACGTTCATAAGTTGTGGTATGCCTTATTGAGTTCTTGGGTACTAGAGCTGTATGATGCCTCCACTTTCTGATTCTGATTGTTCCCATAATCCCATTCACGTGGTTGGCCAGGTTATAGGGGTTGTTGTCGCTGATACACATGAAAATGCCAAGTTAGCTGCAAGGAAAGTTCATGTTGAGTATGAAGAGCTCCCAGCAGTTCTGACTATCCGAGAAGCCATCATTGCTGGAAGTTACCATCCTAACACCGAGAAGTGTTTAAAAAGTGGCGATGTAGATGCCTGTTTCAGATCTGGCGAATGTTACAAAATCATTGAGGGAGAGGTGCAAGTAGGGGGCCAGGAACACTTCTACTTGGAGCCGCAAAGCAGTTTCATATGGACTATGGATGGTGGCAATGAAGTTCACATGATTTCATCGACACAAGTAAGTTGAATGATTAATGTGTTACTTAAAATGAAAATACTTATGTTGTAAAAGTCCACAAGCATCTTTTGAAAAGCTCAGGAAGTCCCAATGTTTGGCACATCTTGTGCTTTTGGATTAGAAAAAGCTCTTGGAGAAGCTGGACCAAACTCAAATGCCATAATTTCCTGACTGTTGCTTTTCTGGTGGCTTTGCTCATGTTATTTGTCCTCTATTTACAGGCTCCTCATAAGCACCAGAAGTATGTGGCCCATGTTCTTGGTCTTCCACTGTCAAAAGTAGTATGCAAAACAAAACGACTCGGTGGTGGATTTGGTGGAAAGGAAACAAGATCAGCTTTCATTGCTGCTGCAGCTTGTGTGCCATCTTATCTATTGAATAGGCCAGTCAAAATCACCTTAGACCGAGACATAGACATGATGACAACTGGGCAACGTCACAGCTTTCTTGGGAAATACAAGGTAGCTCTTCTTAATGTTGCTGTAGAACAAGGCTTTTGCATTGTTGTACAGCAGGATTCCAGGAACTGATGGTTTGCAAGTAATTTGATTAGGTTGGCTTCACAAAGGAGGGAAAACTTCTTGCACTGGATCTTGAGATCTATAACAATGCTGGAAACTCCCTAGACCTGTCGCTTTCGATACTTGAACGGGCGATGTTCCACTCTGACAATGTTTATGCAATCCCGAATGTCCGGATAGTAGGAAGGGTTTGCTTTACCAATCTTCCTAGTAATACTGCTTTCCGAGGATTTGGGGGTCCTCAAGGCATGATCATAGCTGAGAATTGGATTCAAAGAGTTGCTGTTGAGGTTAACAAAACCCCAGAAGAGATAAAGGTAATGTCATGATCTTGTAACTCTCATTCCACTAACGGTTGTAAATCTTTTTCCTAATCTGTCTTGTTTCATTTTCATGGTGGTACAATATTCCCAGGAAATTAATTTTCAAGGTGAAGGATCAATAACGCATTACGGCCAGCAACTTCAGCACTGCACACTGGCCCCACTTTGGAATGAACTGAAGTTATCTTCCGACTTTTGTAAGGCCCGCGAAGATGTCAATCACTTCAATCGCCATAACAGGTGGAAGAAGCGTGGGTTGGCTATGGTTCCTACAAAATTCGGGATATCCTTTACTGCAAAGTTCATGAACCAGGTATGCTGTAACCAAGCTCCAACCTGATGCAAATGGTGGTGCACTAGACTTTATAACTGTGGATTAGGATATCCTCTCTCCTATATTGTAGTTTGGCTGAAAATTTTCTCGTTTATATGATATGAATTGGTGATGGATTGTGGCATGGAGACATTTGAAAATATAAGCTGAAAAAGTCATCCAAACACTAGTTTTCACAATCCACTACCCACAATCTATTTCTCAAAAGCTTATATATTCTTGAACTTTTTGAGAAGCAGTCTATTATGTTTCCTTCTTTACTGATTGGTTGAGACTTTCTGTGGTTGCCATAAATTTAGGCAGGCGCTCTCGTTAATGTCTACACAGATGGAACCGTATTGGTCACCCATGGCGGGGTTGAAATGGGGCAAGGTTTGCATACCAAAGTTGCTCAAGTTGCTGCTTCTGCCTTCAATATTCCTCTAAGCTCCGTGTTTATATCCGAGACTAGTACTGACAAAGTAAGGGATCAACTTAGTTTGTTTGTTCTTCTACCAGCAATAGAATACTGAAGAGTTAAAGACAATGACTGTGCTTACTACCAAATAGGTACCAAATGCATCACCGACAGCAGCTTCTGCAAGCTCTGACTTATATGGAGCAGCAGTGCTGGACGCTTGCGAGCAGATCAAAGCACGGATGGAACCAGTTTCTTCTAAACATAATTTCACCTCTTTCGCCGAGGTAAGGTGTGGTTAACTTATGGGCTCATTTGGTGGCTTCCTCATCCATATCCAGTAATTCAAAATTTTCTAACTCAAAATCTTTTCATAGCTGGCCAGTGCATGCTATTTTCAGAGAATAGACCTCTCTGCTCACGGGTTTTACATTACCCCCAATATTGGGTTCGATTGGATCACCGGTCAAGGTGACCCCTTTAGCTACTTCACCTATGGTGCTGCATTTGCTGAGGTTGAGATCGACACGTTGACTGGTGATTTCCACACGAGGACGGCCAATATTATTCTGGACCTTGGCTATTCTATCAATCCTGCCATTGATGTTGGACAGGTCGTAGCTCGTCACTCTCCTCCTGTCACTTAGTTTCTTCTTCATGTGTTGCTGAAAAATTCCATCTCTTACCATTATTTCTCAATCCAGATTGAAGGAGCATTTCTTCAAGGACTGGGATGGGCAGCATTGGAAGAACTGAAGTGGGGAGATGAAGCCCATAAGTGGATCCCTCCCGGGTGCTTGTACACATGCGGCCCTGGAAGTTACAAGATCCCTTCGCTCAACGACGTTCCATTCAAATTCAATGTCTCACTTCTCAAGGTATAAATAACAAAACCCTAGTTCAAGAATCCTCCAAAGCTCTCACCTTTGCCCCTTTAGTGGTAAGAAAAAAAAGGCATTCAGTTACATGTTCTCAACAGTTCTGATTTTTTGGGTTATCAACAGGGTCACCCGAATGTGAAGGCCATCCACTCATCGAAAGCAGTTGGCGAGCCACCATTCTTCCTGGCTTCGGTAGTACTCTTTGCCATCAAAGACGCGATCATTGCTGCGAGGGCAGAAGTCGGGCATCACGAGTGGTTCCCTCTGGATAGCCCAGCTACACCAGAGAGAATCCGGATGGCTTGCCTCGATCAGTTCACTGAACCTTTCATCACCTCCGATTTCCGGCCAAAGCTCAGTATCTAAAAATACCATCAACCTAACCAGAATGCCCAACAGAAAACAGCTGTGTGTATAGTTTGTATTGTAAGTCAAAAGTCCAGCAACTGTTTAAAACGCGGGATTGTGCTGTAGGAAAGTCACAGATGGGAAATTGTTGGCACAACCATTAGATGAATATGTTATTTGTCTTATTGATATAAGAACTTGTGGTGGGTGAAACAGGGTTGTTGATGTTTCTTCATCGACCGACCTTGCAGTTCTTACATATTCCATCTTTACCTAATGCCATTGTCTGTATTGCCCGCCATTGACTTACCTTTTGGCTTTACCTAGAGTTTCTGTCTTTGTCAAAGGCATTTTCCTCCTAACATTGGCTTTTGGAATGGAGTGGAAAGACAAGGTAGAAAGTATTGAGGAAGTTGTAGAAGCAAAAGATATTAGCAACCACAACCCGTTTAATTTATATTCTACATGAGATATTCAATCACCCAACCCGTTTTGGGAACATGAGATGTTAGTGATTTCGGTGCCCAACCGGTTATCCAGCTCGAGTTATATATATTTTAGATATGTTATTATTAATATAATTTTCTTATAAAGAAGAACATATTAAACATCAAAGCTAAAAATCCAGTTTAAAAATGCCCCAAAAGATCTACATGTTCCCAAAAGATTTGTACAGTTTTTCAAAATTCATTAATACATGCAATCTTTGGGGTCATTAAAAAAAGCACGGAAAGTTAATAAAAGAAAAAATACAATCGTTCAAAAAAACAGAAGGGACACGTTGATTAACAAATAATAATTGGTGGTAACTGCTTGGAAAAAAATACAGAATATATAAAAAAAGGGAAAAAACACCCTAATTCCGAAAATTAAGGAGAGCTCTCCAAGGCTGACGTGGATAGGGTGCTTTTCTCAAACCCCTGTATTATATTTTAAGATTCTACATGAGATCGAAAAAATCAACTACATATTCGTATTATGGACATTTATCTTATCATCGAGTATCATCTTGAGAAATAGACTCTTCACTTATCTGGACTACGAGATTTTTGATATCATCTTATATGATATCAGAGCTTTTCAATGTAAAAAAATTAAATTGTTTATGATAAATCAGGATCAGTATTGATTGCTTAGTTTATGTTAGCAAATGACTATCTCAGATTAATTAGAGATATCTAGATGAAATGATTTAATCAAATATATATTGAGTTTGGTATTTCAAAATATAAATAAGGCTAATAAATTAAAGAGAGTCACCAGGTGGATAATAAATAATTAAAAAAATAATTTTATCCGATTTTATATCTCTATAAACTTTTATGTCACTAAATTTGTGCTTTTATGTATGAAACTTGTCACAAACTCACAATTTCATCTAGTTCGGTCCATTTACATGCTATACATAATAATTAATAAAGTAACTATTTAAATTATTAATAATAAAGTAATAAAAAATTAAGTGAAATAATTAACCTTTGGATTACCAACCTTAACTAATCAAGTACTAGTTGAATTTGATTCGTTCAAAATTACTATTCATGTCAACAAATAAAATTTTACGCCGGTCATGATCTCCTAGATAGACGAGACCGATTCAATTATGATGAAAGAAGACAGTAAGCTAGTTGATTAGAATTTGTTGCACATTTTTAACTACTTAGGCTTTGTATTTAATCTCAGTGATTTATAGCTAGTGGAAGAAGCAAAAGATAAATACAAGCTTCGATCCAATTGTCAGATTATAGTGAATACAAATTCAGTAGCCGACAAGAGAGACTTGGTCTGTAAAAAATAAAATAAATACAAGTTTCCAAACAGAAAATGTTAACTACATTGAAATCATGTCAATGGATCTTAGTGAGGTCCTAGAGGAGACTCAATGCAGTAAAATGTGGAATATTGTATAATGAAAAAAAAAATAATTTTAAAAAAGCGGAAATGGTAGTGTTATTTTTTGGCGACTACGTTATTGTATCAGTGCAATTGGTTGTATTAATTCATTGATGGTGAGTCAGTATATTCTTTTTAATACAATTTTACGATAATCTATTATTGATTATTATGTCACGATAAATTAAATATTGTTATTTTATATATGATGATATAGTTTCACGATAATAACTTGATGTAGCATATTGACGATGACACGGTAAACTAGGGTTTATTGCTAACACTACTACTTAGAGACAATTGGGCTAATTACCTCAATGAAGAAATAACACAATAGATAGGAATTTAGACAATTCAGGAAGAAGTTTATTATGATTCTTGATCGATTGGGTACAAATATTGAGTTAAGTGTTAAAGTGCATTAAATAATCAAAGAGTCCTCGGGGGCTTAATCAAAATGTTCATAAATGACAAAATGGCCATATGCATAAGATAACAAAATAATATTTTCATCTATTTTTAGTCATATTTTCATTTAAAATAACAAATTAGCTTGTGGACACTATGCATATAATGAATAAAAATTTATCAAACACCTAACCGACATGTGAAATCACCTCTTATCTAGAGTGAGCTAACTGACCAATTTGGATGAAAATGCGAATGAAAAGATTGAATAGTTGTTTTGTTATATCTTGATAGTTGTGTGATTTTTTTGTTATGTTTTAAACCTTTAAGACCATATTATTACTGTCCAAACCTATGTGATCATTTTGATCAATTGCCTCCAAGATCCTTGACCTCCTCTTTAATTCATAATCATTTCTCAAAAATTTACACGATATACAAGAGAAATTTCCGCAATAACCTCACCTACAAGAGAGAATCATGTCGTTGTTATACCATACGAGGCAAAGGAACACCAAAAATAAGACTCCTTCTATGATATCAATTCATCAAACATCAAATTGAAAAGCATCACACTTTAGCATTGGAATTATCTTCAAACTTTTATAATAAAAAAACATTGATCGATTTTTTGGTTAATTATTTATCAAAATAAGATCGTCATGGGGAAGAACTAGTATCTCTAACAATTCTTCTCTACATCCAACATGTAGAGCATACCTGTAGCTAATGAATTCATCAAAATTTGACCAAATCCGACATGGGCCGGAAACGAGACAAAAAAAAGAAAAAACCTTATACAAAAGAAACACAAGTGTACATTAATTAATTATGAACTTTGATTAAAAAAAACATATTTTGCCAGATTTTCTTGGATCCAATGCTGATAATCAAGACAGCGATATCATATAGGCCAGGCCAGCTTTTGTTTCTGAATAATCAAGCATACCCTAATTACGTGATGAATGAAATATTGAAATATAACAATATTATTGCTAAAACGAGATAAACTATTACAAATTATAATCATAAAACAGGTATCTGCCTCATGAAAATAGATACAAAATATTATTGGATAATACCGCGTTGATGATGCTTCTTCTTTGTAAAGGAATTTCATAGACGAACAATCACCGCCTCTTCGATCTCGTGTATGTCATAAACCAATTGATTCAAATAATTTGAGTTGGGGGGAGAGGTCCATGTATTGTATTTAATCACTTTCTTATAACGAAAAGCCATTTCATCCGAATAATAAACATCGATCTAGTTATGTATTTCTTTACTCATCTGATTAAGCTGACTGGATTATTAAACCCATTTTTTGAATGAAACGTTATATACGAAGTGAATCTACGATCGTATTGGTGTACCTGAACTAATTTTTCAATTTTAATGTAATTGCTAAAGCGAAACGCCATGTATGCTGGCTAGAAGTTTCTAAGGAAAGATCCAAATCAAAAACCTATCCCCCTCCATTAACATGCCTAATGTCTACATATATAATAACTAACCGTGTACTTTAATAGTGGCTTATTTTCTTCCCTTCCAAATTGTGACAATTGATTGGTTACATGAAGAGGACTACTTCATGATTAATCAGTAAAATAAAAATAAAATAATGACAATATATTAAATTAACTTGACTAGTTCATCAAATTATTATAAAAATTATCAATTATCTACCAAAATCATTGCACCAAGAAAGTCACCGCGTTAGTACGTACGTGAAATGAAACTAGTGGAGTCCCATTAACCAATTTGTTCCATTTTGATATTGTTTTATCTTCCTCACTCACGAGCCTATATAAACCAAAGAAGCAAAGGCTTCAAATCCATCCTCAAAACTTCCCCACCATAACACATTTGGAAACTAAAACTTGGCAGGGAGAATTAAGCAAACCAAAGATTTGCCTAAGAATGGCCAATTTTTGGCCTCACCAATGGGTGTTCGTGGCGGCGATATGCCTGCTATCGATCAGCTACGTAGCAGCCGACGATAAGCCTTACTACTACTCATCTCCACCTCCGCCTTACTACTACAAGTCACCTCCGCCACCGTCACCGTCGCCGCCACCACCACCGTACTACTACAAGTCACCTCCACCACCTTCACCATCACCACCGCGTCCATATTATTACAAGTCTCCTCCTCCGCCGTCTCCATCACCTCCTCCTCCTCCTTACTATTACAAGTCTCCCCCGCCACCGTCGCCATCTCCTCCGCCTCCTTATTACTATAAGTCTCCTCCTCCACCGTCGCCATCTCCTCCACCACCGTACTACTACAAGTCTCCTCCTCCACCGTCGCCATCTCCTCCACCACCTTACATCTATAAGTCGCCACCTCCGCCATCACCCTCACCTCCTCCTCCTTACATCTATAAGTCGCCACCACCACCGTCACCGTCGCCTCCTCCTCCATACATCTACAAGTCGCCACCTCCGCCGTCTCCATCACCTCCTCCTCCATACATCTACAAGTCGCCACCACCACCGTCACCATCGCCACCTCCTCCATACATCTACAAGTCTCCACCACCACCATCACCCTCACCTCCTCCTCCTTACATCTATAAGTCTCCCCCTCCACCGTCACCTTCGCCTCCACCACCATATTACTACAAATCACCACCGCCACCGTCACCGTCTCCTCCTCCTCCATACATATACAAGTCTCCACCACCACCATCACCCTCACCTCCTCCTCCTTACATTTACAAGTCGCCACCGCCACCATCACCGTCCCCTCCTCCGCCATACATCTACAAGTCGCCACCTCCTCCATCACCTTCCCCTCCTCCACCTTACCTCTATAAGTCGCCACCTCCGCCGTCTCCATCACCACCACCACCATACTATTACAAGTCTCCGCCTCCACCGTCACCATCTCCTCCACCACCTTACATCTACAAGTCGCCACCTCCTCCATCACCTTCCCCTCCTCCTCCATACATCTACAAGTCGCCGCCGCCACCATCACCGTCCCCTCCTCCTCCTTACATCTACAAGTCGCCACCGCCACCATCACCGTCCCCTCCTCCTCCTTACATCTATAAGTCACCGCCGCCTCCATCTCCATCCCCACCGCCACCATACTACTACAAATCACCACCACCACCATCCCCATCGCCTCCTCCTCCATACATCTATAAGTCTCCACCTCCACCATCACCATCTCCTCCTCCTCCCTACTATTATAAATCTCCGCCCCCTCCATCTCCTTCTCCACCGCCACCATACTACTACAAGTCGCCGCCACCACCATCACCATCTCCACCGCCGCCATACTACTACAAATCCCCACCACCTCCATCACCATCTCCACCGCCGCCATACTACTATTACAAATCCCCACCACCTCCGGCCACTTACTAAACAATTCATACATTACTTCCACCATCATACATGTAAGTTCGTTCACATATATAACCCTAATCATTAATTGTACTATGCATGTCATTCTCTAAGTCAATAACATTATCCATATGTGTGTTTCTAACATTCTATTTGTCCTTTGGTCTTGATAATTATTGATGTAGGTTTGTGAAGGAAGAGAATAACTACGGCAAGTCATAGAGAGACCCATTCTGGGACTACGAAGAAACGCTTCTTGGATTTGATACTTCCTTTATATATATATATATATATTGTGTTTATATATTTACGCAATTCTTTTGGCCCCTACAGTGCATATTGAAAGTTTTGATTTGTTTGTGTTTTATCACGATACGATATTGTTTTATTGGTCAATCGTATGATCTCACATGTTTGTAACCAATAATAAGAGTTCTTTTGTTTTTCTTTTGTGAAATTACAATTACGCATGATTATTTTTGGCTTTTTGCATTAATATTATGTTTCAATTAATTAAATATTAAGTTAAATGATTACAAAAAAAAAAAAAAAAACTATCTATCCCACAACGCCCAGCCCAACATCGGGTCTGCTGGAGCCACCTCTTCGGGCCCAAGTTCCAGTCCATTCGTTGGCCCAGGTTACCTCAGCTTCCATCGTATGCTAAAGAATTTCCCTTTGGACAGAAAGTTTATGGCCCAATTATACGAATTAGCTCTAGCTCCATCCATCGATCGCCTCCTCCACAAGTCCACAACCACATGACCCGGAGTCTATACGGCAAAACAACCAAGCGTTGATTGTGTGGAAAAGGATTTGGAATTAGCCCAAGCTTTGAACCCGTCTTGTCGAGTATTATTCAATCAAACTCTTTTCGAAATAATTTCTTTCAAAATCAACATGGTGTTGTACTATAATTATACAAAACAAGAATTCTTTTCGAATGGCCTCTAGTGATTTGAGTAACTAGCCTCTAAAGTAAGCGATGTTCCTGTTGTGGGAGGAAGACAGGTGGGGAATGAGGGTGTAAAAAGAGAGAAAGGAGCGGCTATCTAGTGGGAGTCATTTCGAAACTCGTGATGGGTGGGAATTTGACATCTCGTAGGGCCGATCAGTGAATCGTGGAGGTCCTGTCTCAAAATTGAGACATAGTTGAAATTGACACTCCTAAATAAACTTACCAATTAAGAAATAGTAGATATCTAATATATTATATACTCATCTGTTGCATAACCACTTAAGAGTCAATCGTTCCTTTCGTTTGGACTCATAAAAAATAAAGCTTTGTTCTAATACTATATTTGTTCTTGTAGACTGTAGACAACATAGCAACACTAAATTTAGATAAAAACTCATACATTATGATAGATGAAAACCCGAAAGGAAATAACTTTTTCACTTTCTCATAAATTCTAACTTCTAAGAGACTAACACAACCACACCCAATTCATTAAACCATACCCACTTTCATGTATATGTGGCTGCTTGTAATAACCATAAGATAATTGTAATACCTGCATCTATTTATATTAAGAGTTAACTATGTGTTGTATGTTATATTTGCCCTTTACGGATAAATCATGAATTCATGCATTAACAAGAATATTTCCTCACGTACTAATAATGTTATTGAAATATTGGTTAATATGGTTGACCAATTAACCAAACTAATTAAAATTTTATTTGGTTGATGAATTAGTTTGGTCGATTTGGTTATGAATTTGCGTAAAGATATTATTTTCACACCATCTAAACTTACCTTGTAATAGCTACAAGCCCACAACTAATTAAGGTGGGTAACTTGAACAAACACCCGGCCGGCAATTATAACTAAAAAGTGCACACGTCGCCGGCCGGCGTCCAATACATCTATTTGCCGGCCTTTACGTATCAGTCATTTCCTTGCAATTGAAAGCTAAGTGATCACTGGCCGTACTAATGGAATAATATTGTGCTTTAGTCGGATTTCATATGCTTATGTTTTCCTTCCATTCTCTTTTGTTCATTTCCCCGTCCAAAATCAAGCCTTTGATTGTTTTGACTGGTCTCCGGTGGAGATTGAATGGGCCGCCGGCCCGGTTGTTTCTTTCCTTAGCCGAGGCGCAAAAAACGGCTTACGAATCAAACAAAACACATACAAGAAAGTGATGGTTTCTATGCATTTAGATACACACGACTAGGGCTGGCTATTTGGTTCCGGATTGTTTGGTTTTACCCGAAATCGGGCCGTATAACTCGGACCGGGACCGGACTGGGTCCGGATAGCAAACAATCCAATCTCATATTCGGGCTTAGATTTGAGGTAAAAAACCCGGATAAAGACCGGATAAGAGACCCCCAACACCTAAAATCAAGATCAAATTGGGACCGGACCGGGTCAAGACCGGACTGTATCCAATCCAATCTTTGGTCCTAATATTCTCGAAAAGACCGAACTGGGACCAGATCAATTTGGTCCAATTTAACCGGACCGGACCGTATAGCCACCCCTACACACAACTAGACCGTTTCAAAGCATACATCTATAAATAGAAGATTTAAGCTTCATTCATTCTTCATCCAACCAAAACACACTACAATACACATAGTTTCCCCAACAAAAGACCATTTCCAAAATGGCCACCATCATTTGGCCTCACCACTTCATCATGTTCACTGTGGCCGCCGCTCTACTCGTCACCAATGTCGCCGGAGATCATCACCTTGATGGATACACACCTCCGGCTCCTTATGCTCACAAATCATGGCCGCCGCCGCCTCCACATGCTTATTATTACAAGTCCCCCCCGCCGCCGTCTCCCCACTGGCCAGTGCCGTCGCCGCCTCCACCTTATGACCCTTGGTCACCACCTCCACCTCCTCCTTCATGGTCGCCGCCGCCTCCTTCATGGTCATCGTATCCACCTCCTCCGTACAAATACAAGTCTCCGCATCACCCGTCATGGTCATCGCCGCCACCGCCTTCTTCTCATCATGCTTATGAGCCTGGCCATGATTATGAAAAATCTCCACTGCCTCTTCTTGCTCACAACAATTACTACAAACACAAATCTCCTCCACCGCCACCGCCGCCTCACGTCAAGAAGGATCCTCATCGCAAATCTCCTCCGCCACCTTATCACAAACACAAATCACCATGGATGCATCACTCCCCGCCACCTCCTTACCATCACTAGAGACCGAACACGATCGATTTCCAGATCAAATATGAGAGATCTACATTCACTTAAGAAAGTTATATGTTATAAGTTCATGCATTAAAGGTACTATATACGTGCCATAGAGTGAAAAATAAGCAATGTAATGGTTACAAAAACTTTACTTTTTGGGGTTTCTTTGTTTTGTTTGTTTGTTTGTTGAAGTCTTTAATATAGAGTTAGATCGTCCTCTAGTGATGCTCTTTATCATGATTCGAATGTTGTACCTCATTCCCCTTAGTTCTCATTTGCAATTAATACAAGTACCAAACCGTTATTAGCTCTCTCTAATCTATCTTCCTGTTTCTTAAGAACTAGAAGTTCCCGGGCAGGAAAGACACAAATCAAGACCCATTTTTTCCCATTAACATAGATAGTATATATAGCCGACAACTAACCGCCAATGTACTTTAGATAAATATCCATGTATGTATTAACGTACTAAACATGTTTAAAACTCATCTAACTCTTTTTTTCTTCCCCTTGTTTGTTTGATGTTTCACGTACTAACATACTTATAGAACATGTTTAATACATGTTTTAAGGAATTAAATTGAAAATTTAACAATTTATATATTTTATATTCACATATATCATAAATGTCTAATATTTAATAACCCATGCCAAAATCTTAAACATACTATTATGCTAAAATGACGTGTAAAAATCCAGACATGTATATCACATATTAACAAATATCACTAGAAATTAATTATGAATTCGTATACCACTCTCCAATAGCTAGTCAAATTTTTATTTAAGGTGGGTAAAGTTATTAACTTTTACAATGATGCATGCCATGCTTTATAAGCTAAAGTAGTAAGAATGTCATCAGTATACCAGTCTAAAGTTCGTTAGTACTTTACCAGTAGCTTGTGTTCTAGTTGTGGCGTACACGTGGAATTACTATATAAAGTAAAGTCTCAGCTCTTTATTTCGTCAAAATTGGTTATGTAAGTGAATTTAGTTAATTCCACACGTGATAATGCATTTTTTTTATTAATAATAACTGTCGCCAACTCAGTAAAAACGTAATTCTACGTACATTTTGTGTATTTCTAAAAAAGTGTCTATTATTGCCTTAAATTCGATAGTTATGACTATACAAGTGTATTATTTCAGCTAACGTATTAACATTAATTGATTTATAGAATATCTTGAGTTTCCAATACATACACATTTTTATTGTCATATTGGATATAGTGAACTGAAAACAAAATGGGCGCAGTAATTAATGGAATAATTAAGGGGAAATTAATTAAGCTCTTGAATAATTATAGTTAGATTTGATATGTTTATGTTGCCCGATTTCCTTTAATCACTTTCCAACTTAAGCTTTATCGCTTGACTGTTCTAACTAGTTATTGAATGGTGCCGGTTGGTCATTTCATAGTTAAGGTATAAACGGCGATCATGAATCAAACAAATATGGGAGCGACGATGGTTCCTATGCATGGACATGGTTCACGACGTTGGACCCTTTCAAAGTATATTATGGTACGATGGGTTATATGTATAATATGTTCCTCTACTATGATGTTTTATCAAAATTGTCTTTTTATTATTTTTTACATCAAACATGCCCCTGTACTTTGTAAAAATGATCAAACATGCCCTTTTGTTTAAATTTTCATCCAAAAATCATTAACTAAGGTCGAACTTTGGTCTGGGTGGCACAAATGTCTAAAATATCCCTAATAATTTTACTTTAGAATTTTCTTGTTCTTTTGTATAGCCAAATAATTCAAATAATTTCACTTTGAAGAGACCCAGAGAAATAAAACGGGAGACAAAACTGACATCATCGCTCCCATTTGTCGATGCCGGGTCGTCTAAATTTCGGTTCAACCATGATTGACGATTTTTTCAATGGAAATTTTGATAGAAGGATATGTTTGATAATTTTTTCAAAGTACAGGATCATGTTTGATGTAAAAAATAGTAAATGACATGTTTGATAAAACGTCATAATAAAGAGGCATATTATACCTATAACCCTAAATACATCTATAAATACAATACCTAATCTTCACTCATTCTTCATCCAGCCGCGCGCGGTACACAACAATATCTCCATCCATAGCTTTCCTTCCCCAATCAAAAATGGGCACCATCATTTGGCCTAATCACCACTTGATCATCATCACGTGCATTATTGTGGCCGCCGCTCTACTAGTCACCGATGTCGCCGGAGATGGTCATCAACACCGTGATGAGTACAAACCTCCCGCTCCTTACTCGCACGAATCATGGCCGCCGCCTCCTCCACATGCTTATTATAAGTCTCCCCCGCCGCCGTCACCGCCTCCACCCTCCGATCCTTGGTCGTCACCACCACCTCCTCCTCCTTCATGGTCACCACCACCACCACCTCCTCCTCCTCCTCCTTCATGGTCACCACCACCTCCTCCTCCTCCACCTCCACCACCACCTCCACCTCCACCTCCACCACCACCACCACCTCCTCCTTCTCCTTCATGGTCACCACCTCCACCTTCATGGTTTCCAACTCCTCCTCCTTCATGGTCATCATCTCACGACGTCGATGACAACCACTCTCCTTCTGATCATGCATCTAGCCATGATCATGAAAAATCTTCACTGACTCTTCTTACCCACAACAAGTACTACAAACACAAATCTCCTCCACCACCACCACCACCACCGCCTCACGTCAAGAAGGATCCTCATCGCAAATCTCCTCCGCCACCTTATCACAAACACAAATCACCATGGATGCATCGCTCCCCGCCTCCTCCTTACCATCATTAAAGACCGAAAGCGATCGATCTCCAGATCAAATATAATCTAAACTCACTTAGGAAGGTTGTATGTTGCAAGTTTATGCATGATTGATGATGTGGAAGATCATGAAGAATTCTGCCATAGAGTGAAGAATAATCAATGTATTGGTACCAATAGTTTTCTTTTTGGGGTTTCTTGTTTTTTTTTTTTTTTGGTTGAACTCTTCGATATAGAGTTAGATCGTCATCTAGTGATGGTCTTTATCGTGATTCAAATGTTGTACCCCATTTCCCTATGAGTTGAATTTTCATTTGCTTAATACAAGTACCAATCGTAACTAGTTCTCTCTCTCTTTTTTTTTAATCTATATTCCTATTTCTTAAAGGCCAATACTATTGTGCCGCGATTAAAAGTGCGGCACCGGTGCCAATGCTTTTAATTGGTGCACCTGGCATTGTATGTGGCAATAGTGGTTGATTCCCATCCCAAATTTCGTAGCGCATCAACCGAACCAACCAATGAATCGAGGAATATTTGTTTCTCCATTCCTTTTCTATTTCTCGGTTGCAAGCATTTTTCTTTTTCTTAATTCCTTTCAATTAATTAGCTATTTTATTTTTGTCGAACAAACGAAACCCCAGAAATAATTAGGTCGTCTTCCTCGTACACCCTCCCCATCGGACTGTCAAAGTATGCAACAAAACGAGAAACTTCTCTGCCGCTGTTCCAATCTCCTATATAGCCTCTCTGATTCACCTCCACTAAATTCCTACTATCTTGAATCCTCCCTCACGCTCATCAGTACCATGACTACACGTCTACACCTACCAATACTGTTTGGTCCCTGCTACTGTCAACTTGTAGGGTCCATAAGAATGTCGACTTCGCTGAGAAGGTCGCAAACAAACATTTCAAGGTTGTTCCTGAGAACATAAGTGCTCATCTTCTTGTGTCCAATATATATAAAAATGATGGCATATGGAAGCAAGCTGCAAAGGAGAAAATGACCATGACTCCATGAGGAATATGGGGGATAAGGGAAAACCCTGCTTGTAATTGGATAGAGGTGAAGAACAAGATTCATACTTTTGTTGCAGATGAAGAGCCCATCCGCACTGTGATCATATTAGCTGTAGTTGTTGTATGGTCATAGTGAGAGGTGCGTCATAGCATTTGTCGACTTTTGTTCTTCCCTTTTGTAGTGTTCTTTTTCTCGTTTAATTAATTTGTCGTCATTATCAAAAAACAAGGCATTGTGCTACAGTTGATTTGGAATTGGCCCTTCTTTCATTCTCTATTGGGTGTAATTGCTGTAGTTACTAGTTTGTAGTTAGTAAACTTGTTGAAGTCATTGATTGTACATGCAAAGCTTTCTTATGAACTAGAACACATTAATGTTTGCTGCTATTCAACGTCAAATGCCTTGTTTGAATTGGTATTTAGTTGTAGTTTCTGTTTTATGGTTTTCTTTGTTTGCTTTATCTAGTAGAAGAGCTTGGGCAACATCATTTAATTTACTTAAGCAGCTGCAGCACGGTTAGGAGCCACAATTGCTTGTTGTGGTCATTGCACTAGAAAGTCAGAGAACAAGGGCACAACCAGCAGCAGATGCCACAATCATAGGAAGAAGGAACAATGATGCCCAGTTTTTCATTTTTGTAAACAGTTGAACCTTGTGAGAGCAAAGCTCTTCAGATTTGTTGTGCACCAAAGAGTCGTAGCGCATTTATCCAAAGATAGAATCTGGAAAAGTTGACAGAGATATCACTCAAATATACAACATATACGCTTGCCATAAATTATACAAAATGTTTTAGGAACCAGCTATTGATGTGACTTGAATCGGACTATCAGCCGCTACGACTGGTAATCGGGGGTCTTGCTGCCCGGTCAGCGAGTGGGGTCCAGGGGCAACGCCCCGGTGGGGGGGCTCAATGTTATTTGGGTTCGGGTTCTGGGCCAGGTCTGTAACCGTTTCCTTTGCCAGATTGGATTAGGTTTTAGACCCACATGGAGAAGTACTATAAATACTTCTCATACTCCTCTGTAATCTGTAATCTCCTTGATATAGTGAAACTGGCTCTCTCTCGCCCGTGGACGTAGCTAACACACATCGTGTTAGTGACACATGATTTGTCGTGTTTTCGATTCTCGCTTTAGTATTCTTGCTTTGTCTATTCCTGCGATTTCCCGATCCGTAGCCGCGCGTTTATAACACCTGCCTTTGAAGTACCTGCAACACGTACATAAATCAAAGTAGAAACGTGGGAGGAAATTACTCATTGAAACTTTCAGAAATCGAATATGGAATCATTAAGACTAAGCCAAGAAAGTTAAGCTACAATTTTCAGCTCTCACAGTGCACATACTCATCCATAAATCCATGGAAAGGACCCTTCATTCGCCAATCCCACTCAAGTGAACCAAACTAGCTAAATAATAATCAAATACTATCACATGCTTTGTCAATCAGCTGGCAACCTGCCATTGAGCAGGGCAACCCATCCAATTATTTCCATCTCCTTTAATTCTTCCAATACCTTTCATCTCTGAAACCATGTGCTAGCTTCCTTTTTAGAATAGTTTCGTCAGCTTTCATGCTTGCGGCATCTAGCTGCAATTGTAAATGGTTTTTTCACCATAAGAAGACCGAATTGCTAGCCTTCTCCTTCCCTATAAATAGACATCAAATGGAGGGGAGAGCGGATAGACAGAGGAACGACGGGAGAAAGCAATGACCTGAAAGTATTTTGAATCCCTTGGGATATGTCGCTATTCACCTCCAATCAACGAACTTCGGATTTGGATTTCGACACTTACAAGAGGGAGGGACAGAGCGAGGGGAAAATGCAGAGGGTCGTGTGGATCCGAAGGCGGCGAAGCAGTTTGACGGATGCGGAGCGGTAGAGACTGTAAAGGAGATGGGTCGACGACTGAGAACTTAGCCGGATCCTTCTGTTGCTTTGACAGTTCGACGGAGAGGGAAAGAGGAAGATGACAATATTTGCTTATGATTCTGTGACAGAACTTCTGTATTATTATTATTATTATTATTATTATTATTATTATTATTATTATTATTATTATTATTATTATTATTATTATTATTATTTTTTGGTAAGAGGTGTCTTACTTTCTCTTGGGGCAAAAACAAATAAAACTATAATTTAAATTTTAATGGGAAAAGATAAAAACTAACCGACGGAGGAGAAGAAAATGAAACACGAAGAGTCCTTGGCTCAAGGGACGATCCGGTTTGGACGATGGGTTATGCGAATTAACCACTATTGCCACGTAAAATTACCCTGCCACGTGCACCAATTAAAAGCCGCGGCACCTATACCGCACTTTTAATCGCGGCACCGTAGTATTGGCCTTTCTTAAAAACTAGAAGTTCTCAGGAAAGACCCAAATCAAAACTCATTCCCCATCAACATAGATAGTGTATACAAATGAGAATTACTCCCCGGTGTACTTTACATGGTTGTTGTCTCCCTCCATCGCCTCCTCCACATGACTAGAAGTATATAGATAACACAAACTCGTTTAATACCTGTATAAGTATTAACGTAGTAAATTTTTCTAAAACTAGTGTTTTCATAATGCTATTGTAATTAAACCTAATATATTTTTCCTATTTGTTTGATATGTCACGTACTAAACACTTATAAAAACATGTATAACACAAGTTTTGATCAGAATCGCAGTACATTATTTCATTCAATTCATACATGTTTTAATGAATTAAATTGATAAGTTAACCATTATTATATTTTATATTCACAAATAAATTATAAATGCCTTTTATTTTGTAATGCATCACAAACTTGTAGACATACTATTATGCTAAAATGACGTGTAAAATCCCGCCATATCATACCATGATGTATATCAAATTTTAACAACCATGACAATAGATTAATTATTGATCTGATATCATACTCTTTCGTGGCTAGCCAAGATTTCACTCCAGGTATAAAAAGAAAAAATGAGTGGGTTCACGTAAGAACAAAAACATATAAGATGAAAGTTATTAATTTTTACAATAACTCATAACGTGATTTCTTATTTTAAAAATTTTCTTAATATATTTATAAGCTAGAATGTCATCAATACCCGTCTCAAATTCACCACAATATTAAATTTGAACAACTTATTATATAAAATAGTAGGTACATATATATCATAAATTTTATTCTAGTTTGTTAGTACTTAGTAGATAGGTAAAACAGGCTACCGTGACATATTAGATTTGAATCTCTTGACTAGTAAACAATTCATTACTCATATTTTTTTGGGTTGGTCTTGAGACCCATCCACTTAAGCAGTGCCTGAAATATCAAGTGGCATGTAGTATATGCGTTTCGGACTTTGCGTATTGAGTGTTGTTCAGCTATTTTAACTTCCAATATTAAATAAAAACAATATGATGAAATGAGTTGGTGACAATTTCTGAACGGTTCGACCTGTCCTGATTTGTCTTCATGGTATTATTCGATTTGTAGTAGTGTGAGGCAGGGTATGAATAGTACTTTTGTTTTGTCCCGTCCTGCCCGATCTCCCCATTCTTGACCTATTTTAATTTGGGTCAATATTTATTTGTATTTCTTTTTTTCTACTTTTCTTAAATCATATTTTCACTCACTCCTAAAACTTTGAATAACTGAAAGACTCCAATTTTCAACTGATAATTAGACTAAAATATTAAGTCTATTATTTCTCTTTTTCATTGATTCATCGTTTTCCCTTTATTTTCTTGCGAAATAATGAATTTTTTAGCCATTTTTCTTTAAATAGCATGTAATTTAAAACGGGTCGGCATGTTCCGCCTCAAACCCACACGAATATCACCCAATCCGATTTGCACTTAATATGAGGCGGATAAAGATATCGAGATACCCTGCCCACCTATTGCCATCATCACGACCGACTATAGCAAAGGCACCTTGTCTATCTATACCAAGGGCGGAGCTATACTCAAGGTAGGGTGGGCTCCGGCTCTCCCGTGAAAGGTCCCGACCCCTGGGATCGATTCACCTTAGCTACATTTATTTTGTTTAATTATTTTCGGCCTCCGGTCTCGAAACCTGGCTCCACCCCTGATCTATACCATCATACAAGAGACTTACCTAGTGATAGCCGCAACTAAGGTTGGTACCACGAAACTAAACTAGTGCAGACGTCGCCGGCCGGCGTCCAATGTACGATTAACCGGGACGTTATCGTGCTTAATTATTGGGATTTAATATGTCTATGTTTCCCAATTTCCTGTTATTTGTTTTTCTATCTAGTTAAGCTTGACTGTTTGACTGGTCTCCGGTCATGATTGAATGGGCTGCAGATTCTTCATTCCTTAGTTAAGGCACAAAACGCCCCATGAATCAAACAAATGCATATAAGAGAGTAGTGATGGTTTCCATGCATATATGGTTCACGATTTGACCCTTTCAAAGTATATACTATTGTAAATAAGTAGTTAAATACTATGAAACTCTCCCAACAACTCGAATTATTAGGTTAATTTGGTTTCTGATATGGTTTCTGATATAGCATTAAAGTTGATTTGTTATTGATGTCACGTTTTCAAGTCCCCCGAACTCAATATTAATCATCATTGTATTAAAGTTCATGTTATAGTTGGGCCTGTACAAAATTCAAGCCAATCAGTTGGCTTTCGTTTGAAGGGGCATGTAAATGAATGATTAAAATACCATATATGGATCTCTCTCAACAACTTGAGTTATTGGTACCAATTAGTTTATTGGAAATAGCGTTAGCTTATTGAGAGGGTAACATCTATAAATAGAAGATTAAGCTTCATTCTTTCTTCACCCAACCAATACACACACCAATAACCAATAGTTTCCCCCAACCCAAGCCATAATTCCAAAAAATGGGCACCATTTGGCCTTGCAACTTGATCATGTGCCTTTTGGCTCTACTAGTCGCCAATGTCGCCGGAGATGGTCATCATCACCTTGATGGATACACACCTCCGGCTCCTTATACACACAAATCATGGCCTCCTCCTCCTCCACATGCTTATTATTATAAGTCTCCCCCGCCGCCATCGCCACACTGGTCGGTGCCGTCACCGCCACCGCATTCTTCTCACCATGCCTATAAGTTTGGCTCTCACGACGACACATACTCGCCTTCTTCTGATCATACAACTAGCCAGAACCACGAAAAGCATACACCGTCGTCTTCTCGTGCCGACAAGCACCCTCACAAGTCTCCTCCACCGCCGCCTCATCATGGCAAGAAGGATCCTTCTCCGGTCCAAAAACCTCATCACAAGTCTCCTCCGCAACCGCCTCATCATGTCAAGAAGGATTCTATGGCGCCGTCGCATCCTGCCCGCAAATCTCCTCCACCACCGCATCATGGCAAGAAGGATCCTCCTCGTGCCAACAAACCTCATCGCAAATCTCCACCGCCACCTCACAAACGCAAAACACCACCAACGCATCACTGAAGAATACAATCCACGTCTATGTCACGGTTTATCGACTTCTTCAACGGGTTACTCGTCACTGACTATGGATGACGAGGAAGATCCTGAAGAATAGTATTTTAGAATGAAGAATAATTAAATGTATCGACCAAGTAAGATTTGGTATACGTACTATTAGCTAGTAGTTTACCTTTTGTTGGTTTAATTTCTTGCTTTCTGGTTGATCTCTTCGGAATTTCATAGTTAAGATCGTCGTCTAGCAGATGATATTCACCATGATTTCAACATTGTACCTTTTTCCCACTTTATTTGAGTTTTGGTTTCCTTAATACAATTACTATCATTACTAGTAGCTTTTTTTTTATTTATCTTCCTCTTTCTGAATATTATCATGCTATATACTAGGGCTGGGAAAATAGACCAGACTGTTAGAAAAACCGTGGTCCAAACCGTACCACACAGTTTGGTCCGGACCGTAGACCGTTAAGTATGGTCTGGTCTGGTCCATGGTCTGTACTATTTTATGTTTTGATCTCTTGGTCTGGTCTGGTCTAGACCGTGGTTTACCAGACCAAACCGTGGACCAAACTGACTTGTAAATACGTGTTAACAGCCCATTCGACCACTCTCCCAACTCCCACAACCACACCCAAGTCTCAACCTTAGTTTTGTGAATCTTGTCCCTCCTTAATTCACAACCACATTTAACTAGAGAGTAGAGATAATCGTGTCTCCATATGACATTATGTTAATGTTTATGACGTTATGGTGCAAGTTGCGATGTTTTTACTTTGTATCTTTGGTATGTACTAAGATTTAGAGTATCAAAATTATTCATGCATGTTAGGTGAAAACCAATTAATACCCAATAGCTCGCTCGAATTGAGATAATTGAGTTGCTGGTAAGAATTAGGCAAACCACCCCCAGAAGTCCCTCCAATCAAAATCAGAAAGTAGCACCTTTATATTCCATTTAGGGTAAATACAATTTAATATCCAAACCTTTCATTTTAAACAATATAATAGCCAAACTTTTTAGAAAACAATCTAATATCCAAATCATCAACTTTCCGTCCATTTGACCGTTAGTTGACACTTCAAAAAAGCTTTGTTAAGGGGAAATTGTCACAATACAATTTTGTTTTCTTGTTTTAGCATTGGAGATGACTGAATATTTAGATATTCTATACCATCATGGTGGAGTCATGGACTTCTCGGGTTTGGAACCACGATATATTGGTGGTTTTTCAGAGAAGATATCGATGGATATTGATGAAGTGTCGTACTTCGAACTTGATGAAGTGTAAACTAATGGTCAAACGGACGCAAAGTTGACGATATGGATATTAAATTGTTTACGAAAAGGTTTGGCTATTATATTTTTTAAAATGAAAGGTTTGGATATAACATTATATTTACCTACCCTTCCATTTACACATCATCAGGAAGCCCCATCATTAATAACTTTGTTTTTTTTTTCTTCCAATCGAATCAATATATTCTAGTACTCATTTTACTCTCTTGAATCATGTGGCTAATTAAGCCCCCTAATCTTGACCCTTTGTACGTAAGAATGGCTATCTCCAAACCACAATAAACAAAAATAAACAATAGAGCACGTTTCTGGTCTCACTAAAATAAATCTGTTACAGCACGTGCAACTATTGTTGTCGGTGTAGGCGCCCTATTTGACTAAGAACATCAAAATAACTAACTAGCAACCACCTATATATGACCCCTTTCTAGTTTCTTCCATGCATTATGTCGTATTGTCGTATCGCATCTCTTATCTATGATGTCGAAGAAGATCTCGGAAGCAGATAATGGTGGTGTTCGTCAGCCGGAGAGCAGCAGCTGGGATTCAGATCTGCAATTTCTTGATTCCATTCAGCACTTCCTCCTCTCCGGCGGCAGTACAGATCATCACTTCGGCATTAATAACATTTTTCATCAGTCCCCACCGGACGAGACATGGACACCCGTACAAACAAACTCTTCCTTATCCATCGGCAGCAGCAGCAGCAGCATTGCCGCCGATCTACTCCTGCCGGCGGGGGCTGCGGCGGCATCTGATGATCTTCAATATCCATTCCCCTCCACGGCGGTGGGGCCTGCTGCAGAGTTGGAGGAGATTGGCAGCCACGTGGCATCATCTTCGGGTACTGGTTTGAGCGATGAGGCCGTGGAGGCGAAGAAGAAGAAGGGAGGAGGTGGTGGTGGTTGGCGGTATAAGGGAGTGAGGAGGCGGCCGTGGGGGAAGTACGCGGCGGAGATTCGGGACCCGAAGAGGAACGGAGCGAGGACGTGGCTGGGGACGTACGAGACTCCACAGGATGCGGCTCTGGCCTACGACCGAGCCGCTTTCCAGATGAGGGGAGCCAAGGCGAAGCTCAACTTCCCTCACCTGCTCAGCTCCAGTGGTAACCCTTCCCCGCCGCCGGTATGAGCCCATTGGCGTTGTTTGTAATTTGGTATCCTTGAGCTTTATCGGAACTTTTTTCATTTTGTTTCATTATGTAATTATAGGCTCCATCCAATAAGGCAGTTTGGTTGGTGTCACATGGCACCGTACACAATTTGGTTAAGCTCGATGAGAGATATCTTTTGGTGTAAATTTGCTATTTTCCTATGAAATCTTTTATTCGCAGTTTATTTCATCGAATTACGTCGTATCTTTTTTGGATTATTTCTTCCATTTGCGAACGGACTCCATCATTCAACATTCTTTGTTGAGTTACAAGTTAATTTCATAGGTTATGACGGGGAATACTAATTTTGGGATGATTTTTAGCAATTCAGATTAAATTAATCTATGGAATTGTTTTTCACCCTAGTTTTTACCTTACGGAATTGTTTTTCTGTTACGCAAATACTATTCCATACACTCCGCCAATTCCCTTTACTTTCACGGAACAACTTATGTAAAAGTGTCAAGAACCAATTGATCCCAACAACTCGAGTTGTTGGGAAAAGATTATGCTGGATCTTATAGAGGCCCGTGTTTGGTACTTAACCACTTCTTCCTTACAAAAAGGGAAGAATATTCTATCGTTTCAACTTTCAATTTTATCGATTGTCCTCGAAAGTACGGGAAGAATATTCTATCAGCATCGATATTAACATCAGAGTTCGAGTTTCTCTTCCGAAGGGAAAATCATTTCCTGCGGAGAAAGAACTGTCTTTGGGCCGAAACGGATTGAACTGTGGGCCTCTCCTTTTGGGCCCAAAATTAGACAACAATCACAAAGCATAATCAGAAATTAGGTTCGTAATCACTAATTAGTTGAATAAATACCCGATGCTTAGGGTTTCATTCCAAACCAAGACAATACTGAGATTTATGTCAAACAAAACATCGAACAATGTCACCGCCGCCGCTCAACCGGCGGCGACGCTAACCCTAACCCCGTCCAGCACAAAACTCCCCGCCGACATCGTGATCGAAATCTTCAGGAAGCTCCCCGCCGCCGCCACCCTTGGCCGGCTCCGCTGCGTGTGTAAATCATGGCGCGCTCGTCTCTCCGACCCGGCTTTCCTCCGCCGGATCCTCGTCACAGACGGCGATCGCGATGGCAGCCGTCAGATCATGATCTTCCGTCTGACCGGCGATCAAAAGCCGCTCTTCTCTCCCTGCTCGTACGACACTCTCCTCCCCTTATCCGCCGATCCACCGCAACCGGTCCTCCTGATCTCCACCGGCGGCGAAGACATGCGCTACAATAAATGTCACGTTGTGGGATACGACAACGGCATCTTTTGTTTGGGCGACGGGATAGACGATCCCGGCGGTAAGAACATCTTAACCATCACGATTTTAGGTCAAATAGTTTGAGGGGACTAGATAGTGTGACAACACCCCTTGTGTTGTTATTGTAACAACACTAGCCTCCAACTAATAGGAATCTAGGATTGTGATGACTTTTTATTATATGAGTTGACCTAGTGTAAAATCAAAGCAGGGGTATAATTGTCATTATGAAAAATATGTTTAAATAATAATAAAAAATAAAAAAAATAAAAAAAATAAAAAAAAATAAAAAAAATAAAAAATATTTTTTTTATTTTCTGTCCAAATTTTTGGCCGCCGGAATCTGGTCGCCGGTCACCGGAATATGCTTTTTTGTCGTCGGAATATGCTTTTTTGTCGTCGGAATATGCTCACCGTCGCCGGAATATGCTTACCGGCATCGGAATCTAGTCATCGGGGCCGGAATATGCTTATCGGCGCCGGAATCCGGTCACTGACGGTCATCGGAGTTTGGTCAACGAACTTCGTTGACCGGTCAACGGTCTTCGTTGACCGGTCAATGGCCAACGACCGCCGGATGTTATGGTCTGCATTGTGAGATTTATGGTTTGGTTTCTCATATTTTTGTATGTCTTTTGTGGTTTGCTTTATAGTGTTTGTGGTTTGCATTAAGAAGTTTCTGGTTTGCTTTATCGTGTTTGTGGTTTGCATTGAGAAGTTTCTGGTTTGCTTTCAAAAATTTTGTGGTTTACATTAAGAGGTTTCTGGTTTGTTTTAATATATTTGTGGTCTGCATTATGACGTTTCTGGTTTGCTTTTTTGTAGTTTGTTTTACCGTGTTTGTGGTTTGCATGAGGAGGTTTCTGGTGTGCTTTCGCAAATGTTGTGGTTTGCTTTGTGAGGTTTGTGGTTTGTTTTAGGAGATTTGTGGTATGCATTAGGAGGTTTCTAGTTTGCTTTTTGTGGTCTTTTTATCACTAGTGTGGTCTGCATTAGGATGTTTCTATTGTACTTATGAAAGACTTGTGGTTTGCTTTACTGTGTTTGTGATTTGCATTAGGAGATTTCTGGTGTGTTTTCGCAAATGTTGTGGTTTGCTTTGTAAGGTTTGTGGTTTCTTTTAGGGAATTTGTGGTATGCATTAAGAGGTTTCTGGTTTGCTTTTTTGTGGTTTTTTTATCACGTTTGTGGTCTGCATTAGGAGGTTTCTGGCGTGTTTATTAAAGACTAGCGATATGCATACCAATAACTCCTAAATGCATACGATAAACACGATCTGCATACCAATAACTCCTAAATGCATAGGATAAACACAATAATACACTAAAATACATTAAACCCCTTCAAAAGTATATACAAAACTTCAATTTATATCAACCAAAAAAATTACATATCACCGCACCCTCCTCATTCGACCAGATGGGTCATAGATGCCATTGTAGGGATATAAACCAAAGAGTCGATTTTGAGCTTATGTGTACTACAATCTCTTGGATCCTCAATTTTGTCCCAATTTCCGCCTACAAACAAATCTCTAATCCCCTCACCACTTTGTATTCTCTATTCTATATAACATAATCTAGAATCCCGACCCAATTCCCCCACTAATTAGTACGCAACTCGTCCGTCACTCTGCCCCAGCCGTCGCAAAAAAATGCGGAAGTCGGATTACAAATTAATCGCCGCCGATGCAGAAAACCTGCAGGAGGCGCCGTGGAACAATCACCACCAGACAGCGGGCGGTGGCGGGAACGGGACGAAAATTGTTGTTGCGATTCCGACGGAGGATGATGTAAACAACGGAGAGACGAGATCTGGCAGGAACCAGATTTTGCGGCACCACCGTTGCGGTTATTGTGGAGATTTGCAGTCGCTGACCTGCGAGGTGCCGCCATCACCAGATCTACAACGACAGAGGTTATCGGCGCCGGCGGGAGTGTGAAGGAGTGGCTGTGACTCGTTTGAATCGGCGTCGGCGTCGGCATCGGAAGGAAAAAAATCATTAGGAGGACTGGCGACCTGGCGTTGGAAGAAAGAAGAATGGCGTGGGATAAGAGGAGATCCAAAGGGATGAGAGGGGATTGAGATTTACAGATGGGATTAGAAAATTAGTTTTTCAATTTTATGTTGTTAATTCCCCTTTTTACCCCTGTTGTTACTATAACAACACTATGAGTGTTGTTATAGTATCCGAACCCTAGTTTGAGGATGGTCACTATGTTTGCTCTTTTTTTTTTTTCATGTTCGAGATTACTAGCTCGTACTTAGGTTGATAAGTAGCTTTTTGTGTTGTGATTATGGTTGCTTGTATCGAGTTGAGTCGAATTAAAATGCTGGGTGAGATTACTTTCAATCGAGCTAATCTTTCATATTCGAGCCGAACAAGTAATAAATAAGACGAACTCAATTCGTAGCCCTGCTAGACCACACATTACATAGATTTTTTTTTTTTTTGCTCCACTACTATTCTTTGTATCTAGGGATGGCAATGGATCGGTTCGGGTTTTGCCAAACCCAAACCCAAACTCATGGGTTTATCCCTGAAAAAACTCCGAGGTAAAACCCACTGGGTTTGAAAAACTCAAACCCAACCCACTGGGTATCTGCGGGTTTATGGGTACCCACGGGGCCACGGGTTTTTGCCGTAAAAAATTTACAATAACAAGTTCCTATCAAAATTAAAATCAAATATCAATCTCTCAATACAAATTATCCATTTATAAAACACCATTCTAGTAAATTCAAGAAAATCACAAATTAACTATACAAATTGTTCAACACTAATCTAGAAAACTCAAGAGAATTGAAACAAATCACAAATTATCCACAAATAACATGATTAATTGAAAACTTCTTGCTCCTTGTCAATTAAGTTTCTTCACTCTCCACTCGATAACATCAACTTCATTCTACACAATTAGAAAGAAAAAATTAGACATGTCTCCACAAACATAAATAAGATTAGTTGTTTAGAATATTAAATATACCGAGAAATTAATTATATGAGTGTGGGAGGGTACCCATGGGGCGGGTTTATCTAAATCCAAACTCAACCCAACCCGGTGAATAGTGAACGGGTTTAAACCCAAATCCGGCCCAAAACCCGTCAACACGGGTTTTACCCGCGTTGACCTGGTTGGATCGGATGGGCACCCATGAGTTCGGGTTTTGTTGACATCTAATTAATTTTTTTTCAGGTTTCCATCTACACAACCCGGCGACCTCGGAGACCAAAGCATTACCCCCATCGCCATTTACCTCGACGGAATATAGCGGCCGCTCTTGTGGCCACATGTTTGGTTTCGACTCGAAACGACTACAAGCTCATCAGGCTGAGAAAGGTCATCCACAATCACGCGTGGAAACGGGTCGAGGACGGCCGCAACGAAGAGGGTGTCAGTTTTGCCGAAGTGTACAGCCTGAGGAACGATTCGTGGAGCAAGGTCGAGACCGACGTCAACCTCTACCGGTTCTTCTACACAGCCACCTCGGCCCTCGAAAGCCACGACGGGAAATGCTACCGTTGGGATCGAGAAGACTGCAACCAAGAGAGGAAGAGGACGAGGGTCCTCTCTTTCGACCTGTCGAAGGAAGCGTTCGAGGTGGCCGAGGTTCTGGATCCTCTGGCGGAGAAGAGGCCCGCCGACTGGTACAAGGTGACGCGCCCTCGCCACGTCACGTTCTGGAGAGGCTCGATGGTGGCGGTTTTCGACGGCGGGAGGATGATGCCGGTCGGCGCCATGCTTGAGATATGGGTGATGCTGAAGTTTGGAGAGGCGGGTTCGTGGGTGAAGCTGTATGACGTGCCTCGGGGGAGCGACGGGAGGGATTACTATAGGTCTCGCCCTCTGGGGTTGTGGAAGGAGTGGAAGTGTGTGTTCGTGAAGAAGAAGGAGGAGGAGGAGGAGAAGAGGTCGGTTCGTGGGGGAGAGGTTCTTGTGTTCGATCCCGAGACTCGGGACGTTGCTGGCCTCGAGGTTCGAACGGATTCGGAGGAAATTAGGGTCGTATGGGATTATGTTCCCAATCGGGTTTCGTTGCTGGTGGGGTTTTCTGACGCAAAATGATCGAGTGTTTCGTTTTGTTTTGTTTTTTTGTTGGTAATCGAGTTTCCCTTTTCGATTTAGGTCGTTGTTTCTTTTGTTTCGTTCAAACTACTATGTGCGCACTCGTATTTGCATGCATGTGTTAATGATTCTTTGTTTAAGGTTTAATCGTGGTTCAACTGTTTCATACCGCTAAATATAATCTTCCAGTTTAGCGTTCGATATGAGGTTTTTTCTGGTCAGTCTTAAATTTAATAAACCTAGGGATATATCTATCTACAAAAAAAAAAAAGCAATTTCTCATAGATCCCGCCGGCCGTTATCCCAATCTATTATCCGGTATCTATGTATGTTCTTGCCATTGAAGGCCAAATAGCCCTATGTTACTATGAACGTTTGTCCTTTTCCCTTTAGTTTTCACTCTAAAGCTAATCGGTTGACTGTTTCTGTGAGTCGGTACCGATTCCTTAGTGAATGAACATTTCATAGACCAAACAAAGAAACGATGGTTTCTATGCTTAACAAAGTTGGACCATTTCAAGTGATTACAATTTATATGTATCATATAATTAGCTTAATAATGTAAATGTCCATGTATAAATACACACACCAACCTCCCCTTCTTCATTCATTCTTCATCCCCATTCCGGCTCACCAAATCCATATAGCTTCCACACTCATAAGTACCCTCTCGAAAAAGAAAAAACCCTAACTTCATCCAAAATGCCCAACATTTGGGCTCGACGCTCGATCACGCGCGTTATGCCACCGTTTCTGGTGCTACTGCTAGTAGTCACCAATGTGACGGCAGATCATCACATTGGTGACTACACACCTCCGTCCTCGTACTCCGACAATCCCTCACCGTCACCATCAGAACAGGCTTATTACGAGTCTCCGAATCCATCTCATCCACACTCGTCGTCTTCGTTTTGGAGATTGCCACCTCCGATATATTACAACTCGCTACACAAGCCTCGAAACAATCCACCAAAGTTCTATGTTGGTGGTAGTAGTAGTACTCCTCCTGGTCGATCTTATCCTGAAAAGTACTACTCTTCTCCACCACCACCGCCGCCGCCATCGCCTGATCATTACTATGTTCCAAAGTCTCCACCTCCTCCTTACATCCACAAATCTCCACCTCCACCTTCATGGTCACCTCCTCAGAAACCTCATCACAAATCGCCTCCGCCACCTTACAAACACAAATCGCCGATGCATTATTATTCTCCTCCTCCACCTCCTTATCATTACTAGGGACTAAAACTTGATCTCCAACCACCTAGTTGAGTTTATTCAGTGCTCCACTGAAACAACGTGTTCTACGTTATGATCATACGATATGTTATATCACAAACCATTTATCAACTTCTTCAAGAGACTTCTCGTTGATGGTGATGGATGACGACGTGGGAAGATCGTGAAGAATTATTATTTATAGAGGATAGTAGTTTACGCATTGGCAAGAAGCTTTTAATATTGTGTTGTTTCCCCTTACTGAAAGAAGAAAAAAAATTGTTGTTGCATCACTTCCCGTTATTTAAGTTGTGATTTGATTGATAGAATTATGATTGTTGCTACGTACTTTTCTCTTTATAGTTAGTTTACCTTTCCTCTTAATTAAAATTACTTTTCTCTTGATTAATAGAATTATGATTGTTGCTATTTTTCTCTTTATAGTTAATTGTTGCTTCCTGAGCTTGATCATCCCGCTGGGCCCTACTCACTCCAGTTCCAACCCCGTCTTTCACTCTCTCTCGCAGCCCGCCCATGAAACATCTGGAGTTGTAAATCTCAAACTTACAGTGATAACTATCACCCATCTAAGAATCGGTTTGTTCTAATAATTCACACGTTATTATTTAGAGAGATGAACGGGAAGGACAAATGGACAGATTCATGGTCAAACTTTCGCACGCGTTGAACCAATTAATTAAGGACATTCTTCGTACCTGCTCCATACGCGGAAGCCACATAATTAGTACTTTTAATAGCTAGAGAGAGATTCTCATTAATTAATTAAAATGAATTATAAGTGGTATTGTTTTCCGGTGTAGTAGTACGACGACTATCAGTGACGGCAACAATGGTAACAAAAAAAGTACAGCCTTTAGGAGTACTAGGAAGTAGGAACGAGCAATTAAGAATTTAATTATACCAATCTCTTCTTTGATTCTTCATTTATTACATTGGCAATACAAGAAAATTAGAATACAGAAATACACATATAGAGATCATCTTTGTGGACCCTTATTATAAACAAACACAAATCTCTTCGCAAAATAACAATAGATCTTCAAACTGAAAGCCTTTTCATCATTCAAATCCAATGATGCCATGGTTTATCTCGATCTCAAGTAGGTATTGCGACCTAGTAGTGCGATGGAGGAGGGGGTGATGAATAGTAGTAGGGAGATGGTGAAGACTTCTTAGGAGGAGGAGGTGAAGTGTAATGGTATGGTGGTGGAGGAGACTTCTTAGGAGGTGGGGGAGAACTGTAATGGTATGGTGGCGGTGGAGAATTTTTAGGAGGAGGAGGGGATGAGTAATGGTATGGTGGTGGTGGAGATTTCTTAGGAGGTGGTGGAGAACTGTAATGGTATGATGGCGGTGGAGACTTTTTAGGAGGAGGAGGGGATGAGTAATGGTATGGTGGTGGTGGAGATTTCTTAGGAGGTGGGGGGGAACTGTAATGGTATGGTGGCGGTGGAGACTTTTTAGGAGGAGGAGGGGATGAGTAATGGTATGGTGGCGGTGGAGACTTTTTAGGAGGAGGAGGGGATGAGTAATGATAAGGTGGTGGTGGAGACTTTTTAGGAGGCGGGGGAGAACTGTAATGGTATGGTGGTGGTGGAGACTTCTTGGGAGGCGGGGGAGAACTGTAATGGTATGGTGGTGGTGGAGACTTCTTGGGAGGTGGAGGAGAACTGTAATGATATGGTGGTGGCGGAGACTTCTTAGGAGGAGGAGGAGATGAGTAATGATATGATGGCGGTGGAGACTTCTTGGGAGGTGGAGGAGAACTGTAATGATATGGTGGTGGCGGAGACTTCTTAGGGGGTGGGGGAGAACTGTAATGATATGGTGGTGGAGGTGATTTCTTCGGTGGAGGAGGGGACGAATAATGGTATGGTGGTGGAGGAGACATTTTTGGTGGTGGAGGAGAACTGTAATGGTATGGTGGTGGCGGAGACTTCTTAGGAGGTGGGGGAGAGCTGTAATGGTATGGTGGCGGGGGAGACTTCTTAGGAGGAGGAGGAGGAGGAGATGAGTAATGGTATGGTGGCGGCGGAGACTTCTTAGGAGGAGGAGGGGATGAGTAATGATATGGTGGCGGCGGAGACTTCTTAGGAGGAGGAGGGGAAGAGTAATGATATGGTGGCGGTGGAGACTTCTTAGGAGGCGGGGGAGAACTGTAATGATATGGTGGTGGTGGAGACTTCTTAGGAGGAGGCGGGGATGAGTAATGATATGGTGGCGGTGGTGATTTCTTAGGAGGTGGGGGAGAACTGTAATGGTATGGTGGTGGTGGTGATTTCTTCGGTGGAGGAGGGGACGAGTAATGGTATGGTGGTGGTGGAGACTTTTTAGGAGGAGGAGGGGAAGTATAATGGTATGGTGGAGGAGGAGACTTCTTAGGTGGTGGGGGAGAACTGTAATGGTATGGTGGTGGCGGAGACTTCTTAGGAGGAGGAGGCGATGTATAATGGTACGGTGGCGGAGGAGACTTCTTTGGAGGTGGGGGAGAACTGTAATGATACGGTGGTGGAGGTGACTTCTTTGGCGGAGGAGGTGATGAATAGTGGTAGGGTGGTGGTGGAGATTTCACCGGAGGCGGAGGTGAACTGTAATGATATGGTGGTGGTGGTGAGGCATAGATGTAAGGCTTGTTGTCGTGGCCATCGGCAGCCACATTGGTAGTGATGGTGGCGGCTACAAGGCAAAATGCCAGAGCACAAAGCAACTGATGAGCTCTTCTAGTTGTAGTTCCCATCTTGTGAAGAATGGGAGAAGTTTGGTTGATGAAGAATCAAAAGCAAAGCAAAGGTCTTTATATAGGAGTTTGTGGTCTATTGATTTTTGCAGGACAAAAGATATTATAATGTTGGGATTATTTGGCTGGTGAATATTACAGCCTGGACGCCAAGAAAATTGCAAATATATGTCATTGTTATATATATGTCACTGTATTTCAACGGTTCCTATTGGTGGTTTCCCACTACTTTGTAGATCTCCATTGCCATTTCTCTATCTTGTAGATAAATAATAGACCAATTTGGCATTTCATTTTGGGGTATATGATACGACTTTTATGAGAGGGCTGGTGAGGGTTTGTATATGTTTGATTGATTAATGCATGCATATGGTAATCAGTGATCATATCATACAGCTTATAAGCTTGTGCATGTAAACGCGCTTTGATTATGTGAGAATATGTGATCATTAGTCCTTAATTATTTCTAAATTCGGTTAAAATCAATTCAATTTGAAGAAGTAGAGAAGCGAACAAGGGCTTGGTTTAGAGTTGAGAAGGTTGCTTCATTTTTTTTTTTTATTCCTATGTTCAAAGGTGAAGAGATGATGAAAATTGTAGAAATTCGTTTCAATTTGTAGAGTTTTGATAAGATTGGACAATTTAGTTGGAATTTGTTTCACGTATAAAAACATTTAATGTTAGTCGACAAAAATCAACTTATGGTGTAATTGATAACCTTGTCTTCGACATAACTACTTCGGAATCAAGAGTTCAAATTTATGAATATTCCGAGACATTATCTTTGATCTAATATTTTTTTCTTTCCATAAACATGAAATTACTCCTCAAGTGTTGATAAATTTTTCTTAAAATTTTATGGATATCCTGAAATACCCCCTAAAGATACATGATCCGCCGCTAATCTAACAACGAGGAAATCATTAAGGTGAAAAATACAATATACCAAATAGAGACTTAAATTTATTTAGTCATTTTTTATGTCTCAAATTAGCAATAATATATTAGGATGTTGATTGACAACTTGTACAGAATTTTACCGGTGTTTCCTTTCAGATGAATATACAACCACATTCTATTATTAAAAAATATATCGACAGAGTGGTGGGTTATAATGAGGACATTTCGTTACCTACTCCTCACTAATTTATAAAGACTTTCAGCAACTCCAACATTTCCCATTAGACCAATAATTATTTGATTTTGTGTTTTTTTAATATTATTTGATTTTGTTTTTTTTTTTCTTTTCGTTTTCTCTAGAATGCCCGGGAATGGAAAATTAATGTTGTCATTTGATCCATTAATCCACGGTTTCGGTTTAATAAACTGATAATCTCCTCCGTACCAACGAGGAACTAATCAACGAAGTACTAATAAGGACAAGAAAACACTAACACAAGTCATCATGTACTTAACATGATATTAATACGGTCAAACTTCAATTGGGAGACGGCATCAATGAATAATGAACCACCATGGGGTTGTGAGATTGGTAATGGCGCGTTTGGATTTATGGGTTCTGTACATATACGAATCGAGTATAAAATCAAAATTATGTTCATATTTATTTTGGATTTCGGTTAATTTATGATAATAATTTATCTTTATAAATTTAATCAATATTTTAACATTCACACGTATATATACATTATATAAGTGGAAAAATACAAAAATAAATCACTAGAATTAATAAAATTAATTAAAAACAATACAATTTAATAAAAATATTATATTTGTATGCTAAATATAAAATATGTTGAGAAAATTAATAATTATTTCTAGTAAAATAAACATATGCATGTGTATAATCAGGTTGGTTCGGATTGGATAGTGAGAAAACCATGCTCGCCCATTACTCACAATATCTAGGTTCGGATTTTACCCATACCCACTGAAAACTTTTAGAGTTTGAATTTCACCCTACTCAATTCAATCGAATTAGGATGGATATCCACGATTCCGGATATTTTTGGCACGTTTAAATGCTTCCTTTCTCTTATTTAAAAAATTGAGTGATGTGTTCCTCACTCTATTTTCTTCATATTGATCCATCATTGAATTTGTCCATCCTTTCATCTCCTTTCCTTTTTTGATTCATTTCTTTTATTTTTCTTCAGCCTTCTTCTTGGCTTCGGCCTTCCTTGAAAAAGAAAATTACAAATCTATAGTCAAATAATTCTTCTTATGATGACAAATGTAACAATTTGGTTTAACAAATCCAAGGACTTCCATTGAACATTCATTATATTTTTTAAAGATTCATTATAGTTGTTATTTAGTGTTTGGCTATATGAATTTTTTTTTCTTCAAAGGAAATATATATAATCCAGGCCTGCCAGCCTAATATCATCGCTCGTCTTTGTTTAACCAAATTCCAATCGGTGGTTTCGCACCACTTTCTCAAAATTAGACTACATTACATCCTTTTGACATTTCTTTGGGTATGAGATCAGATTGGTACAATGCATATATTATTATATATGGTATGTATTATTGAGCAAATTATACAAAGCATCTTCCACAGATGACCCATATACATTCCCAATTATATATGAAATGTAAAATTCTTGTAGTTAACAAAGATTTCGACATCTTATCAAGAGCATTTGATCACACTAATAGTCAGTCATACATGTTTTTATGTACATAGGGTTGGTTTTAAATTTACTGAATCGATTCAGGAGAATAATTCGAGCTAATGAGGACACACTTATACACCTTATGGTTATATCTTCCTAGATCAATTAGGTTTGTAGTTTGTATAACAGTGTGGGTTATTATCAGGGTTAGGCATCAGCCGATTGTCCAAACATATATCAAATTGGGATAGGATCGGATCAAAAGCAAAGAAACCATGAGGATATATGGTCTTTTGGACAGGACAAAGGTCGGCACTTCAATTAATCAATAAAATTCTAGAAATACAACCCTCTTTCCATTGAAAATTTTATATTTTTCATTTTGATTATCATATTTGAATCAAAATGATATAACAATGAACATGGAAATATGTGAATTTACGCCAAAAAAAATAATTTGCTTGTATTTTATTTGTATCTTAAATCTTTCTGGTACAACATTAGAAATTCATTTAGCGACCAATATAAAAGAAATTATAAATTAAATACTTCATATGTATGAATAATGAAGTTGTAATTCTATACGGTAATATTGTTTACAATAGACTCAAATCATAGGCCCAAAATAGAAATGGCCAAGTTTTTGCAAACAAGGTCACCTCAGTTGAAATCTTTCTACAAAATGTCCTGGCTTGGATAATTTTCATGAGGACTATTATGGACAAGGACCGAATCGTTCACCACCCGTGTCTGCCCACTAGAACAGAGGGAATGATCTTCTAGAAGTCTCTTTCTCCCAAGTGGATAACTCTCAACTCTGATGGCTCCGTTCACCATGATAAAGGCTCCGTTCCACCTAATTAAGGGGTTTGCTCAAAGATCATTGAGGACACAATGTTTCATCATCCGCAATTAATTTGGGGATATGCTCGATCACTCGAGCAGAGTTGAGAGGCGTTATGGAGGGACTACAACTGGCTTAGGATCTGAGGTATAGATGTGTGAAGGTGGAAGTGGACTCCCGATGTGACATCCATCTTCTCAGCAGCAACGTGAACCCAGACCACCAACACATTGCTATTACTGATCGCCTCCATGCCTTGATCAGGTGCGACTAGGAGGTTGTTTTTTCTCATGTTTATAAGGAGGATAATAAGTGTGCAGTCTACCTTGTCAGTCGAGGGCATTCTTTGTCGATTGGTTTCCATTCTTTTCCTGCGAGTGATCATACTATGATGTACTGGATTTAGTATGATGTTCAGGGAATTTCTGAGTCCCGTTTAGTAATGAATGAAGGTAAGGATGCTTCGCATTCATTTACTCAAAAAAGTCTATAAATGTGTAGAATTAAAAACATCTCAATTTCCAAACACAAAGGCCAACAATAAAAAATAGTTCCACCAATGAAACTGACCACATACGTTACATCTGATCCATGAAAGATGAATGCGGAAATGGGATGAACTGTAGTTGTTATCTTTCTTTAGTTTTTTTCGGTAATTTTTCATTAGTATTATTAAATGATTTATCGTAGCATTACCAAGATTTTTCAATTTCGAATGATTAATAACGTACGGAGATGGTTTCATTAAGAAATTATATTGTTTACCGAAAATAAAAGTAGCATAGAAGAAAGATCGTTTCGATCTTAATGACAAATGTCACATCTTATTCTTTAGCTCATAGAGTATGAGGCGAAACATTCTTCTTCTAAGAATATGATAAAAAGGAAAAAGGAAAAATATATAGCATTCCGGAAGTTATGAGCAATTGGGAGATTGTATCAATCTCTTCTTTGAATTTTCATTTCTTACATTACGTTTGCATAAAAATAATTAGAATATCAAATATTGAACCGAATTAAATATGGAGATTCTCTTCGTGAACTCTTTATTACAAAGAAACACAATTCTCTTAACAAAACAACGATAATTCCTCAAAAACTGAAAGTCACTCGTCATTCAAATCCAAAGATGTCAACGTGTATCTCCCTCTCAAGAAGATAGTTAGATCTTAATAGTGCGAAGGAGGAGGGGGTGATGAATAGTAGTAGCGAGATGGTGGAGACTTGACAGGGGTAGGAGGTGAAATGTAATGGTAGGGTGGCGGAGGAGATTTCTTAGGAGGAGGAGGGGATGTGTAATGGTATGGAGGCGGTGGAGACTTCTTAGGAGGAGGAGGAGGGGATGAGTAATGGTATGGAGGCGGTGGAGATTTCTTTGGAGGAGGAGGGGATGAGTAATGGTATGATGGAGGTGGGGGAGAACTATAATCATATGGTGGTGGTGGTGATTTCTTCGGTGGAGGAGGGGACGAATAATGGTATGGTGGTGGTGGAGACTTCTTAGGAGGAGGAGGGAAAGAGTAATGGTATGGTGGTGGCGGAGATTTCTTAGGAGGTGGAGGAGAACTGTAATGATATGGTGGCGGTGGAGACTTCTTCGGAGGAGGTGGAGATGAGTAATGGTATGGTGGCGGTGGAGATTTCTTAGGAGGTGGGGGAGAACTATAATGATATGGTGGTGGTGGGGGTGATTTCTTCGGTGGAGGTGGAGATGAGTAATGGTATGGTGGTGGTGGAGATTTCTTCGGTGGAGGTGGGGATGAGTAATGGTATGGTGGTGGCGGAGATTTCTTAGGAGGTGGAGGAGAAGAGTAATGGTATGGTGGTGGTGGAGACTTTTTAGGAGGAGGAGGGGATGAGTAATGATATGGTGGGGGTGGTGACTTTTTAGGAGGTGGGGGAGAACTGTAATGATATGGTGGCGGTGGAGATTTTTTAGGAGGAGGAGGGGACGAGTAATGGTATGGTGGTGGCGGAGACTTCTTAGGAGGTGGAGGAGAACTGTAATGATATGGTGGCGGTGGAGACTTTTTAGGAGGAGGAGGGGATGAGTAATGATATGGTGGAGGTGGTGACTTTTTAGGAGGTGGGGGAGAACTGTAATGATATGGTGGCGGTGGAGATTTTTTAGGAGGAGGAGGGGACGAGTAATGGTATGGTGGTGGTGGAGACTTCTTAGGAGGCGGGGGAGAACTATAATGATATGGTGGTGGTGGAGATTTCTTAGGAGGAGGAGGGGATGAGTAATGGTACGGTGGTGGAGGAGACTTCTTAGGAGGAGGAGGAGGTGATGAATAGTGGTAGGGTGGTGGTGGTGGAGATTTCACCGGAGGCGGAGGCGAACTGTAATGATATGGTGGTGGTAGTGAAGCATAGATGTAAGGCTTATTGTTGTGGCCATCGGCAGCCACATTGGTAGTGGTGGTGGCGGCTACAAGGCAAAATGCCAGAGCACAAAGCAAGTGATGAGCTCTTCTGGTTTTAGTTCCCATCTTGTGAAGAATGGGAGATGTTTTGGTTGATGAATGAAAGGGAAAGCAAAGGCCTTTATATAGGGCTGTCGTCGATGACTTTTTGCTGGACAAATGATATTATAGTATTGTAATTATTAGCTGGTAGATGAATATACAGCCTGGATGCCAAGAAAATTGCATCTTCCCAAAATCTCACTGTATTTCAACGATTCCTATTGGTGGTTTCCCACTGCTTGTTTATTTCCATAACCTTTAATTCCATCTTTTAAACAAATAATAGAGCATTTTGTCATTTCATTTTTGGGTATGATATATGACTTATAAGAGGGTTGGTGTGTACGTAGGTTTTTTTATTGATAATTTCCATTAGTACTTCATTATGATATTATCAAATCTGTGTGACAATTTGGCTTTTAGATAATCTTTTTGTAGATGTTGGTTCATGTTGGGTTAAAATACAATTAGAGAGTAGATCAATGTTGATATTTATAACTCTCTTCGCCCTCGTTATATTTGATCTTGTAAGCAACGTTCGAAGGGTAGTCAATTCATTAAGACGGGCACTGAAAATCGATTGTGAAGATGGAATCAGTATTCGAGTTGATTAAATTGATCGACTATATCTCAAATTGGTTCGGAGAATAAGATTCAGATCATAGACACATAGTTTTACAAAAATACGAAAAGATTCAGATGGTGCGATCATGTGCTGCAACTTATTTTGTAGACTAACCACCACATCCAGACTATGTTCATCAACATTATATAGCTACTCATCGGATGCTTTTTCTTTCGATGGGGATGTTCACTTTGATCATGTCTACTACACAGCGGCAGATCCAGAACGAAGTAGAGCATTGGGCCGCATTTCATTAGAAAATTAGATACCGTAAAAAATGATGATAGTGTTTTTACAATGTCTATTGTACACGGTCTTTAAATTTAGCGAATGCATCAGTAATGTAGTCTACATTCATATCAATAACACACTCTCTTTCAAAATAAAACAGTTAAGCAATTGACGAGAAATTCGTCGCTCATTTTGTTGTTTAAATAAGCTTTCACATGTTTCATTGTTGAAAAAGTTCTCTCTGTAGTAGCCATTGAAACCAGTTGCGTCAACAGTAGACAAATCAATCGACTAATCAATTTCATTGTGTGTCCATTGCTATATCCACCAACTGCTCTAGTAATTTTCAAACGCTTTGAACTTTTAGAATTTTAAGTTTCATGTTTTTTAGACGAAAATCTTTGGGGCTAGAACTTCTAGACTAAATTTAGAGTAGTGGTTTGAATAAGTTCATCTGAACCATTTTTCTAATTATACACAATCTTATTATAAAATAACACTGGACCGAATGTCATAATATCGAAAAATTCATAAGGACTATACTAGCTCTGGATCCCGAGTAGGGCTGGGCCGTGGCCGGGATGCTACCCTGAATCCGCCACTGCTACTACAAGAGGAACTCATCCATATGACCACAGTGCACTCTTAGATTGCCTCGATGTTAACTACGAATCTGAATTCTTGTTGAGCTTATTGTCCTACATACGATATCAACCTCAACCCATAAATATATAGCAGCACCTATATAGAAACGGCCACGTAAGCAATTGGAAAGCAGGAGCTGTTTCCAACTGCGGAGAATATTAAATGGGCTGTTGTGAATTTTGGTAGATAGACGTATAGACTATGAAATAAATATGAGATATAATAGACAAAGTAGATACAAAATAGATATAAAACACTTTCTCTTCTATTTCTTTCGACAGAGTATATACATAGAGAAAAAATTATCTCTTCTCACGAACATCTATCTGAATGAATTCTGAAATCAGAAATCTCAGCTATTTATAGAAAAGGAAAAGTTACTATGCAGAAACTATGCAGTCCTGTATACACGTTTTTGGGGACGGCTGCTTAATGAACAGCCAGCCGCCCTTCAACAATTCTCAACACTCCCCCTTGGATGTTCATTGATCAAGAATATGCCTCGTTAAAACTTTGCTAGGAAAACCCAGTGGGATAAAACCTAGTGAAGGAAAAAGAGTACACAATTCTTGTAATACGCTTTTGTATACTGCCTCGTTAAAAACCTTACCAGGAAAACCCAGTGGGAAAAACCATGGTTAAGGGAAAAAAGAGTGCAGTGCGCATTTTCTCCCCCTCAAGGGGAGATCCATCAATTTTGAAGTCATCAATATCCAATATATTATGGACTAGCTTTTCACATAATATAGAATGAAATATTCTAGTGATACTCATGTCACATTAATGTTTAAACAAACTAGCCAAACATTTAGTTGGGCGTTTGTACGAAGGTCATGAGTGGAAAAGAACTCTTGTGGAATACAATATATATCATATCTCCATCATCATCTCTAATTTCAATTAAGAGATATACTATGATCATCAAGATCAATTTTCCGGAACATATACCAATTTTCTCCGATGAATTTTATCATGAATATTTTTCAAACTGATTCATGATTTTCGTATTGTGACTATGGTATCTGCATGATCAAATGATGTAGATACTCTATGTTGCTTTGTCAAGTAGCCGTATAAACTTTATTCCCGCTTATATGGTAACATCATCAAACTTGTTTGTGATCATATCACATTGCGTGATTAACTCTATATTGTACCACTAATATATCAAGTGGCAATATATTAATATTTCGATGATACTAATATCATGTACTATACGACCATGTATTTGGTAATTACTTTACAAATAGACAAACATATGATTATTTTCATATAGATCTTACTCTTTGATCTATTCAATGGATAATTCATCCATTATTATCATTTGTGCATATTTATATATCTTTTGATGCAGAGGACTTTGTCTTACAATATTTGATTTTGTAATCCAAGTTAAAGTCTCGTCGTTTTAAGTTATTGATTTCAATAACTTATTGCCTTTGAACACTCTTCAAGAGTTTCAACCATATTTATACCTTTCATCTCAACTTGAAAACATATTACAAACACCTTCTTATAAGAAGTTTGGCACCCACAACCAATGATTCTTTGTCACAACATATGAAACAATCATTGGAAGATATTCTGAGTACGCAGATGCCTGCCTCAAAATTATTCAGATCATTATCTCATATTAATCGATGCTCTTTCACTTTGTTTAAGGGGAAATTCAATTTACTTGAATAACGTTCTTAAAAACCTTAACATGTTTGCTTCGTGCAAACTAACTCCTCCAGGGAGTTCCATATAAATATCATCATTATTAAGCATGCTTTTATAAATGCACTGTAATACATCCACTAGACGTTTTTCCTCATACTGCCAGACTAATTGATTATATATCAAAAGTCATATCCACCATATGAGAGTGAGTCTCCTTATACTCAATGTCAAGTATTATATAATACTCTTTTGATAAGTCGAGCATAATATCTCTTAATTTCTTCCCCTTTGTTATGTCATTGTAAGACATCATGTATGCTTTATTGACATTACTTCTTCGTATACAAGGAGTATAAATCCCATGACATTTTATTCTGTAGGCGAGTTCATAACTGCCTCCAATGCGTCGTTATGATTTGGCCAATCATCTTGTTTTATATTCTTTTCGATCCTCATTTTTCATTCATCATATTGCGCGCTACAATATATACAAAATTCATTGTCAACGTTGACTTCCTTTTGATTCCATCAAATTTCATCCAAGATATAATTTATTGAGAGCTCTTTCATTTTCCCAAACAGGTACCTGTGGTTATACCAAACCAATAATTCTTGGAGAATAGAATTACAATATCCTCATTATAAAGACCATCTTTATTCTTAGCTCCCTTCTTACTTGAGGATTTGTATTTCTGGAACCGATAATTTTTATCACACGTCATATGTGTATAATATATCCCTCTAGGATATTAACTTAGGAGCATTAGCAGTTGCTCGTGACTTAGTCACTTCTTTTTGGGTTAGTAACGATGCCTGGCAGTAGGCTAACCAATCTTGGCAAATGAATTATCTTTGAACTTCATGTTCACATTCTAAGTATGAGGATCATAATTCATTTCAACCAATTTGCAAATCAACTGCTTACCCTTTCTTTTTCTCCCCCTGATATTGGAAACATTGACTTGTTCATATAACAACGTCAATAAATATCATATAAAAATTCTAGTCTCACTAAAACAATTAGAGACTTCTTATGCAACTTCAGTTTCCAATTTTCCTTTGCAAAACCCATCTTTGTAAATTGTGGTGGATCAACTTACATCGTATATTGCACTTTCATAAATTCTCTGATGGGATATTTTAGGTCCTGACCAGAACCAATTATACAGGGGTTTATTAGTAACATCTTGTTGGCATGATGCAAAATCAGTGTTGCCGCATGTAAGATGACATGTCAGAGTGAGTGATTCATCGAGATCATTTTGTGCACACACATGTGCTACAAGATATTTTGTATTAATTCTAGTAACCACCAGTATTTGTCAAGATATATTTTCTTGATTGGACATTCATCAAAATGTGCCCATAATTGAATCAACTGAGCAATCAGTCTTGCAAACTTCAGGTTGCAGCTGAATACATGTGACCATTTAGTCGATGCATCGATTAAACTCATAAAATACCTAAATGGTCCACATGGTGTATTGGTTCACCAACTTGGCATTATATATGCTCATCGTATATAATATTCAAATTCTTACTTTCACTGGTGATGATCTCATGATCAACTTTCTTTGAGAACAAGCAGCACAAGATAAAACTATCTTGTTGAATTCCTTCAAATGTCCACATAAATTCTTAATTTTCTTTTGCATCATACTTAATCCGGGATGGCCCAACCGGTCATGCCAAACAATCAATTTATCACGTAATGTAAACTTCAAGTTTACTGTTGCATTTGCTTGATTGCTTCTTTCTTAAGAAAAATAATTAACCACGAGAATTAATCCGTTGTCTAAATCACAATAATATATATTATGAAATAATCTAAGAATGATACCAAAAAGGGACGCGGCTGAAGTGGTACGGCTCTATGCCCTCACCTGGAACGTCGTAGGTTCGAGCTCCATTGACGCCAGATTTCGAACCCTATTCTTTTTATTTCACTGAAAGAGAACTGTTAGATAGAACATACAGCATAATATCAACTATGATTACCTGGTAAATTCGATCTGCTTTTTGGCACTTTCTGTGTGTTATGGCGGCCGACATACACTACACTATCTATTTTCTTTTTCAAAATTTCAAACCACAATCTCTTCATATCTTCACAATCTTATCAAAATCTTACCACATCAATACAATTTTATCTAAAATCTACAACATCAATTATTTTTTCCAACATACATCCTTCTTTCATGGCTATAAAAACCACAACCTTCCTTCCTCTTCATTCATTCCATTCAAAACCGAAAATCACCCATCATCTCTCAATTCCATCATTCTTCTTCCCTTCTTGGGAACTCTTCTCGTTATAAGTCGCTTCAGGGATCTTATCGAGTTCGGGTGAAGCAATGGCTGAAGAAATCTCTTCCTTTCTAATCTTGATTTGGGTGTCATGGATCTTTATGATTTTCTTTCTCATTGCAATACTTTCTTGCTAGAGATACACTATCGCAATCATGAATGCTACGTTTCGATACACAAACGCGAGGATCATAAGCATGACTAGATATTTTCTAGTCTTTGCTCCATATATGGTAGTATGAAAAATGAAGAGATCGATAGATCTCATACAATGTATCCTGCTTGATTTATAAATCAAGTTTATCAATAAATTCAAGTTTGAATACTTCCCTTTTGTATCGACTATATGAGGTACTTATTGCGTACCAATGTGATGAAATCACCGAATGTGATTCAGGTTTTTTCTGGCCAACACGGCCGTGTGGGTCATTTTTATAGGCTTTAGGCTCGGCACACGGGCAAGCCACACGGCCGTGTGAAGTATACATTTGCCCGTGTGTGGCCGAGAAAACCACACTGGCTGGCCGAGGATTTTCACACGGCCGTGTGAAATTGCACTTCTGGCCGTGTGGGAATTACCGAGCCTTCACACGGCCAAAGGCCATTTCCAAACGGGCGTGTGGATTTTTGGCATGGCCGTGTGGAACTCCCATAGTATATATATATGAAAATTTTGGGATCAAATCCAATCCAACCAGATAACTTTATTGGATTCTTCCGTACAGATATATACCTATTGATATTTCGGTATTCATGGAACAAATGGACATATAAATTAAATCTCATGGGTTCAAACTTGGCCATGTCGCGAATCACTTTTCGTCATAAAATTATCGGCTTAATTGTAAGTTTGGTCACTCGAATTGCTACAAAATTTCATATTTGCCACTCAAATTAATTTATTTCATTTATAGTCACTTAAATTAGGTTAACAGTCCAAGTTTAGTCACTGGCCGTTAGTCTCCGTTAACTTTTGCTGATGTGGCGGTCAACTTTTATAGTTGACCATTAAATGAGTGACGTGGCAATTAAAAATTAATAAAATAATTTAATTTAATTATTTTTTATTTTCCACCTAATTATT